TAATTATATGATCTGGCAACAAGAGTGAATGAAAAGACATCTTAGTGTAAAGATTAATGGGCTTCATAATTGGAAGCTGATGCTAAAGCAGAAGAAGAAGAGAGAAAAAAGGAATAAGAACAAGAGGAAGCAAGAGAGAGAGCTGAACAAGAGGCTAAAGAGGCAGCAGAAGCAGCCGCTGAAGAAGAAAGAAGAAAAGAGGAGGAAGCAAGAGAATTAGAAGAACTTAAAAATAGAATTGATATTACACCAGAAGAGGCTGAAAAATTAGAATAAGAAGCTGAAAAAGAATTAGAATTAGCAGAAGAATTAGAATAAGAGGCAGAAGCAGAATTAGATTCTGCTAAGTAGGCTGAATAAGAGGCAGAAACAAATGCTGAAAGAGATGCAAGAGAGGCATAAGAAGCTGCAGAAAAGGCAGCTGCTTCATAATAAGCTTTAGAAGATGCTTAAAATAAAGAGGAAGAAGCTTGTTTGGATGCAGAAGAGGCTTAGAGAAGATTGAAAGAAGCTTAAGAAGCTGCAGAAGAGGCAAGAAAAAAAGCAGAGGAAGCAGAGAGATTAGCTGAAGAAGCTAAAAAGGCTAAAGAATGTGAACCTGTTCCTGAACCTGAATCAGTAGCAGAAGAAGAGGAGGAAGAGGAAGAGGAAGAGGAATTTGAATGGGAATCAGAAGAGGAAGATGGTTGTGGAGATGATGTTTTGGAAGATTTGATTGATACATTGATTGATGCAGCAACAGGTCCAAGTGCTTATCAACCAAGTTGTGGATATCCAGGATGTTAAGAATAACCAATCATTATTATTGTTGAAGATGATGAGGATGAACCTAAGCCATAACCATAACCAGAACCTTAACCAGAACCTGAACCTGAAGAAGAAGTTGTTGTTGTTGAAGAGTAGCCAGAAGAGGAAGTTGTTATTGAACCAACACCAGATGATGAAAAGGTTGAAGAATAAGAAGAAACTGTAGAAGAAATTGTTGAAGAAATTGTTGAAGAGATAGTAGAAGAGATTGTTGAAGAAATAGTTGAAGAGATTGTCGAGGAATTGGTTGAAGAGGAGGATGATGATGATTTTGGTAGATTAGAATTCCCAGATGAACCAGAATTAGAATAACTTATTTATACTTTAGATGAGAAAACTGACAGTGTTGTTACATAAGAAACTTCACCTTGGGAAAAAGAAGTTGAAGATGGACCTGATAGCAGAATTAAGAAATCAGTTGAATATAGTTACGGTTTGTGGACATATTTTAGATATAATGGAAAGGTAAAGATCTCAGAAAAAAAAGAAGTCTTGGCAGTTGGAGGTTTAAGTGGAGATGATACTAATAGATTAGTGACAACAATAGGAGAAGGATTCTATAATTTCTAAGTATTTGAAGGAGATGTTGTAACTGAATTATAATTAGATTATGGAAAGTATTTAGATGCTGAATGGATTTATGTTTATTTTGGATATAAAGAAGGAAAGGCTAATGGTTATATATATTGGGGTAGAACTTAAGTAATTAAGACTGTTACATTCACAGTTACATAACCAGCTATTGTTAGAACTATTAAATTCTAATCTGGAATTTGGAAGGGATTTAAAGGATTCAATGGAGTTATCACCAATGTTAGAGTTGTTTTGAATAAGAATTCATTTGTGGAAACAGAAGAGGAGATGAAAACATTGATTGAAACCAAATACACTGTTCCAACAGATCCTGATTTGGAATATAAGGAAGTATAACATTATGATAAAGTTGAATATGATGGATTAGCAACTGAAACTAAATTCCATTGGGATTTAGATGGATATAGAGAATATTCAGTATCTACTTGGTTTAGATATGTCAGAAGAACTGAAAAAGCACATTAAATTATATTTAGATTTACATCAAATGAACCAGATTCAGGACTTGTTGCTCATGGACTCAAAGTACTATCTTTATGGTAAACTGAAAATAATGAATATGAATTTTCTACATATACAGTAGAGGAGAAGGATTAATTCAGTGATATTGATGAGAAAGTCATTATTCCTTAAGAATCACAATAATTATGGACTTATGCATACTTTGGATATAATCATGGAGATTTCTAATATTATATGGAATGGCCTGATAGCAAAGTTGAAAAATAATTTAAAGGTTGGCATGTTGTAGCAAAATATTGGGCTTTATATTTAGGACAAGGATTAAGGTATTTCTTCCATGGAAAGACTGCCTATACAACTATTAGATTTGGAAAAGGTGCATGGGGATATGCAACAGATTTTGATGATTATAAGATTGGTAAAATTAAATTATGGCCTGGTGTATAACTCAAGACATATGATCCTAAATGGATGAATCACAAAACAGAATCTGAATATGATACTTTACTACATGAAGAACCAGATTGGGTAACAGATGGTGTTTATGAATATGGATTTGGTATGTGGACTAAATTCTTCATCACAAATCCTTCTAGAATATATGAAAAACCAGATCGTATTTTGGTTGGAAGATTAGGATTTACTGATTAAGATGAAGCTGAATTTGCAGTATATATTGGAAGAGGAAATTATGAATTCTGGGCTAATTCAGGAAGACCAGTTAATTATGGAAAGAATTTAGATGGATATTGGAATTACATTTATTTCAGTTATTCAAAATTAAAATAAATAGCTGTTGGTTATGTTAATTTCAATAAATTAAAATAAGTATAAAGAACAGTCTTTGATCCATTTGATGCTGATCCTGCTAATAATTATGTTAGATTTTATGTTGGATTATGGAAAACTAGTGTTTATGGATTTAATGGAAGAATAGCTCATGCAGTTGTTAGATTTGGTAGAGGATCATTTATCAATGAAATAGAAGAATATGAGACATGGATTGAATAATATAAGGTACCAGTTGATGAAGAATTAGGAACAAAAGATTATGAAATTTAAGGTGCAGATAATAAAGATACTGAAACATATGAAACTTTTGTTTATGAAGATGGAGCAATTGAAACAGAATAATATTCAGTTTATGGATGGTTCAAATATTATGGAAGTTTAGATGATACTGAAGCATAAACAGTAATCAGATTAACTAATAATGAACCAGCATTCTTGAAAGATGCTGATTTATTAGGAGATAGAACATTGTCAGTAATTCAAAAAGGTGGAGATATGGAGATTGGAACATATGATATTGGATTCATTGATACTGATTTCAATCTTAATAGAAATACTAATATTGCTTTAGGAGAATATAGAGGTATTTGGATGTATATTTGGGTTGGATATTCCAGATAAGATGAATATGCTGGTTGGTTCTTTGGATTCCCAGATATTAGCAAAGGTGGTTTATTAAAGAAGGTATTGCATTTCTCTCCAAAATATCTTGCTGTATATTTCGGAAAAGATGGTATTAATAAGAATTTCGTTGGTAAATCTAGACATGTTCATGCTTGTTATGGTAGTACATAATGTTGGCATTATGTTGATAAAGTTGAAGTAGAAGTAGATCTTCCAGCTTGGATACCATATAAACTTAATAATTATTTTGAATTCTATGTTTAAAATGATGCTGATGCTTTGATTGTTGCTAAAGGTGATGATCCTGCATTAGATGTTGAATTTACAGAGACTAATTTCCCAGGTTCTGATATTGAAGCCATTTATGAATATGGTATTGGTTTATGGACAAGATGGTTAATGAATTATCCATTTATATTATTAGAGAAAGCTGAATCTCATTCAATATTTAGATTCACTACCAATGCTTAATATGAAGATGCTTAAAAGAATGGAGATAGAACTGTATCAGCATTTGTTGGTAGAGGGGAGTATAGATTTAGTACTTATGATGCAGTTCTTGATAAGAATGAGATTACAACAGGAACAAAATTTGATAAAGAATTAGAAGGATATTGGAATTTTGTTTATTTCTGTTACAAGAGAATTCCAACAGGACCAAAAGGTATTGGGTATGTTTATCTTACTCATCAAAATGTTGTTAAGAGAGTTGAAATTGATAGCGCTAAACATTGGTTATTGAGAGATTATGCTAGACTTGTAATAGGAAAGAAAGAATTTGGACATTCAGCATTTTAGGGTAAATTATTTGATCCAAGAGCATTTTTGGGAAAGAATAGTTATATTGATTCAAGTGAAGATTTACTCAACATTGTTGTTCCTAAATTTAGGCCATATCCACCTTATAAAGATAAATAAGATAATGAACCTGTTTAAGTTGAAAAGGCTAAGATGACTCAAAGAGTGTTTAAATAATATGAAGAGAAATATAGTGGAGTTTTTGAATATAGTGTTTATGGATTTGCTAAAGGTAATAAATTAAAGAATGTAACTGATTGGACTTCACTTGTTAGAGTCACTCAAAATACTCCAGATATATAGGCTGATAATGATAATGCAGGTGATAGAACACTTTCAATCTTTATTGATAAAGGTGTATGGTATTTCAGTACTTATGATTATGGAGATATTGAAACTATAGATGATGATATTGGTTCAAGTATATATTTATATATATATTTTTAGTTGATAAAAAGTTTGATATTGGTAAATATTGGGGCAAATGGACTTATTTCTATTTTGGTTATTCCTTCCATCTCAAATAAGCATATGCCTACATTAGATAGATTGATTAGACTTCTAATTCTTATCTCTTTGAAGAAGTGTATCATTTTGTTCCAAACTATTTGAGTGTGTTCTTCTCTGAAGATGGCTATGGAAAATAATTTGATGTAATTAACTATTTAATTTTTTTAGGGTGAAGCTTTTGATTGGTATTTGGGTATAGGAGATGGAGCCTTTACTACAAATCCAGAACCAAGAGAGTGGCCAGTTGATCCAGCTCCTCCTCCTGATAGAATTTTATCTGCTCTGTTAGCCAACTAAGGATTCAATTCAGGAAGAATTATTAAGGATACATAATAATTCTTTTTGTAAAAAATTGAATCAACTAAGTTAAACCAAGAAGAACAAGAATGATATATAAAATCATAAATAAAACTTATGGCAATTTATTTTCCTGAAGAATCAGATAGAATCAATAAAAAAGCAGAGCAAACTAAATAAAAGATTCTAGAGATGCGTAAAATAGCATAAGAATAGTTCGGCATTGTTTTTCCAGACTCTAATCCATTTTAAATTAAAACATTTGAATAAAGGGATTCAATTAAAGAACTAGATGAAAATATAAGGATGTACAAAAAGATTCAAAAAAATAACGATAGAGTATTCATTGATTTTGAAAAAAAGAATTAGTATATGTTTGATTAGAATTCATTTAAAACGTTACAATTCATAAAAAGTTAAAAGTAAGTCAGCGAAGAAAAAATTGAAACATCTTGTTAATCATACCAATCATTAGTTAATCGAACATTAAAATCAGTACTATCTCAGCGTTTCGATAAAGCCACAAATGTTTCTAAAAAATCCTCACCAAGAACTATTTTTTAAAAAGATCGTTCTTGTACTGTTCGAACTAGGACAATTACTTTAACAAAGAGAAAAACTATGAATCCTTAAAAAGTAGAATTTGAAGGTTTGATAAATGAGTAAAGAAGATTATTATAAACATCTCATCTAAAAAGGTATCACAAGGATAAATTACAATAAGACTTTTAAAATCTACTTGCAGAATTAAATAATATCAAAATCCATAAGGAGGAAACCATAATTGAAAAATATAAAAAAAAATATTTATTTTGAAATTTCAATTTGGCATTTATTCATTTATGTAAATTTTGAAATATATAAGTTTTATTAATAGGTTTTTCATTATATTCCAATCCTTTTCTAAATAAAATAGAATAAGTAATAAATTTTGCATGATTTTTATTATTTTACAAAGAATCTTATTGTAATTTACAATATGTTCTTTATTAGAATATAATAAATTAATAGATATTTGTGTACTATTATTTTAAATAAATTATAAAATAAACACTTAAGTTTAAATAATAAATGATGTGTTTAAGAAAATTTCTAATAATTAACTATGCTATAATAATAACTTAATGTCAATTTGCAAGTATAATATATCTAATGTAGTTAATGAGAAAAATCAATGTTTATAAGATCAATTTTTAGAGAAGAAACAAAATTGTTCGAATTTAACAGAATTAGAAAAAGGTGTTTTATCTTTTATGATGATGAATTGTCATTATTAGAGATCTGGAAGAAAGACTATTGATTGTAATTATGAATTGAATGATTTACAATATTGTACAAAACAATTGGATTCAAATTATTGGTAATATTTATAAAATATAAATTTTAAGGAATATATTTACTTAATTTTATATTCTAATTTAACATTTCTGTTAAATTTAAATATTGCGTTATTTATAAAATAATGTAGAATCTAAATTATCTTTAATTTCAATAGAATAGTAATTTCTTAATACAAATTTGTAATATTTTGACATTTAATTTAGAAAATAATAGTCATCAATATTTTCTGAAATCCTTGCTACATAAAATGAAATATAAAATTAGACTTAAGTATTTCTTTAATATGTTGCTTCATAATATATGAATTTTAATAATTANAGAATTAGTATATGTTTGATTAGAATTCATTTAAAACGTTACAATTCATAAAAAGTTAAAAGTAAGTCAGCGAAGAAAAAATTGAAACATCTTGTTAATCATACCAATCATTAGTTAATCGAACATTAAAATCAGTACTATCTCAGCGTTTCGATAAAGCCACAAATGTTTCTAAAAAATCCTCACCAAGAACTATTTTTTAAAAAGATCGTTCTTGTACTGTTCGAACTAGGACAATTACTTTAACAAAGAGAAAAACTATGAATCCTTAAAAAGTAGAATTTGAAGGTTTGATAAATGAGTAAAGAAGATTATTATAAACATCTCATCTAAAAAGGTATCACAAGGATAAATTACAATAAGACTTTTAAAATCTACTTGCAGAATTAAATAATATCAAAATCCATAAGGAGGAAACCATAATTGAAAAATATAAAAAAAAATATTTATTTTGAAATTTCAATTTGGCATTTATTCATTTATGTAAATTTTGAAATATATAAGTTTTATTAATAGGTTTTTCATTATATTCCAATCCTTTTCTAAATAAAATAGAATAAGTAATAAATTTTGCATGATTTTTATTATTTTACAAAGAATCTTATTGTAATTTACAATATGTTCTTTATTAGAATATAATAAATTAATAGATATTTGTGTACTATTATTTTAAATAAATTATAAAATAAACACTTAAGTTTAAATAATAAATGATGTGTTTAAGAAAATTTCTAATAATTAACTATGCTATAATAATAACTTAATGTCAATTTGCAAGTATAATATATCTAATGTAGTTAATGAGAAAAATCAATGTTTATAAGATCAATTTTTAGAGAAGAAACAAAATTGTTCGAATTTAACAGAATTAGAAAAAGGTGTTTTATCTTTTATGATGATGAATTGTCATTATTAGAGATCTGGAAGAAAGACTATTGATTGTAATTATGAATTGAATGATTTACAATATTGTACAAAACAATTGGATTCAAATTATTGGTAATATTTATAAAATATAAATTTTAAGGAATATATTTACTTAATTTTATATTCTAATTTAACATTTCTGTTAAATTTAAATATTGCGTTATTTATAAAATAATGTAGAATCTAAATTATCTTTAATTTCAATAGAATAGTAATTTCTTAATACAAATTTGTAATATTTTGACATTTAATTTAGAAAATAATAGTCATCAATATTTTCTGAAATCCTTGCTACATAAAATGAAATATAAAATTAGACTTAAGTATTTCTTTAATATGTTGCTTCATAATATATGAATTTTAATAATTAAAAAGAGAATGAGGAATAGAACCAAAAAGTAATGATTGAGTATATCAATGAAATCAATTAATAAGTTCATAAATATCATAATGAAATAGAGCATTCTTTTTAAGAATTAAGTTCAATTTATTAAATAGCAAAATATTATATTGATTTAATTTATGTTCAAGGAATTAAAATGAGTAATAATTTTATATAAACATAGATCAAATTTTTTTCTATTTAGGAGATTTGTTATTAATGTGGATATTTACTTCTAATAAATAATTTATTGATTAAAGATTTAATAATTTTTTATTGATATTAATTTGTTTTGCATTAGAAAACTATTATGAAAGTTCAAACTACATTAAATCATTTTTAGTTGTTAATTAAATTTTGTTAATAATATATGGATTTATATTTTATAAAGATTACGAATAATTAACATATAATAAATTGATGTCAATCTAAAAGAGGATCAATTATTTTGATTTATCAAATTTTAAATAGAGAGCAAAATAAATTTTAATGAATACTGTATCAAAAAAAAGAAATGAATGATTTATATTTAATATGTATTATTTCATTTAAAAGAATACATATATATTTCCATAATGATGAATTTTTTTTAATTTAATGATTTTAAAAGTATTTAAATAATACTACTTTTTTCTTCATTAAGGAATTCTTAAATTATAATTTTTAGTTTATTTATTAATTGATTTAGTTAGAAGTGTTGTATCCATTAAAAATGATATCAATTCATAATTTAAAATTTATCATTAGATAAAATTGTTGTTTATCACATTTAAATATATATATATATTTGATATAAATAAAATTTAAGATGTTAACCAGTGAATTGTTTTATTTCTTATTGTATTAAAAATTTACAATAATTCTCAATAAAATAGATTTTGAATAAAAAAATGATCCAATAAAAATTATTATAAAAGTCAACTTAAGTAAAACATCATTAGTGATAATTAAATTATAATTTGTTGAATCTGAAAGATGGGTAACTCACAATAATCACCTAAATATAGAAATAATAATGACCATCTAATAAGTTTCTATTTATATATATTCCTTAGATATCTTGCCTTAAAAACAATTAATTGATGAAACACTTGAAGAAAGCTCGATTTTCAATTTAGAAGATATAAGGTCTCCATATATGGAAGAACTTAATTCTACTGCCAGGGGGGAAATAAGGAAGGTTTCTGAAATGCTAGAAGTGGATTAAGGAAAAACAAGAAGTAAGATTATTCAAACTAACAATTTAAGGAATGAATGTCATGTTATATGAAAATGAAATACCTTAAATTTGTGAACTCTTGAATCAAATCCCTTTAATCAAAGGCGATAAGACAAAAGAGTTATTAAACTCTTATGAATCTCCATCTGGTCATAAAGCTTAAGCATTGGGCAGTTAACCAATTGTTCAATTTCTTAAGTGCAATGAAAGACTTATTTATTAGGGTCAATGGTTGAGATAATAAAGAGATGGATTTGGACTATGTTTTTACTCTAATAGTTCAATCTATGTGGGAAATTGGATTAATGATTAAAGAGATGGTCATGGAAGAATGATATTTGAAAATAATGACAATTACACTGGATTTTGGAAATAAGGAAAGTATCATGGATTTGGTACTTTAATTAGTTCTGATAATTTTTATGAAGGAAATTGGGAAGATGGAGAAAAAGTATTTTTAATTATTTAAGTTAGGATGGTTAAGGAATAGAGATTAGGACTAATAAATCTAAATATGAAGGGATGTTTAAAAAAGGAAAGAAACATGGATTTGGAATAATTAAATATATTGATAATTAATTATATAAAGGAGAATTTATAGATGGGCAATATGAAGGATAAGGAGAATATTATTGGAATGATGGAAGTAATTATATTGGAGAATGGAAATGTAATAAGATGCATGGAATTGGAGTGTTTACTAATAAAACTAATGATGTTTATAAAGGTATAATATTGTAAATAGATTTAGGTTCATTTGCAAATGATAAGAAGAATGGAATAGGAATGTTTAAATGGAGTAATGGAACAATTTTAAAGGGAATATGGGTTAATGGATAATTAGATGGCTAGGCAACCATAACTAAGCCAACTGGAGAATCTATTATCTTGTATTATAAAAATGGATAAAAGATTGCATGATTATACTGATTATAAGCAATTTTCCTAATTAAAAATTAACTTAAATAATATATATCATAATGGTGCTTCATTTGGTTCAAAATCATACTCTCTATTATTTTCAAATCCTTAAATACTTCTAGTTAAACTCTCTTCTTATTTATGATATTTTCTATATAAGAAAATTGATATAGAAATTAAGACAGTTAAAAACAAAATTAAGCAAATTATGATGATTACTTAGAATTATGTATCATATAATTTGCCTTTTGCTTGGATTGCTTTGACATTGAAAGAATCCTAATAGAGACATTAAACAGTTTAATAAGGTATATTAGGATTCTATTCTAAATATTTATCCTTTTCTGGACAAGAAGTAGAGTATAAGTTGATATCATATTTATATACAATTCCAACATCTTAATTAGAATCAGGAGAACAATAAACATATGGTGGTTGACTAATATATGGAAGTTCTACAATAGTATGTTATGTTAATCCTAAAATAAATGGATATGATTGATTGAATGACCATTTAGATGGATCATTACCAATAGCAAAGTTATCATTGTAAAATTCTACAGCCTATAATTTTGGAATGAAAACATATTATTCATGAAAAGAGTTGGCTTTTTCAGTATAATAATCAGCTTAAGTATAGAATATATAATCAGGTTCGAATTCTTCATATATACCTACTCTAATAATTCTATGTTCATCTTTTCCTCTTAAAAGAACAAAAGTTGGTCCAATATCAATATCAAAATATTAACCTGTAAGATGATGTGTTTTTAGGAAGAACCAATCTGAATTAATAAAACCAATTTCAATTAATTATTGAAATACACCCCTAATATTTATAAATTTAAATAATTTACACTTATTTTAGCACAAGTACAAATTCATCTGGTGATACTGCCAAAGTCATTGCATTTTTTATAGGAATTAATCCAAATTAATCATCTCTTATCAATTCAACATTAATTCCATCTTTTTTCACTTAAAATCTTGAAACTCCATTCAATTAATCTAATATATATGCATAAGTTGTATTTGAAATTGAAAAAACTATATCAATTAAATGAATGGGAACAATTTTAAAGAATAAATTTGATGAAGATAAAGTACTATGATAATTGATATTACCAGATTCTTCAAATTTATATATATTTAAGCCATCTTAACCAGAAGGTACAAATAAGAAGTTTTAATATACTTTGATTTAATTAATGTAACTATTTTGATTTTAAAATCCTGAAAATGGAATTATTGCCAATTCAATATTCTTATCAATTTTACCTCCTATAATTTAATCTTAGTAAATGATATAAATGTATTCATTAAAAGGAACATATATAATTTATGGTACTTCTAATTCAGTAGTATGTTTTCTTAAATTTTTAAAATCAATAATTGAAAGTAATTGAGTTGAGAACCCTGTCTTACTACTATAATTTTAACTTACCTTATAATTCAATAAAGTATGATCACTAGTTACAATTACTAAACCTTATTTAGTATGAACCATATTAATCATAATTGGAGAACTTAAATAATATGAAGGATCATTGGCATGTTCTTCATCAGGATTAAGTGTAGAATTGTATATAACCTTATGATGACTTTCATATTCTCCAAATTAGATTGTACTTTATTTAGAAAAGCATATATCCTTAGGAGATGAACTATTTTTTTTCAATTCTATATTTATAGCATATTCAGCATTTTCAAAAATTTTGAGTCTATACTCTGATCCCTAAATAACTTCTATGATTCCTCCATAAGAATCTTGGATTGTGAGTGTTTTACTTGTGAGATTGAGTACTTCTGCTGTTAAAAAACAATTAAAAAATGATAATAGTAAAATCATAAAATAATTAATCCAAATAACTATGAAAATTCAAACATAAGATCATTATAAACCATTGTTATTTGGTACATAGGTAACACCTCCAAAGTCTTATTTGAATTTTTCTATCAATTTAGGATCCATATTTACTACAGAATTCATAGCCTCTATTAAAATAAATATTTATAAATACCTTCTCTAGTGAATTCTTAATCAAAGTTCTAAACATCTAATTTATCATATAGTTTAGGAACAATAGGAGCTTAAAGTTTTTTATCAATCAAATCTTAAAATGGATATTCTCTAAACCAAGGATGTTCTTTGATTTATTAAGCATCTCCATTATGTCCTAATCTTTCAAAAGGATTTTTTATTAATAACTACTAAATATAATTATAATACTTAAACTATGAGATCTTTGACTTAATTACTAAGAGTTAATTGAGATGGAAATACAACATCAGATTCAACAATGGATTTAAATAATTATGATTAGTTTTAAGAGAAAAAAGGAGGTCTGCCTACTAACATTTCATAAATTAAGATTCCAAATGACCACCAATCTACACCAAGACCATGTCCATTCTATCTAATGATTTCTGGAGCCAAATATTCAGGAGTACCAACAAAAGAATATGTAAAATCTCCTGGTTTTAAAAATTTAGCCAATCCATAATCAGTCATTTTTATATAACCAAATTCATCCATTAAAATATTTTCAGGTTTCAAATCTCTATAAACAACTTACATTTTATGTAAATATTCTAATGCTAATAAAATAGATGCAGCATAAAATTAGGCTGTTTATTCTGGAAATCTTCTTTTATCTCTTAAATGTTTGAATAATTCTCCTCCTCTCATAAATCTCATTACAAAAAATAGTTTCTCTTCTGTTTAGAATGCATATTCAAGAGAAATTAAAAATGGATTCTCAATTTCTTCCAATAATTTTCTTTCTGCTCTAGTATGTTCTATTTAATTTTTATCCATAATGTGTTCTTTACGTAATGATTTAATGGCATATAATTCTTTCGAATCCTTCTTCTCACACATCATAACCTAATTTAGAATAGGGTACAAATAGAAATACTTTTCCGAATGCTCCTCTTCCTAAAACTTTTATTAGATCAAAATCTTCAATTGAAATTATTGTGCTGCTAATTTATTTCTAAAGACCAGGACGTTTATAAATCAATTATTCTTATGGTTTTCTATTACTATGTTCTCTCAATTCCTTTATATCCAATTCCTAAATCAATATATATAAGAATATACAATAGGTTTTTCAGTAGGAAATCTTTTTATTCCTTTTTTCACATCATTCTCAGTTGTACATACAGATACCAATGTAAAATCATCTTTAAAAAAGAATGGCAATTTTCTTTAATTAACTGTCTAATAACATAAACATAAGGTTTCCAAGATTTATTTACGACTAATTATTAATTTACTTATTACTAATCAGCAGATTAGAAACGATAATCATATTCACTAGGAACATGAATTACAAACTCTGCCCCAAGACTTGTAACACTTACTGCCTAAATTGAAGACAATTTAATTTTTCTTTTAATTTGATTAGACATAATTTTCCCTATTTATTGATAGAAACAATTAAAATTACCAAATATTTACATAATCCTACTATCAGACTTTGGAATTATATTGTATACATATTTATTTGTTATTAAAAATATTCTTTCTTATTTCTTTTAATTTTAATTAACTTTGATGATCAACGTAGATAACATTATTTTTTCTATTATATTGTATTATTCTAATCATACCTCCATTTTCAAATTATTCTAAAATCTCTTTATTATTAATGATTTGAGCTTTATCAGATATTCCACTTACACTCAAAGATTATGAGTTCATTATAATTTAATATATATAAATATATTGTAAATGTTAATATTTATCATAACATCATTTATTAACACTTATATTTTTAATTATCACATACTATTATTAATCTTGAATAATAAACATATTCTAATTTAAATATATAAAAATTATTTTTCTTCTGTATGGATTAATAAACTAAGAAAATAGAAATCTTTTTATACAATTAATTGTTCTCATATAATTCATAATAAAATTATTTGAACTTTAATCCTCTTCAACATTAATATTATTGATCAAATATATTATAAGTTAATCATTTGGATCACATTAAATGAAAAAATACTAGGATTTAGTATTTAATTATCTTACTTATAATAATAAATAAGAAATAATAAAAATGCATTTTTGTTAAAGTTTATTAATTGTAACTTAGGAGATAATCAAAATAAATAATATTATTGTATACAATAAATATTCAAATTCAATTTTGGAGATCTGTAAAATTAATAACAATATCTTATTATTATTATTATTATTATTGTGTTTAAAGTTTTTATACTCTGAACAAATCATGTTTTATATTTTTATGTTGATTCTTTTTATGTCTTGATAAACTTGAAGGATGATTAAATATCTTAGTGCATTTGGAACATTAGAAATACTGTTTACCATTACTTGTAAATTTGTTTCCATGTTGTTTTTTAGTTTTTTATTAAATATGATTCTCTAATTCTGGATATTCACATTTAGTTTATGGATTATAATTCTACTCTTCTTTTAAAAATCCATTAAATTATTGATTTTATAATATTTGAATTTTTAATTATTCTATTCTTTCATCTATACTTTCTATATTGAAATTCTACAAATCGACTATCTTCAAAAATTCCTTCAAAAATATTGCTGATGCTAATTAAAATTATATCATTTATTATTATTTTGAAATTTAAAATGATTCTATAAGTTACAAATTAAAACAATCCCAAATATTTATATTTATTAAAATAGAAGTCAAAATAAATATTATTTAAGGATTGATCTTTTATTTATTTATTTCTCATATCTATTTCATGTACTTATTATTTCAGTAAACATAATATACTTTAAAAATACATAAAATTTAATTAATTAATTGATGAAGACTAATATTAATCACATACTTTTTACTGATTTAATTAACTATTGATTATTTCTTTATTTTTAAGACCTAATGAAATCTTTCAAATTAATGACATTCAAAGTTAATCATATCTATTTTCACTTAAATAGTTGCCTAAAAGAAATCAATATTTTATGAATTCATTAGAATTTTACTTAAAAAGAGAGAAAAACCCTATTTTAATCTAAATTTTTCAGTATTAGCTATAGAATCTAATACTATAGAAAATAAGATGGCTACTTTTTAATATTTTATAAATTACCTTTAAATTAGTCTAACTATTAAGAATTTTATTGATTAATAATTAAGATTATGAATTCCTTTACTCTTAATTTCAAAGTATCCAATTTAGAAAAAGATTTTAGAGATTCTAAACAATGCTTTTTCAGTATAATTCTAGAACATCAAAAATGGATTTTTGGAATGATTAATATAATATCAATTGTTGGCAGTCTTGTTACAAAGGATTGGATAGTAGGATCATTGAACATATGTACATTAATTTTAATCATGATATCAATCAAATTTAAGCAAAAATATCCCCTCATATATGAAGTTTTGATAATAACATTTTTGCTTATTTATAATACATACCTTGCAATGGAGAAATATTTAAATTAGATAGAAACACATTACGTTGAAGGATTTTTCATTTCTCTATCATGTGTAAGGTATTAAAAAATCTATAAATTAATAGTGCATTAGCTTTATTAAGTTTTATAGAGAGAACTGCTATGACTATTCTAATTGTAGTTTTACATTTAATATTTGGTATAGATCATAATACAATTTTTGTGGGCTCATATTTTAAATTCTTAATGTATGCTATATTTTTCTTACAATTTACTTATCATTTCGAAAAATTGATTAGAATTTAATTCATTGAATACAAAAAGTTATAACAACAACTATAAAAGATTACAAAATTTAATGACATTCTTAGCTATTCTATAAAGTATGATGAAAGAAAATCTTTAATTTTGATTTAAAAAAATAATAAAACAAATATCTAAAAAGAAGATTAAGATGAATTCAATAAGATAGCATCATCTATGTATTTGTCAATGAAAAGTTATAAAAGTAGAATAACTGAGGTCATAAATATGGATTAAGCATTCTCTCCAAATAGACAAACTTTAAAATAACTCTTATTAAATTTGGCTGTAGAAAATCAAAATGATAATCCTGATACTCCATAAAGAAATAAAAATGAATATGTTTTATATGGATTCTATAAACAATAGGTTTTTACTCTTTGTGTATATTTATGTTTAGATATTTAACCATCAATAATAATTCTAATGAAAGAAAGTAAATCTGAAACACAAGAAGAAGAACTTAAATTGAGAATGAGAAATAACTAAAAACAATTTAATTACTTATCTAAAATTTTTGATTAATAAATTAAAAAGTCTTTAATCTATTTCAAATGGATATAAAATTATGCTAATAAATAAGCTGATATTAAAGTTATTAATTTACTTTTAAAAACTATCAATTATTGTTTAACCAAAGGATATACTGACTTTCTAAATTTAGAAAATTTCAATTAAATCTACACCATATAACCAAAACTTAAGTAATTCGACATTTAATTACTATTAAAGGACACAATTGCTATCTGTAATGGATATTATCATACTTAAAGGGACTCTTTGGCAAATATAATCTTTTTTGAAATCAAGAATACTTTAAGCAATAATTTTATTTTATCAGATTATAAGTATGTAAAACTATTATTTTTAAATTTGCTCTTTTATACATCCTAGGCCTCTTAAACTATTGTTATAGAATTAGAGGAAATTTAATCAAAGTTACTTTAACAGCCAATCATCAAAGTTAAAATAATATATCAACATCCAAATAAATCAAAATAATAATTGTAAAATCTCCCTATACTGAACCCATAGTCATTAACAGACTTAAAACATAATAGTTAAGTTCCATTAGAATTAGATTTAGCAGTTTCAGTAATGCTAATTAGAAGATTGGGACCATTTGATAAACTTAAGATTATTCAGTAAAAAAGAAGATCAAATTACCTAGAATTTTACTTGTTTAAGTAACTTACAGAAGACTTTTTACTTATGCCTATTATATCACTAAAGCCTGTTGATAAAATTATAACACAACAGGATTCAATAATAATGAACTCTTTCTCTACTGAATTGCGTTTGGATTCTTTTTAAAATAGCGTTTAATTTTTATGATTTTTAGTTATATATATTTATAATTATAAAATAAAAGTTTGAAATGCAACCCATAACCATTCAATAAAGAAGTTCAAAATTCTTTTATTAAATTATCAATAATTATCTTTTCTAATTAATTAGCATGTACAACAAACAAATGCTATTGTAATAAATCAGATAGTATGATTGCTATAAATATTAGTTAGTTATTAAAAAACTTTTCATTTTTATATAGAATTATTTGATAGTCATTTTTATAATTGAACATCTTGCAGTTATAATAATTATTTGTGTAGTAATTATTATATTAATAAAACTAAAAATATTCCAACCCTTAAATCAATGCTAAAGCATAATAGATTCAATTTTTATAATAAATTTTACATTTCCTATTAACAAATAAAGTATTAGAAAATATATAAAACTCAAAATTAAATATTAATAACAAATCTAATGTCCTAGATAATAAAGGATTACCATTTAAAAATTCTGAATTATTGTTAATAATAAAATCTCTATTCTTTTAATATAAATAAATTTAATAAATAAATGAAATAAATAAAGAGACCAAAATATTGAAACTAATTAATTTTCTAGCAATTTTTTCTTTATCTTCAATTATTTTACTTTTATTTGATTATTTATTTATCTTTTTAATAATTCTATTTTTTTTTCTTTCATCTTAATTGAATTAGACAATTAAGTTTTTTATAATTTATAGTTTAAGTATCACCTAGTTCAATTATTTATCAATGCACTCAATAATAATTTAGCCAATATGATTTTGTAATGAATGTAAAATTAAATAATATTATAATAATAGAGGTATTATTTCATTTCATAAATGCATTGAATAATTTATTTATTGAGTCCTAAAATATTCATATATGAGTGAAGATTGGAAGAAAAAAAAAATAGATAATTTTGTCATTTTAAATAAAATCTTAGGCAAAGGTACTTATGGAACAGTCTATTTGGGGTATATGGACACTGGGTAGAATCAAGTTAGAATAGCTGTTAAAACTGTCCCAATGGATGTAATAAATTAATTATGGCTAGTCAGTGAAACAATCTCCTCAAATATTAAATCTGATAAAAAGAGAATCAACCATTTTGAAAGCTGTTGAACATCCTAATATTGTTCGTCTTTATAATGCCAATCGAACATTAAATTATATCTATATATTTTTGGAGTTCTGTCCTGATGGAGATTTAAGAAAGTTTATGCAAGGTAAGAAGGAAAAGCACTTATCAGAGGTTTATAAATAATAATAATATTTTTTAGTTGGAAGCCATTATATTTTTAAAGCATATTGTTGAAGGATTTAAAGAATTGTTTCAAAAGAAAATTATTCATAGAGATATTAAACCAGAAAACATATTACTTTCAAATGGAATTGCTAAAATTGCAGATTTTGGATTTGCTAGAGTAATGGAAGTTGAAATGGATGGTATCTATACTTTTAATTTTCTTATTAAGAACCTGGAAAGTTTTCCAGAAACGGAACTCCAATCTATATGTCACCTTAAATATTAAGAGGATAACCATTTTCAGCTAAATGTGATGTTTGGTCATTGGGTATTGTCTTTTATGAGATGTTATATGGAAAAACACCTTGGCAAGCTGAAAGTTAGATTTAATTAGAATAATTGATTTTAAATAAACCACTTAAATTTCCTACAAAACCTGTTAGAAGTTAAAAAGTAAAAGAATTAGTTGCAATGATGCTTCAAGTAGAAGAGAAAGTAAATATATTAAAAAAAATAATTAGGATAGATTGAGTTGGTAATAAATATTTGAAAATTAAGTTATTAAGATGAATGAAGATATGGTTAGATAAAATATGAATGAAATTATGAAAGAAGATCCTATGACAAAATCAATGAGTTTAAATAAAATTTATTTGGATTAATATAAAGTTGTTGGATATTTACATACAAAAATTGAAGATTATAGAGATGATAGTAAAAATGATTTAGATGGACTTAAACAAATGTTTGATGAAGAAAATGTAATCTAATATTTTTATAAATAAGCCTGATTTGATATTATCATAATATTAAAAAGAAATGAAAAGAAGAGAGTCTTTCTAAAAATTTTATACTTATTATCTTTATGAAAGGAATGTAGCTTTTTTTATTAATTATACTTAATTGAGAATCATAAAATTATAGACTTTTGGGGATATTACACTTGTTAAAGAACAATTTTTATAATTAATTTTTATGTTAGCTAGAAATCAATTATTACATTTAGATAAAATCAATTCTGCTTTGAATTCAAATAAACATGATTAATTTGATTAAGAATTATGGGGAAGATTTATAGTTAGTAAAGTAAAATTAAAAATATTTTTTTAGGATTGTTCAAGATTGCTTACAACTATTAAGAATGATATACTAATAATAAAAGATGTTTTTATTTAAGTAAGAGAAAAATGTCCATAATTTTAATAATTTTTTGATAAAATAGAAGATGTAAAAGATTTTCTAGGATAATATAAATAAATCATATCTAAAGCAATTGAAATTTTAAAGACTGCTTCTACTTCTTTAGGAAAAGATGTTTATTCTGGTATATATTACTTGAAAATTTGTTTGAATCCATATGATTTTTTCAAATAAGTTGATTTTGATTTCAATGCATTTTATGAAGAAACTGAAAATGCTTCATTAGAAGAATTATTAATTCTTATTTGAGATCATTGATTCTATTTAATATTTATGATATATAAAAATAACAAAAAATTTATATTATTTATAATGATAATATAATAATTATGATTGTTATAATGATTTCTTATTTGAATGTTAAATTATTTGTTTAGATTATATAAAAATTATATAATTCATTAGTTTAATCTGGTTTGAAGCAACTATTAAATTACATGATCAAAATTAGAAGAAGAAATAGATGATCCCAATTAATAAAGTGGATTCATCAATACTTTAATAAGTTATTCATGTGCCAATTAACAAAATCCTTTAACTTTTTCTTCTTCTTAATCTGTTAAAATCAAAAATCTAATATTTGATGGTGTCACATATCCAAAGATTCTATAATCCTATTTTTATTCTATTTCCTTTAGAAATCTTTTTATTAAATTGATTTGTACAATTCTTTTGATGATTTATATTTCTCTTCAAACACATCTAAAGAAGCATGTAATATAAATTATGCATTTAAAAGTTGTTAACTTCCTAAAGTAGTTTTTTTTAAAGGAAATCTTCTTTCATAAAGTGGATGATCATCTTAAGATAAAATCAGAAACATAATTTTAAAATTAATTTATATAATTAATATATCAGAATCTAGTAATCATTTTATCATTTAAGTTTCTAAAAGTGTTCATTTGTATTTCAACTGTCTTATTAGGTAGATCTAATATTTTATAGGTTTAAGATTGCTTTTTAACAAATTTTTAATGAGTAATCAAATATTCTTTAGGATGTAGTGATATAATAGGTATCAGATTAAATTCTTAAAGTTCTTAGAAAATATAAAATTTAATAAAATTAGTTTGATTCTTAGTTCCTTATTTAAATTTAATTTAATTAAATGGCCCAAGTTATCGAACAATCATCAGGGCAATAGGAATTTCAAGTTCGAGTTGTTTATTATTATTATGTTTTAGTTCATCTATATTTTGTGGATTAATTATAGGAAAGTTATTAAGCTTTTCTTAAGTAAGAGCAAGTCCTTAAAATTAGATATCAACTAATAAGAAGGTTTCATTAACATTATTTTCTAAATTATTTTCTTCAACCAAATTGATTCTTAAATTTGTACAGGTCTTGGAAAGAAAAAAGAGTACATTTAAGATTAATTATTTAAGTTTTTTCTGATCTGAATAAACCCATTTTTTCTTGATTTTAGAAAGAAAATTCAATGCTAAGTATTATTTGGAATTGAAATATTTGATTATCATTATACATTCTTAAATTGTTTTTTCAATATTAAATTATGTTTGTTCTATTTTATTAAATTTTCCATTTATATCATGAAAATCTGATATATTATTTAAATCATTATATACTTTTATTGCTTTACTATTAATTATTTTCATTAATTAATTAATATCAAGTTTTTGTTATTAAATTTAATGAGTTATTTAATTATGTAATAATTATTTTAAATATATAAGTGACAATCTCAATTATTATTGAACTGTTTGAGATGCTTAATCAATAAGTTTATTAGCAATTTTAAGTTTAAGTTTGATTTATTATTTTTAAGCTTCTTTCTTATTTTATTTGATGAGTATAATAACACAGGGTTCAGTGTCAAAAGTTTTAATTATTTTAATGTGATTCACATCAGAATCAATTAATCCAATTAATTAATAAGATTAAGTTTTAGATTTATTGTAGATTAAATATTATAATTTTTCTTCATTAGTAAACATATAAAACAAAAATTACTCTAGATTTAATTTTCTACAAATATTAAGTTATTCTTAAGAATAAAATTCAGAAAGTTTAGTACCTTAATAACCTACCATAACTCTAATTTTACGTATCAATTAAATAAAATTGAATTAGGTTTCATCATTTATATCCTTATTTTAATTTTACTCAATTAGATTAAATGAATTTTATTAATTATTATAATGGACTATAAATGATTATAAATCCATTTCTTTATAAAAATGCTCTTCTATAATATTTTTATTTTTTATTCCAATATAAGTTATTCTTGATTCTTTTTCTGAAATATAAAAATAATACACTATTATAACATCTGATATGATATAAATAATTAATTATCTCCAAGATAAATCTGTTTAAATACTTGATATTAAATGAACAATCAAAATTATAATTGCTATCGATAACTTCTTAAGAAAATCCATAGGTGAAATAACTCTTTATTATAATTTATTTATACCCAAGTGTAGCTAAAGAAATGAAGTAACCATTTGAAAAATAATTGTTTCTCAATCTACCTCTAAGGAGTAAATCAATTGGCTATTAGATATTATATATCAAAATAGTTATCAAAATACAGAGTTCTTGAAATTCCTGTAAGTAGAATCTAAAATAGTGACTTAGTAAAATGATCATTAATCCTATGGTATTATATATCAATTCAACCCAAGATTCACTTAGAGCATTATCTGCAACCTATAAAATAAGTAATATCATCAGGAGTATCTTCTGTTGGAATAATGATTAATTTAGTAAAATTTATCTAGATATTTTATAGTGTCTCTCAAATTCTGAATCATTAAACCTTAAAGTTAAAGAATTCATAATAAATTAAATTAATATATAAAATCAAAAGTTAATTAAAAAAACAATAATAAAATCAATTACTCAACCCTTATTAAATACTTATGTACATCCAAAATCATTATAATTTTAGATTCATATACGAGGACTTGCTAACATCTTTTCATACATTAAATTGAATTTATTCAAATGCTATATATGTTTATTTCTAAGTAATTAAAAATTGAGAGGATGCAACGAATATATAGGAATTAAATGATAAAGTTAATACCATAAACTTTTTATTCTGAAAATCTATCCATTTTTATTATTGTTCTTCTAATATTTAAAAAATATAAAATTCTAAATAATTTTATGTCTTTTTATACTATTATAAAAGTATTTTATCATAAGGAGCTATCTTAATGTATTATGAAGTAGTTCTCCAAAATTTTATGAACTAATTATCTGCAACCCTTACAACTATTTATTACTCAAATAAGGGCCTTAATAAATGATTTTAATTTTGATTACTGCCTTACATTGTTGTCAATGAGTAACATGCTATAAGCTAATAGCTACAGTTTGAGAAGAATTTGAAACAAAAAATATCAATTTATAAAATTATGTTTGAATTATTTTTCATCTTATAATATATTTTACTATTCTGAGTTAATATCTTTGTTTATGTCTTAGTATTATATAATTCTAGTTATTTTATTAAGACCATAAATGATGTTAATTTTCTTTATTATTGACCTTTTGAAGTCTGAATTAATGAATTAAAATTAATTATATTTTAAAGTTATTATTATAGCCTTTATAATTTATCCATGAATATAAACCTCCTTTTTATTATCATATTTATAAATCCATTAAAAATATATCAAAGAAACCTAACTTGATGCTTGAATATAAATTAAGCCTAACCCAAACATTTTTTTAACATTATATTCTTCAAAGACAATTCTTCTAGCTAAACCTACTTTTCTTTTCCTATAATATTAGTAATCTCTCAGAAATTATTGATATAAGTAAGATTTTAATTCTTATTTCCTTTAAGATTAATTTATAGGTTCTAAGCCTAAGATGGATGAGAACTTTCCTGAATTTTAAAACTATTAAATTTTCATATTTTTTAAATAATCATCAAAATCTTCCAAAATTTATCTCTGTATCTCCTACAAATCATCCTTCTTTATTAATTCAAATTATTAGTTTCTGTTTTATAATGAATAAAAAAAAATTTTAATATTTGTTAAGTCATATATACCCTTCAAAGTTGTTGTTCTTTTAAATTGTTAAGAAAATTGTATTTTCTATCCTTCTCCAAACAATATAAATGTTAAAAATAAAGAGATGTAAAGATTGTGCATTTTATAAGCTCATTTCAAAATTCAGTTTCAGAGAGCATGCTTAAACTCTTTAAGGATACAATAATTATAGCAATTATGTTATAGCGATCGCATATAAGATTTCTTAACTATTATTTAAAAAATCTTATATATTTGTAATAAACAGACAGAATTAAATATATTATCTACAAAAAAGATTTTTTAAATTCAGTATGCTTATTGAATTGGGATCGTATTTCAATTAAAAAAGGAAATATGCATATTTTTATGTGTAAAAATGAGATAAATGTAATTTATAGCTTTAGCAAGTGTATTCCTCTCATTCTTTTACTTTATTAAACTTTTATCTTAATATAGCTCCTTCCTTATTTCTTGGTCATCCCTAAGAAATATTTTTGATAAAAAACTAAAAAGCAATATTTTAATATTTACTCTTTGTTAATGGTTGAGCAAGTCATTATCAATAGATTTTGTGAAAAAAAATTGTAGTTGCTAGTTCACTTCCACCTTTAATTTTGTAGAACGCATTAAAAATTATATTTTAACAACTATTTTTTAATTCAGATTGGTTCTTTTGCAAAAATAAAGAGCAAAGATTTTACTTGATAGATATTGATTCTCAAAATTTAGAAAATAAATTTATGAATTTTACATTTTTTTTTATTTCTAGAGTAATTTAGAAATATAAACTTGAAAAAAAATAATTAATTCCATATTTGTCATCAAGATTATTTATTTTTATTCCTATTATTCCTGAAAAATAAATTTTTGATATATTTTGCTATATGAAAATATTTTACTTATTAATGCCCTTAAATGGATTCAATTTTAATGGAATTTTATTATTCTTAACTAGAAACAATATTTAAGGAAGAGTGATCAAAGGACAGGATATATGTGACCAGAACTGCTTAGACCTCTTAGGATGTTCCTTCTAAAGCTCAAGAGCAGAGAAACCATTATAAAATGGAGATGGCCCCTTTTGTGATAATAAGTTTGGCTGGCTATTTTATCAAAAAATTTATAAGAACAAAAATCTTGAAGAACAATAGAGGGTGAAGATTTGATAGAATTACAATTTTTTTAATTTGGAACATGAAAAGAGTCTAACTAATTTAAAAAAAAGGAGATATGAGAGCAATTCAAAAAGATAAGTGCAAGCAAAAAGTTAAGCATCCCTTGCTATTTCAAAAATATAAGAGAATTTTAATTTTAAAGAATGAGAGGAATAAACTTGTTAAAGCTATAAATTACATTAATCTCATTAATACACATAAAAATACGCCTATTTTTTCATTTTTATTGAAAGAGGATCTCAAATCAAATAAGCATATTTAATTTAAAAAAAATCTTTTTGGTAGATAATATATTATATAATAATTATTTAAAATAACTGCAAAATTTTTGTCTTTGGTTATAAATATATGCTACGTCTTTGAAAACTCAATCTTGATGAAACACCTATATTTTTCACTAAATTCCCTTTTTATTATAATAATTAAATTTACCGATATCATAATTTGATATAAATTATATTAAAACATCTTTATAATTAAAATTTATTGATTTCATCTTATTATTCATTCTGAAGATATTTTTTGTGCAAGAATAGTAGTTTTAAATCTGAAACTAAAAATATTAATCATACTAAAATATTTAAATTTAGATATACCCAAAAGTGCCAACTGATATTAAATATCCATCAACATATTAGTTATCCCCTGAAGTTAATGAGAAGTATTTAGATAATGGAAAATAAAGGCTATAACTAACGACTACAAATATCAGAAAGAAATCATATAATTTATGACGTTTATTTGAAGCATAAATTTATAAAAATGACTATTAACCAGTTTAATATAATGAATCTCAAGCTTACTCATTCTTATTCAATAATTTTAATAATAATAAAGTAGATCATTATGACTTTGAATATCCATTTTTACTAATTTTGAAATTCTATGGATTATTTTTTATTCATCGATTAGTATTACTACTTAACATCCTTGTTCAAGAAGGTTAGAGTAAATTTATGCATTATAAATTCTAATTATATTATTTTGTTATTTTTAATATATAAACCTTTTTGTTGAAAAATCAATCTAACATTATAATTAATTTCTTTTCAAAAAGTTAAAATATTAATTAATACATTATATTAATAATTAAAATCAATTATTCATTTTATTTAGCATTCATTTTTGCAGTTTTTAGTAACTTATCTTATTCCTTATCTCATAATATGTTTTAATTCTAACCTTAAGTCTTCATCTCAAATTAGTACCAGAATATATGGTTATATTTATTAATGATTTAGTTTTAAAGAGACCAAAACAAAAAAAAACTTATATAAGTAATATGAGTTTCTCACTCAATATTATTTTAGATTAAATTATTTTTTTATTACATTTTAAAACATAAACAATTTAAGGACATGAACAGATTTTCGTTAGAGTTTAAGGATAAATTAATGGAATCTAAATATTAGAAGACAAAAAAACTAAAATTTCAACAAGTTCAAAAAGTTCAACAGATTATTACTATTTTGCTGCTTTTAATTTTTTTAATTGTAAGTGCTTTAAGGCATGCGTGGATCCCATTAACAGTTGGCTGCTTCATTACTATAATCCTTTTAATATCCATAAGAATGAATTTGAATAGAAAATAAAAGTCTTACTACTTAAATACAATATTAATAAGTGTGACATTTTTCAATTATTTTAAAGCAGTGCAAAATGTTTATACTGATAATGCTATTAATCCAAATTACTTAGATGGTTACATGTTCGCACTCATAACAATATCATGTATATTACATATAATATATGATTAGTAATACATTAAGGAAGTTTTATGTAAAAAAGTTTCATATTAGGATCTATTTACATTACTTTACAAGTGTTTAAACCTAATCAAGAAGAATTATGGAAATAAATTACTTAATTTGTTTTTTTTCTTTTTCTTTGTTTATTTTAACTTTATGAAATAGAAAAGATACAAAGATAGGACTATCTTTAATCATTAAAGCACTAAAAAGCTGAATAATAAATGATTAATTTTTGTGGTATAACATCATATTTGATATCCTATTAAAGGGATTCAAATCAAATATTATTAACTTCTAATAATGAAGAAGAAATAGTAAAATTTGAAGATCAATAATAATTTATAATGTAAATTAGGAATATGAGAGTTTTAATAAAAGATTAAGAAACATAAACAAATTATCTATCTCAAGAAGGAATTAATTAAGATGCAAAAATGACTCTAGAAAAATTGTTATATTATTTTTTGACTTGTCCAGAAAAACTCAAAGAATATATGAAATAATTATCATCTGAATCTGTTATTAAGTTATAAGGTGTACTTAATTAAGAAAATTATAATATTTAAATACTTAAATATTTTGATGAATTACCTAGTGCAATTATATTAATTTCTCAAAATAAGAAAGATGTATTTATAGAAGAATTAAAATTGAGATATAAATTATTCTAATAAGCATTAGAAACTATTGATTAAATATTTTCAACTTAAATCAAAATGAGCCTTGTCTATCTTTTAGCTTTGCATAAATATCAAAAAATAAAACCATACAATAAGAATATCTCATATTATAAAAAAGTTTAAAGTAAGATTGCTAAAGCTTATAATGATTTCTAAAATATCAAAGATTTTTTTAATTTAAACTCTTCTTTTTAAAGGACTATTATTCAAAATTTTAATCTGATTACATTTTTAGATGATATTTTACATGAAATTTAATATTATTTTTATTAAAGTAAATAATTCACCTTTTAAATTAAAAGCAGATTAAAAAAAGAGACAGTCTGTCAAGATTAAAAATAACTAAAACAATTAATTTTAAATATTCTTTATTTTATTACTGAACGATGTTAAGATATAACTATATATTTAGAAGAAAGCGATGGACCCTAATCAAAATTATCATTTATTCGTATAAGATTAGAATACTAAGGTTTGTGTTTTTGCAAAGATTCTCTAAAAGGATTACCTTTTATAAATCCAGTAACAATATCAGAATTAAGACATAATACAGAAAAAGCCTATTAATTAAATTTACCTATGGCTGTTGTTATTGTAAGAAAACTTGGACCCACCAATAAAATTTATATTAAATAAAATAAAAATGGCAACAGTTATTTGGAATTCTTAATTTTTAGAGAATTATATGAAGATTTTCATTTAATGTCACTCTAATCCCAACATCCCATTAATTATTTAATAATGAATACAAAGTCTTCCGTTCATGGTAAACATGCAGCATATTTGGATCTTATGGCACTCAGTCCCAGAATATAGTTAGATAAATTTGAGCAATTATGAATTTTTAATGATGATATCCATAAGATAATTGTTTTTTGTTTATCAAGTATTAAAATTGTAGTTCACTTATTTACTATTTATCTACAAAATCATAATTATTAATTATGAATTTGGAGATATTTTATATTATAATTTATTAAATACAAAAATGTAATTTTTGTCTCAAAAGTTTGTTTCTGAAAAATTTGAAGGGCAATTTTAGAAATACTTGAAAAAGTTTCGAATAAGGTTTCAATTAATTCAGAAGGTAATTATACTACCACTTATAATTTATTACACAATTGAAAAAGTATTTTCATCAAGTTGGTTTGTAGTAAGTTTAAATATCATTTTGGGATTGATAGTGATATTTAGCTTAAAATTTTAGAAAAAATGCATAAGAGTATATGAGATTTTAATTCTGATTGGAATTCTACTATTTAATTTATTCTATGCAACTTCATAGTATTTAAATGTACATCCTGAAAGATATTAGTTTATAGATGGTTATTTCTTAGCCATTTTAAGTTTAACGTATAGATATTTAATTTTACTTTAAGAATGATAAATATGATGGATACAATTCAAAAAGCATTCCTTTTGTTATTTATTTACCTAATATATCTCATTATGATTCCCAATAAAGCAGAACCAATTTGGCAGTAAATAGTTAAATTCTTTTTATATATTATTCTTTACTATCAATAATAGAGATACTAGCAATAATTATTAAGATTAACTTATCTTCAATATTTTAAGCATTTGACAATTGAAAACACAATAAGGGAAAATCTAGATATGAAATATTATGTTGTGCATTTTATTGAAACAAAACGATAATTCCTTCTAAAATCAGAAGATTATAATTAATATTTGAATGAAGAAGATTAATATGCTTTTTAATAATATTTACGCAAAATTAATATCTCATCTTCTAGTTAAGATATAGAGAAACAAACATCAACGAAAATGAGATCTGCAAAAATGAATTTGGAACAATTTTTATTTTATTTATTTACAGATAGAAAAAAATTACAAAGCTTATAAAGTTATGAAAATAAATACTTAGAACATTAGCATCATATATTTGGATTTACAACAGGTGAATCTTACATAATCAAAGTTATTAAATGTTATGATACTGAACCATGTGCAATATTATTAATAACTGAATAATAAAAGCAATAATTTGTAGATAAACTTAAATTACAAAATAAAGCAACATTGAAATTATTAAACTATTTTTCAGATATATTTACAGCTTAAATTAGAGTTGCTTTAATAGTTCTTAATAGAATGTTAAAATATCAATAAAAAAATAAAAAGAATGTAATCAAAAATAAAGAATATTCTTTTTTAAAGTATATAAATTCTTAACTTTATATTGCATATAATTAATTTTATAATATATCTGATTATTTTTAAGCTAATTCTGAGTTTAGAAGAATTTAAATTACAAGATTTAATTTGATTTAAGTTATTGAAGAATTATTTGAAAAATTGAAATATTATAGAAAGATTGATTAAATTATGACTAGAAATTTTGTTTTAAAAACTAAAATTTAAGAACTTTATATTAAATCTGATATGAAACAAATCTCATAACTATTTTTTAATTTAACTAAATTTGCTATGCAATATTCAGATGAAATCTAAATAGATTTAGATGAAGGATTTGATCAATCTTATCCCCCTTAACCTATAATTAATGTCTAAATTTTATTCAAAAATTCAACAGGTACTAAAATTGAACTCAGAAAATTTCCTATAATAAATCCAAAAACCTTATAAGAAATAAAAACTAATGATAAAAGGCCTTTGGATCTTGATGTGTCTATATCATTATTAATAATTAGAAATCTAGGGCCTTTTGATAAAATGACTATTAGAAAAACAAGTAAGTAATTCTACAAAATTTAATTTTTTATTTATAAAAGTATGAATTAGGATTTACATTTAATACCAATTCATTCCTTTGATCCTTCCTTATTTATCAAAAGAGATGATGATTGGCAATAACTTAATCATTTTGGAAATTAATCAGTCATCAATTGCTATAATGATTCTCCAGAAATAAGATTAGATACTTTAAGATGTATTACAATTCCTGATACTGCCTTAAGAAATTGAAGTATTTATATTTTTGTATATTAATTTAATTTTATCAAACCCATCAAATACTGATAAATAGTATTTCTAAATTGCAATTAATAATTTCAATTAATTTATTAATAAAAAACAATTATATGGATCCTTTTATACCAATATAAACAACCTAAAAATCAATTGTTAGGATAGCTTTAGATATTTTATTCCTATTTGTTAAATTACCTTTATTTACTTTTCTAATAGTTGAAATAGTTATCATAAATGATTTGATATTTCGCTAAATATAAAGACTTGAATTTCACATTGTATTTCATAAATTTCTTAGAATCATAATCTTATTGCATAATTATATAAGTGGAAGATTATTATTGTTAGTTTTGGGATACTTTAAATATAAATCTCTATTTCATAGCTCTGCACCAAATTTTAAACATGGAAACTTATAATCCTATTGCTTTTATTGTTCAAGAACTTCCCCAATTGATGTTTTTGTTTTAATAACATAGTAATATATTTTATAATTTAGTTTTTCACCATCATTTACTCATATTTCAATTTAAAAAGATAAAGTTAAGTGCAAAATAATAAGCTATGGTAAAGCTATCTTAGAATCATTTTAAATAAGTAAATGTGGATTCAAAAATTTTACGGATGGAGACAGCATAAAAGATTTAATGATTTAGATTAGAAGAACAAGAACTGGTCCTTTGATATTATTTTGGGAAGGAGGAATAACAAATGGATACTCTTTATTGAAAATTGACAAAGCCATTGTAAATGAAATGTATAACATCTGCAACTTCTCTTAAGAATCACTATAGCGATCTCATTATTGCAATTCAAATCCTTAAGGCATGTTATGTTTACAACATGAAGATAGGATGAATTTGATAGGAAATAATCCACTTTAGATGTTAATTAATATATTAACAAATTCATTTTGCAGTTTAGATATGTTTTTCTTAAAATGCTAATCATATAATTTTAAGGATCATCTACCAGAATTGTATTAAAAATTTGTTGAAGATATTATTAAGAGAGGAATAGTAAAATATTTTAATATTATTAGAGTGATTATACATGGAAAGAGTTTAGAAAATAATTTATACAATAAAATGCATGAAAGTCAATTTGAATTATTTATTTTTTTAGTAATTATATCATAAATCATCTTAAACTAAAGATAAAGTTTTTTGGCATAAATTCTAATGATTATGAAATTCTATGTTTGCCATTTCATTTCTAATACATTATGTTAAACTCATAAACATTTATTTAGTAGCCATTTAAATTTATTCATCATCTGTATCTACATCATGATCTTATCGTAGTTCTTTTAATCTGAATTATTTCATATTGTCTTTAATACATCTAAAAGCATAAATTTGATTTCCTTTTTTGTATTTCACTAATTACCCACAATAAATTTTGAATCCATTCTTAAAAATGGCATTTTTCATTTTTAAAGAAACAGATTTTTTATGCCAAATATCTTTAGAAATACTCTTTTAAACTCTTTAATTTTAGATTTAGGTTGATTTAACAATTGAATTCATTTTTATTGATTGATTTTTTTATTAGCATTATTAATTTAAAGGAATGTTTTTTTTCTAAAATTAAGTAATAACCTAGCCTTTTTGTTTTAAATTCAAATGAGGTTAATGAATTTCCATTTTCTTTTTCAACTAAAAATTATTAAACATACGTTAATTTATATAATTTAACTTCATTAAGAATGAATTAAGTTTATTCATTCAATTTTTATTATTGAGAATAATATTTATATATGTATATCATTAAATTAATTGAAGAATATTGAATGAACTAAATCTTTCATTAATAATTAACATAAAGAATGTAATAAAATTTAGTAAAAGAGATTTTCGAACAATTAATTTAAATTTGTTTATATAGTAATCCTTTTTAATATCAATCAATTATTCTAACTATTATTCTTATTTAAACAAATTTGTTTTATAATGATTTAAAATAATAACAATCAGAAAGTAATAGAAAAAATAAAAATTTAACAATATTTTATTCTTTATAAATAATCAACAACATCCTCCATCTTTTTATTTTTTTTAGTTTGATGTGTTTGCACTCAGTTTATTTGATTGTGAAGTGTTGGTATTAGTTTATCTAAATATAATATTATATTAATTAATACCCTCTAGATTATGATTATTATGAAGCATTTGGTGTCAAATTAGTAGTTTTTTGTGGTTAGGAAGCATCTTTTTTAGCCATTAGTTTTCTTGATAGTTCAAGAAATGCATTATTTACATGATCAGCTGTCTTTGCACTACATTCCATAAAAAGCATATTATGAGATTTACAATATTCTTCAGCCTTTGATGTTTCAACTCTTATTTAATTATATAATTTTGTTACTATTTCTATTCATCTAAATCATTTTTATTTCCAATAACTAATAATTAAACATTTTTTTCTCCATATGATTCTACCTCATGTAACCAAAATTTATCAATATCATCAAATGATTATCCTTATGTAACATCATATACCATAACAATTCCATCAGCACCCTAAAATATTTATAATAATGATTTTTAATTACTTTATAATATGCACTTGTGATTGTTCTAAATCTTTCTTGTCCAGCAGTATCCCAAATCTATAATTTTACATTTTTGCCATCTATAGGCAATGTTCTGAATCTAAAATCAACACCTATTGTTGTTAGGTAAGATTCACTAAATTGATCATCTGCAAATCTCAATAATAATGAACTCTTTCCCACTCCAGAGTTACCAATAATAACTAATTTGAACAAATAATCATATTCTTTAATCATCTTGTAATTTCTTTTCTTTTTAATTAAATATTCAAAATTTAGAATTTATCATATTTTATATTTCCAATAAAAAAGAGAATCATAATACTCTTGTTAATATAAATTATATTTTATAATAATAATAATAACTTAGTAATAAACTACTAAATTCTCTATTTTATAATAATATGTTATAAATTTTTTGATACCTTATCATATTAAATAGGAATTAACATTTCATTTAGTATATTTTTTCATTTTTTTTAAGATTGTTGAAAAGATGCTAAAATCTTTGATTTTCATAAATAAATTTAGAATTGATATTTCTGGATCAAGCTTTACTATGTTTCAGACTTAATAAATAACTGACTAGGATTAAGCCTTCATATTATAAGAATATTAAATATCCACTTTATTAAGAATTAAAATTTCTTAATAAATTATTTTTTTAAATAACTCAAATCATAGTTTTAGATGAATTCAGATATATTATATAATCCATACTAGTCTACTGCATATTATTTCCCATAGTTTCCAAACTTTTAATAGCAATTCATTCAATATAGTAACTAATAGTTTAAATTAGCTCAAAGTGATATTTTAATAACAGAATGTTCCGATGCAATTTCCATAATTGAAATATGATTGGAGAGTCTAACCAACAAATATCTTAATGAATTGTCAATACGATATTCCTGAAATAAAGAATACAAACTAAAATAATCATATAACTGAAGTAGAGTTAGGAAATTCAGAAAAATATTAATTAGGAGAAGAAGACTCTTAAACAAAATCAAATGGTATAAATTAATTATATTTTTAAGGTCATTGGACACAATAAGAGCATTTATAGTATTTAGAATTTGTGAAGAGTCATGAATCCATCTTAAAATCAAAATATGACAAAAAATCTAAGAAAATATTCAAAATCATGAGTTAATTCATACCAACAAGAACAGCTACTTAATGTAGGTCACATCATTAAAAGTTTAATCCTTTAAATAAAGGAAAGAAGAAATTTTAAAAAGTATTTCGATAGATTCCTACAGTGATTCTTCCATAAAATTAAAGTTGACTTCTTCGACTCTATATATTTTAATTCATTTTTATCACAAATTAGATTATTGTATCTATATTAAATAATAATTAATGCATGGAATTCATTATAAAAATATAATACAGAATTCTATTTAATAATCATAGAATAATTCATAAGGTTAAAAACATATTCTCCATTTACTTAAACTAATTTATTTTTATATAAATTATTAATTCTAAAATTATATTGATCAATTATACTTTCTTTCTTATTATTGCAATATCTGAATTTGTTAGGTTGATATTTTTATAATATTATAATCATCATTAAGGAATTAAATACTAATTGTATAGTTAAATTTGTATATGACAAGAATTTTAGTTCATATTAATAATAAATAAAATTAAAGAAAATTAAATTTATACAAAATATTCTAAATTTATAAAATATCTTTAATATCTCTTTTTATCATCTCATAATAAAATTATAAGACTTTAATCTTTGTATTAATTTTGATTACAAAATCAAATAAATATAGTATTGTTGATTTCCTATAATCACTAATATTTCTATTGGGTTTCTTATTTAATTAAAACCTACTTCTTTATCCATAAGCTAATTTATTTGAGGAATATTTATTGAAATTTTATTTTAATTTTGAAATATTTACATGAACACCTTTGGTTAAAATATAAAAGAAGATTTTATTATTGAAAATGGATTTGTATGTGTAAATCATAGTAGTTTTGGTTTTGTACCTAAATAGGTTTTTTAGTTAAGAATACAACATTATACAAAATTTTTATAAAATCCTGATAGATTCACAAAAATAGATTATCCTAAATACACAATAGAAATTAGAAAGACAGCTGCAGAATTTCTAAATGCTGATTTTAATTAATGTATGTTAACTAGTAATTCTGCTGAAGCCTTTAATAGTATCATAAGAAGTAATTTTCATATTTTCATTATTAGATCTTGGACTAACAGAAAATGATACAATCTTATATTTCAGTACTGCATATCCAATGGTTTAAAATACAATCTAATTCATGACTTCCAATTACAATGTTAAGTAAAATAGGATTGAATTAAAAAGACAACATTTGGAAAAATAAAAAATCTTATCCTTATTTGAAAGTAATAAGATTTGTTTATAACTTATAGAATAACTCAAAACACAGAAAATTACAATTGCAGTTTTTGATAATATATCAGCATAACCATCTTTAATAATGCCTATTAAAGAATTAATATCGTTATGCAAAAAATATAATGTAATAAGTATAGTTGATGCTGCACATGGTGCTGGAATAACAGTTTTAGATATCAAAGATTTAGATCCAGACTTTCTATTTACTAATTTTAATAAATGGGCATTTTGTCCTTCAGGCATTAATATTTTATATTTGAAAGAACAATATTTAAATAAAATTCATCATAATACAATTTCTGTTAATTATGGAAATGGTTTGGCAAAAGAATGTGAATTTTCTGGTACAAAAGATTTTAGCTTATCACTTTCTTTGATTGATGGAGTTAATTTTATTAAAAAATATGGATTAAATTAAATAATTAAATATTCTGAAGATTTAGCTTGGGAAGGAGCTAATTTGGTTGCACAAATTTGGTAAACAGAATTATTAGTAAATGATAAATCTATGCATTCAGCTATGGTAAATGTTAGAATACCTCATTAAGATCAAAATTATTGCAGAGAATGTCAAAAAAAGGTAAATTATATTAATGAATATGTAGTGTTTTGAAAAATATAATGTATTTTTGGTAGTATTTAAGTATGATGATTTAAATTGGTCAAGATTATCTGCCAGTTTATATAACACAATAGCAGATTATGAATATGCAGCTAGATGTTATTTGAAAGTCTTGAAGGGAGAAGAATGAAGAATTTATAACACATTTTAATTATTTGAATAACCTAAGGATTTTATTAGAATATTATTTCTTGCTTAATTTATTATATTGGTTTATTTAGAGATTTAGAAATAAAATAAATTTGACCAAAATAATAAGAATAGTAATACTTAAATATTATTTATTAAACATTTTTAATCATTAATCTACTATCTAAACTTTGACTATTATTTATTCTGTAATTTTCTAATCATAAAGCACTTGAATAATTTCTAGTGATGAAGATTGTAAATTTATTTTTAATTGATTATATTGTTGAAATGCTTATTTAAATTTTGGAAAAAAACCTATGTAATTCATTTGACTAAAACAATTAAATGTAAATGAATAAGATTTTTAGACACTACATGAATTACATTTATTAAAATCTGCTTATATCTTCTTTCCATTTGGACAAGTAGATTAAATAATCATATAAAGAGGCATAATTGACTTATTTACAATGTAATTATAATTTCCTGATGAAGTATAAATTGCATTTAATGAAACCAATTCAAAATAAATTGGAGGCACAATAGATAAATTTGGAAGATGTTTACGACTTGTTCTAATGCTGAAACATTCAAGTGCTTTATATGAATTTGTAAATTAATAAGCAACCCAAATTTAAGAATGTCTATTTGGAGTTTCACTTTAATCCCCTAAAGTAAACCTATATCAAACTATTACATGTGCCATAAGTATACTATATTGTTGATTGAGTTGTTGTAAGAATGGCTCTAATTCTTATATTGTTATTGTTATTGTAATTCAGTCCCTACAAAGGAATGAAAAACCATCTGTTTTATTATATTGGTAATATATCACTACTAAATGCTCCTGTTGGTGACTTTAATCCTAAATTAATAAAGGCTTCCTCAACTCCAACAACTACTTAATAACCAATTTATTTTAGATTTGAAAATTTTCCTGCAATTTTTGTGATTCCAATAGTTGCAGAGTTAGGTGTGATTGAATTCATCTAGATTTTATTAAACTACATTTACTGTTAATGTAAAATCGATTGGACCTGCATAATGAATGCTAGTAATTGTCATAAACCCATAAGATGCGTTTGGATTCTAGATAGAAAATGTTTTGTCATCAGGGTTCACCATATTAAAGTTATTTAGTACTTCAATACGTCTATCATCTAGAGCAAACCATCTTATTTAATTTCTATAAATCCTATTATTAGCACAACTAGTTGTTATTGTGAAACCTATTAAAAAAACTTTAATTACTTATTGTTGTTATTGTTGTTATTGATAAGGAAAATTCTAATTGTGCTTAACTCCAATCTATCTTTTCTATATAAATAAAAACTTAAGGTATATTCTCAAATGTTCCAGAGAATTAAATTACTGAGGTTTTTGAAAATCCATTTTAACAATTGAAGCTAGCACTTTCATAATCAAATCCTAGAAATAGACCAGTGTCATATTTGATGTATTCATACGAGAAATGAAAGAACATCAAAAAAAGTATCGATTGAAACATATTATATTTAAATATTATTATTAAGTACTATTAATATTTTAATACTTTTATATAGCTTTTTTGAAGCAAAATTAATAATTAAATCCTTTATAGTATTAAAAATAAAATTAGTCTTAATGTTAAAAAATGCCAAATAAATTTAATCCTTATAAAATACATTTATATTTACATTTCAATATTATATATTCTAAAAGGATATAATAAAAATTTAAACATATAATTAATAGAACTCCTATATCAGTATTAAAATCTAAAATATCATTTATCAACTTTAAATCTAATTATAAAAAGAAATGATATGTTTTTATGAAAAATTAGAAAATTCTTAAATTTTAAAATAATAAAAAGGATTAAATAAGCAAATATATTCTTTATAATCATTTTATAAGAGTGAAATTCACTAAAATAACGATGATAATAGAACCTAAAAACAATGAAAAATGAAAATTTCAGTAATGAAATTAAAAGAGTCAAATTTGCTAATATGAATCTAGAGTAGATAAATTTAAAGATAGAAAATCCTAAAAATTTCATTCTTTCAGCAGCTACACCGGTTAGTATTTCAATTCTAATTGCCTCCTGATGTCCTGAGTACTATTTACAATATTTATTTAATTAATTACTAAAATTTTATATTATCATTTCCATATTAGGTGACTTCCCATTTTGTGCCTACATATGATATAATATATAAAATTCCATTTAAATTGATATTAAAATTAATTAATTATATATTTATATAAAATAGAATAAATATCTACACAATTCAATCTAATTTGATCATTGAATATATTTTTTTAACAAAAATGTGACTTGCTAAAAATCCCACTGTTCCACATATTAATCCCAAACATAAAGATACCATATACATAGTACCAAAATAATACAAAATTGTTGAAAATCTTGATATTTTATTAAATATACCTTGTAAATTGTAAAGAATCCAAGTAATATTAGATTGAATATATAAATAAATATACACCTGAAGTAAAAGGGACAAAGAAGGCTTTCCACCACCATCTATGATTTTACTTTTATAGTAGTAAATAAACAGTTAATATTGAAACTTCAGCACTTATAATAATCAATAAAATTGCAGTAAAAAATAATGAAACAAAGAATTCATAATAAGAATTCTTCCAAATTAATTACATTACTTAACTAATCTCAAGACCAACGGATCTATTTAGAAATAAGAAACTTACATAAAACATATAAGTCCTCCAATCAAACAACTATAAAAATAATCCATATAAAACGGTTGCTATGGAATTTCCTAAGCAATTTACCCATATTTGCATGGATTTTTAGGGGATTCCAATTTAAATCCTATAAATGATCCAAGTAAGTTTAGAGGTGTTTGAATACCAAGTTATAAAGCAATAAATGTAATACCAGATTTAAAGTCTAATCCACTTGAAGATTCTTCAAACATCAGTGCAATGTTTTCTATGCCAAATATAAATAAAGCCATAACTGGAAAGGCTAAATTACTTCCCAATGTACATAATAACCAATATTCACCTTTAAAATACTTGTAAAATTTTGAAGAATAGTATCCATTCAAACTGCCTGTAAAAGCATAAATAACAATTACAAATGTTGCTAAATTTCCTGTATGTGCAGAATAGAGAAATCCTATTGATGAAAAAAAGAAAACACAAATAGTCATAATAGTAAATTGAATACCAGTACCAATCAAAACACTTAAAAATAATATGCCTGATGGAGGTCTAAAAACATCTCTACTAATTTATTTCCATCCCATTTAATCAATCAATCCATCATTCTCTTCTTGTGGTAAGGCTTCAAATTTTAACACATCTCTTTTTATGGTAAATCTAATAAACCAAGCAATTAAAACAGTTAAGCAAAGAGTGATAGTAAAAGTGATACTAATAGAAACCCATTGTTAATCAGAATCAGTTACTATATTTAAATATGCTGACCATCTATTAGATGAGTTAGTCATTAAATATTTAACAGAATAAGTGATATTCATCATTTAATTGATTGGACAATTAATTCCAGAATCTATTTCAGAACTATCCATACATTTAGATTCAAATTAAACTATTATTGAATTAATACTAAAAGTCTAATTGATTTCTGATTTAGTAGTGTTATAAATTTCTATCAAGAAATTGTAATGATTATAAAAAGAATACTAATTGATATTTCTAACCCCTAAAGGTACTCCAATTATAGTATTGTTCAAATAATCTCTAGATAATATTGGCAGATCATCTATTTACATATTGACTCTATAATCATGGTCAATGAACCATTTTAAATTATTCTGTTCTGTTTATGTAAAATCTTTAACACAAACTATTTAATCCATTATTTCATAATTCATATATATCTATAAGATTAGTTATTTTATTACTTAATATTTAGACTATTATGTTAAAGTGCCTAATATCATGGATCCAATATTTTAATTTTAATTTTCAGTGGAGTTTGGTTTGCAGATATCAAGATCATAATAATCATATGGAAGTTGAGTAGAATCTGAAGTCATCTCATTTATTAAAACAGCAATCTATTCTCCCTCAGAATACACCTTTTATTGAATCCCTGGTAAGTCAAATGTATAAATGACATATATCATAGACAATACTATAAAGTTCATTTTTGTTAATTTTATTATATTATAAATTTATGTATTCTTTTTATTTTTATTTTTTGAGAAAATTAATCTTTGTGATTTCAAAATTATAGCTAATAGAAATTCTAATATCTTAAATTATTGATAAAGGTTAAGTAATCAAAAAAGGTTGAAGAATCATATAATAATTAAAAAAAAAAACACTAAAAGAAACTAAAAATAAGCAATCTTGAATAATTGAGTCAATAAACAAAAGCAGAATTTAATTAAAATTAGCATAGAACCATGTTAATTTGAAGATAAAATCTAATAAATTTAAAATATAAATACATAATAAGAATATAAAATCTCATAAATTATGAAAGGCAGATCAAAAAGCAACAAAAGATAGTCAAATCATCAAATAATTTGAAAACTTTATTTTTAATTATTACAAATAGAAGTCTCTTTACCTTTTAATGTAATAGACTAATTTCTTAATATAGTTACAATAATATATAAATAATAATTGAAACTGATTCAGTATTTTATAGTAGATGAATTTTCTATTATTAATCAATAATTAGATAATCTTTCGGTATTTGAAATATATCCCTTAAGAGGGATGATGGGAATATAAAAGTATATGAAATAAAAAAATTATCTAAAATTATTGAATTTGTTTACGAAAGATTAAGCAATTTTCAAGTAAATCAAAATTATAAATTAAATCAATTATTTATTTAGAAAATATTTCACTTAAATATAATAAATAAATATTGATGTAAAAAGTACAACTTTTTGATATTATATTTAGATTATATTTATTATTATTTTTTTACTTAACTAATAAATATCATCATATATTATTAATAAAATTTAAGAATCACTCTTCTTCTTCTAATTCCACTGTTACTACCTCCATTTTCTTAGACCATGGACTTAATTGATATCATACATAATACTTTTCATACAATGTTCCCTTATAGTTTTTACCATCAGATAATTATACAAAGATTAAATATGTTTTTCCAGCTATAAATTACTCTTTAACTGATTTTATTTCCATTATAGAAGTATCTTCTTCTAAATCAAATTTTGGTATTAACTTTGAAAGTAATAATGTTTAAATTTATGGAAATTTTTCACTAAACTATTTGGTATTTAGATCTACCCAACCATGATATTTAGAATTATAAGCTTTTTTGTTATCAACTCTAAGATTCTGTTATTCCAAAGCAGTCACTTTTCTTGTGTTAGTCCATGGTCTTAAAATAAATAATTATCAAAGTATTACTAATCATAAATTATGATCTCAAATTGAATATATTGATTAGGATCATCTTTTTTTTAATAGTCAACAATCATTTTATAATTGACACCTGAAACAATTTATTATTAAAGACTTTCAATTTTCCATAGAAAATATTCTGGTCCAGCTTCATCATCTAAAATTTCATTTATATATGTAAAAATTTCATTATTCTAAGTCATAAATTCTTTTATTTTGAGATTCTAATATCCTCCTTCACAAATAGCTAATGTTAATAAAAGACAAATGAATATATATTTTTTATACATAATATTTTAATTATTACAATAAACGGATTCTATTATTAATATATAATATTTTTGGACAAATAAAATTATAAAATAATCATATCACATTATTATTAATGCTAATCTATCAAGATCTAAAATGCCATAAGGTTTTATTTTCTATAATTATAATTAAATTTATGAGATATTTATTTCTTCAATTTCAGAATCTGATTGCGAAATTTAAAATTACAAATCATTCAAGCCTAATTTATTTAAATATTCAATTAAATTATTCTTGTCTTCTATTTGTAATTATTCTAATAGTTTATTAACAGTTATAAATGTTTAATCTTATTCTAAACTTGAAGTAATTTATTAGAATTACTCATTGATTTACATCTTTATTTTATTGAGGAATCCATGCATCAATGATTTAATTAGTATATTTTCTTGATTATTATAAAAATCAAAGTATTTGTGATATAATTTTTAATTAATTTAAGTAGTTAAGTTTATTATGGATTAAATAATAGGGCTTAAATTTTCTTATTCCTTTAATTCTTACATTTGAGAATAGAATTATTAACATTCTGGAATTTCATTAAAACAAGATAATATTAAAGTATATTATAATGTTTCATCATTTTTGAATGTCTTTAGCAATTCACATAAGGTTTTAAGATTTTCTTAATTATCCTATAATTAAGAATGAGATAAAATATAAAATCTAATTATTTTCACTAAAATAATTAATTATAATAAATACCATAAATGCTCATATCTTTATATTGAAGGTAATTTAATTCTACTCTAATTTATTATAATCTATCATGTATGAATTCATAAATATCTTCATACACAATATCTCTTGGAGTATCACCTTTCATAGGTTTTTTGAAATCTGAATCTGGATCATCTGCTCTCAAAAAATTTTGAAGAAGAAAATCAACAGTTTTACATAATGTATCTGGTGTTCTCACATATTCAGGTACAAATGGTTTTTATTCTTATTTATAAGATCTAATGATATTTTCTCTAATAGGTTAAATTTCATATTAATAAAATCCATCTTACTCAAAAATAGATAATTATTAATTATTAATTCTTTCTTCTATTTCTTCGTTATCACATCTCTTTGTCAATTAAGCTTTTTCAGAATACTCCTTTTAAATTTTATTGAATTTTTCTTCTTCCAATTATGAATATTAAACTTCTAGTGTATTTTCTTCATATTCTTATTATTTCATTTTTTTGGGTTTAACAATAATATCATTCTCTTTGGCAGGTTCAAATATTCTTTTGTATTCATCTAAACATTATTAATTAACTTCTAAAACCCAATTTACATTTAGTAATCCAACTGCTTTTTTTATTTTTTTAAGTGCCAATTCAGCTTAAGTCTCATCCCAAAAGTTTAGTACATATTGTTATGATTATCTTTCAGAATAAAAGTCACCTTTAAAATCTGATAATGCATTTTCAATATTATAAGCATCAGTTGATGAAACTTCAAAAAATGTCTTAATTTTTGCTTTAAATGGTTAATGATCTCTTTTGATTATACCTTTTTAAACTTTTATAAAGTATTCAGAAAGTTTAATTTTAGGAATACAAGTATCCTATGTTTTATAAAGACTAAACAAATATTATTTATTTTAAGTCTTCAAAATTTAGACATCAAATTTATAATGTCTAGAAAATAGAGTCTATAGGGCCAATTTCTTCAATTCAGACCATTCAGATACTGGGAATGAAAAATCATATCCTTATTCAGGTTAAGAATGTACAAGAAAATGTTGAACTTTTTCTTCCATTTTTTAGAGATTCTATAAATTATAATGAGTATATTTAAGTAAGATATCTGGATAATAGGTTTTTTCAATATCTACAAGAGAATTAGATTTATAAAATGCTCCAAATCTTTTAATATTTTAACATTTTTAATCACATTTCAAAGTTTTTTCTATAAGTTCATCAACAACTCCACATTCTATAAAGGAGTCTCTATTACCACAACTACATACTACTCTAATTTAGACTTTACAAGGTAGTTTTGGACATTATTAATTTGGATGACAAATTTCTTAACAAAAATGATTACATATTTTTTTAACATGACATTTTTAATCACAACCTTCAGGTCCATTTCCAGGACATTCTTCTTATGCTTAACATATTTCTTGACATTTATGTCCACAATTTAAAATTTTATTACAAACATTTCTACAAACAGCTTATTTTGAACAAATGGTTGAAAGTGTATTTTATTTGCATCTACATAATTTATCAATTTATTCTCTGCAATCAGGACATGGTCCTGGATGACATAATGATTAACATATATGTCCACATTCTAAAACCTTTTTACAGATCTCTAAACATGATGGAGGAGCAGTACCACATTTCATTGGAGGATTTTTAACACTTTTACCACAAGGACAATATAAAGGTTGATTAATAATTATTGGACATTATTAACAAGCACCAATATGACAAAATTAATCACAATTATGTTGACCACATGGAAGTGGTTTATTACATACTTTTAAACATAAATGAGCTTCTTAATCTCCAGGTGGACAACACTCTTTTTAACAGAAATGAACTCCACAAGATTTTCTTTTTTTGCATACATCATCACATACAAATATTGATTTATCATTGCATAATTTAACTCTAGTAGTATCTTTACATCTACATTTCTCTTTTACTTTTTAAACACATTCAGGATAATCAGATCCACAAATTGTTCTACTTTTATGTCCACATATTAATGTAGTTTCTATTGGAGTACCACAATTAGGTATTGGATCTAAACAAGATTTTCTTTATTCCTTAATTAAATCATTAATTTTATATTTCCCACAAGCACAATAAATTACTAATTCTGGTTTTAATTTACATGGTTAACAATTTGGATGACATTATTCTAAACATTAATGTTAACCACAATCAAGTATTTTACCACATATTTTACCACATGAATATGATTACTATGCACAATTTATAATATCCTTTTGAGTTCCACAATAACATTATACTTAATGAGATTCATTACAAGGTTAACAATTACCATTATGACACTAATATTATTATATTATTATTTACAGGTTTTTGACAAAAATGATTATTACAATTCAACATTTTACCACATGGTTAACCACATGAAAAATCTTTTTTTATTTCACTACATTACATTTACTTAGTCTTTTTTTCACAAAAACATTTTATTTCTACTCCTTATACATGACATTCAGGACATGGTCCAGGATGACAATCCATAGGACAAGGATGAGGACAATATTTTCCTCTTTTTTTTTAGCATTTCTATGAACATGAATGAGGAATAGAATAAGAATCTGCTTCTGGATCTTATTATTTTCCACAAAAGCATTTATATTCTGGTAATTTATCTTATATTAATAAATTGCATTTTGGACAACTCCAACAATACAATTCATTTATATTTTTTGGATTTAAATTCTTTATCCATTTATGCATACAATACAAATGGAAAGGTGAAAAACATTAAGTACAACTCCATATTTTTTATTATGGATGAATTTTATCATAACATACTGGACATTCTATTTTTCTGTACTTTAACATTTTAATTAAAGTCTATGTTAATTCTTTTTACTTTATTTTTGTTATATCAAATTTTTCAACATCTAAATTTTATTTCATTAAAATACCTTCAAAGTCTTATGGATCATCTCTTTTATAATCATCATCTACCTCAACTTTTTATTAAAATCTTTTTTAATAATTTTTATTGTCCTTTTAATTATTATGTCTCTGATACTATTTATTATCAGGCTATTTATTTTAGTTCTATTATTATTGAAATTATTCTTGCTTTTCTTATTCATATTTGTTTTTTTAAAATTATTATTATTTTTTCTTAGGATTATCTTGTCTTTGCTATTATTCCTTATTCTACTATATTTACTATTGTTCATACTCCTCCTTTGTTACATATTCATACACATCTTAACGAGGTTGATAATTACCTCTCTTGTTATATTACTTACTCATAATTAAAATTATTTAAAGTCAAATAATTTGTATTAACACTCAAATTTAAGTTATTCCTATTATTCTTTAATAATTTTCTCAACTAAATTAGTTTTCTCTCTTTTCATCAGAAATATATATAATTTAAATTACATTCTATCTATTACTCACTCCCCTAAGCATATTATACAAATTAAAATGAAATTTCCAATTGAAAGTTCAAAATTAAAAAATATTCATATTTTCCATAAAATTACAATATAAGCAAAGTTTAAATTTGTTTATATATGCTAAATAGTATGTCATCTGAAAATCAAGAATTATTGTTAAAGTACCTTTAAAATCATTCATATTTATAAGGTTAATTATAAACTAATATTTCTGTTTGTTTTTTAGATTATAATAAAAGAGAATCAATATTATTTAAGAAGATATGGCAATTAAGAAAACTTTTATTTAGAAATAAAGTATTATATAATGTTAAAATAAAGAGTTTTTGTTATATTAATTTATATTGAATATGAAGATTTCTATCTGATAGAGAGATTATAAAGTACCTATAAGTTAATAATTGAATGGTTGAGTTTTTATGAATAAATAATTTATTGTTCATTAATTGTTCTAAATTCTAATTTGTGAGTTTAAAAACGATTAATGTGTAGAATGTTTAATAATAAATACTTATATTATAAATTTATGAATAGTAAATATCAAAACTCAGGATGTAAACTAAAAGAGGATGGTCCATCTGATGGATTATATAATTAATCAAAATAAAGTGCTGATTTTAATGGGAACTTAGAGTTCTCAAAAAATAAGAGTAATTCTGTTGTCTCGTCTTTAAATGGAATGTCAGAACATATAAATGATGTAACGCCACCATTTGGAAATAAGGTTGATTTGAAAGGATTTTAAGCTGCTGATTTAGAATTATTCCCATTTGAACCAAAATCAGAAAAAAACAAGTATTATAAATATATTTACAGTCTAAGTTTTAGATTTTTGTATGAATTTTGGCCTTCATTCAATTAAATTTTTTGTTATGGTAGATTGATGACAGGTCCAAAAGGTGATAGATATCATAATATGTTTACTTGGATTATGATTATTGGTATAAGTACTTGTTTTTTTGTTATTGTTGCTCCATATGTTTGGTAAAAATTGCATTGGCTTTATGTTTTAATTGTAATTTATTTATTCTTAAGTACAATACTATTTTTAGTGTTAACTTAAGTAATTATATAAATTATATTTTTAAATAGTTTTCTGATCCAGGAATAATCCCAAGAAAAACTATTTTAGAATTATCTGATTAGAATACTCATTTTATTAATAAAGAAGAAGCAAAAATAGAAGGAACTGGTGGTTGTCCAGATAAAAGAAAAAAGAAATATTAAAATTAAGAATAAAGAGTATGTTCAACTTGTTTAATTGTAAAACCATTAAGATGTTCTCATTGTAAAGATTGTGGAAATTGTGTTTAAGTATTTGATCATCATTGTCCATTTGTAAATAATTGTATAGGATAAAGGAATTATCGTTTTTTTATAGCTTTTCTTATATCATTATTATTATTGGCTATAGGAGAATTAGGAGGATTTTTGATTTTATTTATAGGAAACTTTGGAGAAGGTATTTCAGGAAAAGATGGCATATGTAATTATATTTTATATAAATTAAAAGTGATTTAGAATTAGACTATTTTAGTAATAGTGTTATTTGCATTAGGAATTCCAACAATATTATTGACATTATGTATTTTAGTGTTTGTTTGTTTCCATATTTGTTTGGCTTACAATGGTAAAACTACAAAAGAATAACTTTAAAAAAAGAAGATAACTAGTAAAGGTACTATCCCATCTACTGTATGGTGTGATAAAGCCAAATCATTATTTAATCTACGTCAAAAAATTCATATTTCTAAACTTTAAAAATTTTAGATAGTTGCATGATAATTAAATCATTTTTTATTTTATTTTTGTTTTTAATTACATTTATTGTCTAACAATTTATAAATAGAAATTAAAAAAATAAAATCAAAAGTGAATAAAGACATCATTATATATTAATTATTATGATTAAATTATAAATAATTAAGTATTTTTTGTTTGATTATATTTGTTGATCTTAATTTCTAAATTTTTCAACTCAAATTATTATTATCATCTTTCTAAATTACCTAAGATATAATGGGTTCTCATATTTGCCAAAACATTTAACAGTCAAAAGAAGATTAAATAACTCTTCAGAAGAAAACCTAAGTTAATATTTACAAACCTCCTTAAATACAAAAACCATAGCCAATAATCAAATTACTGTTTCCAGAAGAAAATAATTAGATTGAAAAAGAACGAATGAATTCTTTACCTAAATAAAATTCTTCAGACAATACTCTTACTAAATAAGAATTTAACTAAAATTAATAAGGTCCTTTAGATATTAATTTAACAAATGCTTAAAATGATCAATTAGATTTTCAAAATAATTCAAGAGATGATTCAAATAGTGGATTACAAGAAGGTAAATTTGTTTATTATTTATTATATATAGTTAAACATAAATCTATTCTTAAAAACAAAGTTATGGCTGGATCAAATTCTTCTAGTTCAAATAATGCTTAAAAAGACAATGAATCTGTTGGATCATAGAGATCAATTAAGAAAGTCACTTTCGATAAAAAATAAAAAGTTATTTATAGTAGTTTTAGAAAACCTAAAACATGAAATCTTTTATTTCTTTCTTATGATTTAATATTTGATTTACATAAACTTTATGAAATCTGTTTTTATACATTATTAATTTCATTTAAAGGATTCTCTTTTCTTTATTTAATAATAGATCAAATTGCTTAGGTTTTAGGACAATAAAAAATTATTATAAATGATGAATAATTTAGAAATATAAAATGAATAACAATCTGAAAATAATGAAGATGGTGAATAAGAGGAGGATTCAGATTCATTATAAAACAGATTGTTATTAAATAATATACCTACACCATCTCGAACAGAATCTAATTTTTAGACATCGACAAATAAAACTATTCAAAGAAATTCAATTTAATAACTCAATTAATTTAGCAATGAATAATAGTTCAAAGATTAAGATGCTTAGTTAAATGATCTCGATTTAAAGAAGTAAACATAAATGTCATATAATTCTTCTAAATCATCCAAAACTTTAACATCTATGAAAATTAGTTTACTCTAAGCCTCATTAATTGCTAAAGATTAATTAATTTTAAACTTATAAGAAGAAGTTAAATAATTAAAAAAACAATAAATTGAAAAAGATCAATAAATGGCATCAATTTAAAGGAACTATGAAAATAAACTATAGTAAATGAATGATAGAATAACAGATTTAGAAAGAATAATCAAAGAAAAGGATAATGATATTGAATAGTTCAAAAATGGGAATAATACACTAAATTTACAGGATTTATCAGTAATTACAAATAAATAAAATGAATCAAAAAAACAAAAAATTAATGAATTTTAATAAAATGATATATAAGGATATAGATAAAATGCTGAAGTTTATCTTAACAGTAATTTTTGGTTGATATCAGCTGAAAAAAAACTATAAGGTAATAATCCAATATGCAATTATTAACCAAAAGATATTATGGATGCAAAACAATCTTAATTATATTCATAATAATAAAAGGTAATTGATAAATCGTATTGGTCTAGATAAAATTTAGAACCTACTAAATAAATTAAACATAATTCTAATATGTTATTACCTAAATTAAATGAAATGAATTCTCAAATTAATCTACAATAGCCAAAATATTATCACAATAATTTAAGAAGTCAAAGCCTTTAATAAAATAATTATAAGAGTTATTCATCTATGTCTTAACCTTATATAAATAAAGATCTAATACCATATGATCCTGATGATTTTTTAGCTGATTAAGAAATTAAATAGATTTTTACTATTTAATCACCTGTTAAAAAAGAATCTTTGGATTGGGATTCATAACCATCAAATAAATATATGATTACATACAATCATAATTTAAATTAAGCAAAATTAGATTACAATGATAAAGTATAAACAACATAGAATCATATTAATTAAAGGAAATACAATCAACATAAGTTATCTAATAAATGATAATTTTTTTATGATTAATTTTATAAGTATTAAATAATTATAAACTCCATTTATTTATTTATTTATTTAATTAATGAAAAATAAATATCATAAAGATTTTAAACATATAACACCTGATTATTTAACAAATTTCATTTTATAATTCTTAAAATATTGTTCTATTAAAATCAATTAATTAAAAATATTATGTATTTATAATAATATATATATTTAATAAGTAAGACATTAATAAAATAATACTTTTTACTAATATCTGATTGTAAATAAACTAAATTTTATTAATTTAAAATCCACTCATATGTTTAAGAAAGTAAATCTGAAAATAAAATGTTCATTAAATTATTTTATAATATAATATAACATTTCACAAAAAGTCATAAAAATTAAATAAGTTTGACTTTAAGTAAGAATTATTTATTTATATATATTTATAAGTATTCACTGATAAAACTTTTCTGTGATTTATTAACTTTTACGCAATGCTTCTTAAAATAATTGATCAATATTAGTTAATCTTCTTTAATTTTCTTTTAGTTAAATCAATGGCTTCTTTTTTGCTTCTAAACTTGATTTATTGATTTATAAGGGCATATCTTTTGCTCTGAAACTAGGTTCATTTTCAATAAAACTAAACAATCTGACAGGCAATTAACTTTATTATGATTCTTGAATTGATGATGTGACAGATTGATCGTCTTGTCTAAAACTAGGAGATGTTTATCCTTTAAAACTACTAATAGTTGACTATCTTGTAGTTTTCTTATAAGAACTTCTTCTGTCTTTAGATCTGGCTCTTATTTATTGTAATGCATCTATTGAATGTTATGAACGTTGAATGCATTAATTGACTATGTCTGTTAAATGTTGATTGGAATTTGCACATTATTATCTACCTCTTGGTTATTATTCTATCAATTAATTGTTAGATTTAATTAATTCTGATTATCTACGGACAGTTGCCATTCTAAATGGGTCTAACATTATTAAAAATAATAATAAATTTTTATTGAAAATTTTAATTCACATAATGACATAAATGTAAATGTAAAAAGATTGTTAAATATAATTATAAGAAGATAAAATAACATATATAATATTGTTTTGAAGAATCTTCATCATTTATTTAGCTTTTAATACCATTATGGAACTAATTTAGTTTAGAGTTCTGGTTTAATACTTAATTCTTATTTATTGAAGTCGAAAAGATTAGGTGTCTTAAAATTTTGATTAGAGAATCCTTCTTTTCTAAGATCATCAAAATATGGATGTAAAAGAGCATCAATTGGTTGGATTCTTGTTTTAGGTGAATATCTAATTATATTATGATGTTCTTAAATACGTAAGCATTTATGTAATAAGATCTAAAAAGAGTGGATCTGGTTTTTATTTTGCAAATACTCTTGTCCATGGATTCCCTCTAATCGTTGGTAATCTGACATCAGCTTTAGCAGGATTCATTTAATTAATATCCTCTGGAGTTGGAGTACCAAGTATTTTGATGATTTAAAGTAATTAATCTTAAGCACTTTCTCCTGGAAATAAAGGTTCAAGTATGACCATTTCAGCAATCACACAACCAATAGACCACATATCTATTTAAGTATTGTAATCTGTGGCTCCAAAAATTAATTCAGGAGCTCGATAGTAACGTGAACATATATAAGCTATATTGGGTTCTCCGACAACAAGTCGTTTTGCTGAACCAAAATCGCATATTTTTAAAACATTGGTCTCTAAATTTACTAAGATATTTTAAGGCTTAATGTCTCTGTGACAAATCCCAATTGCTAGAGTGAAATATTTTGTCTAATACCCTATAAATAAAGTAATGCTCTTATCATCTAATAACTGTAAAGCTTTATCAAAGGAGCAGGAACACTTTGTTTCTATTTACGCATTTATCTAATCATTTTTGAAAGTGTTTCAGGTACATATTCCATAACTAGATTTAGGTACACATCTTATGGCTAGAGTATGAATAGATAATTGATATACATTTTCCCCTGGTGTGAAGAAAGAGTGTCTTAACATAACCACACAAGGATGATTCAATTCTTAAATGATAAGGTGCTCTCTGTTCTTATATCTACGATCTTGGTACACTTTCTTTATGGCTACCTTCTCTTTAGTCTTATTATCAGTAGCCTAGTTTCATTTTTAAATAAAATTACCAAATACACCATTCCAAATGTTCCTGTACCAACCACCTATTCAAGAGTGAAGTCCTTATCTGATTATTATAACATTTAATTATTTCATTAACAATAAATGATTATTCTATACCATAATTCAATTATGAATTACTACTATTCAAAAAAGGATGCCAAAAATCATCCCAATCTCTATTTTCTAAAGTTCTTCTTCCTTTAAAATAATTATCATAAGAATGTACAACAATAAATTCCCTATAGAATTAATAAAAAAGAAGGTTTAAGAAAATACTATTTCCTATAAATTTAGGTGGAACAATGGAACTATCTCAATTGAACCTATGATTCAATTAACACCTTAGTTGTTAGAACTTGTTCATCAATATGAATTAAGATAGTACTATGAAATCAACAAGAAGGTTAAACTAAACTAAACTGAAATTCCCTCTGAATCTTTAAGGGATTCCCCTTCCAATTTAACAAAAGATGAAACAAAAATATCTTTACTCAAAAACGAAGATACATCTAAGACAATATAAAAGGCTCCTATAAAGTCTTTATAGGAAAGTAATTATCAATCTAATACAATTTTACCTCAAGATATAATACCATAAATTCAACAATCAAATCCTAAATAATATTTATAAAAGACCTTTGTTAAACATACTCATCTTCCTAGAAAAAATAAAAAGTGTATAATTAAAAGCATTACAAGAAATAATGGAGATATAATGTTTTTGATAAATGATGATGAAATTAAATGGGTTAAATTAGAAGATCTAAAAAGAGATTCTCCAATTACATTGTGTGATTATCTATTGTCTAAAGTTAGATTCAAATGAATTTTAGATTTGTATATGTTATTGCATAAGATAACTTTTTATTTTATAGATAAATATTGTAATATACATTTAATCTTAGACTAAATATATAATCTTTAAATATGTTATTATATCAGGTATGCTTATAATTCATTTCTGTTTATTTCATCTTTCTAAGTTTGAATTGGATGGGATTTCTATGAAATGGTTTTTCTTAATTGTATTATATACGATATTCTGTTCTTATTTAGTCACCTTATAATAAAAATAAATTTATGACCATTCATATTTTCATGTGGAATCCAACCTGATCCATCGAATTACATATGATTCTTCTAGAAACCTGAAGTTTTAGTTTAGGCTTATGATGTTTCCAAATATCTATCAGTCTTTCGAAATCTCGATTAATTTCTAAATTTCTTACGTTGGAGCAACAAGATTTTAAGGCTTCTTGAAACCGTCTTGATAAGATGTGACCATTTTATCAATATGAGTGCAAGGATGGTGTTTTAATATTGTTTGACATCCATATTTGTGTGAATAAGCCTCTTTATGAGGATCAATTAATTCTTTAGCATCAAAATTGAATCCTGTAGAAGACAATCTATTAAACTTGCCCAATTTAGAATCTGCAAATGACTTTCTAGCTACTTCAGAGAATCTTTCTCCATATAGATTTTCTGATTAAACATATGGTACATATCCTGCATATCCAGGTACAGCTGAATTCTTAGGTTCTTAAGGTAACTGAATAAATTAAGATTATTCATATACTTGTGTGTAATGATTGATATAACTGGTCCTATAAAAGTTATTTTTGGACCATTCATGAAAGGTCTTCTCTTGAATTGGAGGTTGAGATTTGCTAGCCATTTTAATTGATAAATAAATATATCATTTATTCATATTCTCTATCCACATTAACATTCCTTCAGTAGTTCGATCTCCTTTATATTCTATAGGTGTCTTATCATTCATTTTATATAAATATAAAGAAGGATACTTATTTATTTTAAGTCCATGAATTTTATTCAATTCTCCATTTATTTTACCTATTTTCAATTGATTTGGTTTAATTGAAGTCTTTCCTGTCCTAACTTGATTATTCAATCTCACTAAATTCTAAAGCATAGATGAACATAGATCACAATCCTAAGAATAAAAATAAATCAAATAATGTCTATTAGTATCTTGAACATGCTCATCATAATTATGTCCAACAACAATCTCTATACCTTCGTCCATTTATCTTCCTGGTACATCTTCACTTTGAATATCATAAAATAATTAGCCATCTTGATATCTTGAAATAAATTTATTCAATTTTTCAATAAGTATTTGATCATCATAATTAATAGTTTAAACATCCTACCAAGTATTACCATCACATTTCAATAATTTTATAGCTGGTAATTGATGAATTTAAAGTATTTAGATTAATTTATTAACAGATTTATCTGAATTGTTAGCCTCAATCAATAATAATTAATCATTTTTAACTTTCTTAAATTCATTCAATTGGTCTTAATGAGAATTTTCATAAAACAATATCAATGCTGGTTTACCTGATTCAAAAATTTAAGATGCTACTTCTCTTGAAAAAGTAATTGCTTATGCTACTTAAATTAAAAATAATAACATAATAATAATAATATATTTCATGCTAAAATTTCTTATTCTTAATCTAATTCCTAAAGTTATTTAGTCAAATATTAATATTTATCTTACAATTCATTACTCTTCACTTATAACATATCATGATATTTAACTAATTCTTAAACTCTATCTCTATATATGTGTCTTTCATGATTTAATGCTTATGAATATACTTCTTTATTCATTTCAATTTCACTTATTTTATCATTTAATTATGAAATTTCTTTTTCTAATTGGGCATTTCTTAATTCATATCCTTTCATTAATTTAGCTATTCTATTAGCAAAGAATTATTATTTTTTATTCAATTTTTCATATTATACTCTTGTTCTTCTAAAATATTCATTAAAAATGGCCATTCTCACTTCTTCATCTATTTTCTCAATATTAACAAATTTATTTTCTTCATAATCAAAATATAATTATTATCTAACTCTATTCCAAATTATCTCAAGATCATCTAAATTTTAATCTCCCAATATTTTTTCCCTTTCTTCTTATAATAATTCTTTAGCTACAGAAATATCTCCCAATCCATTTGAATTATCATAAATATCCTCTTTAATCAATTAAATCACAGTATAATTTAGTATCTCTTCTATTTCATTTCTAAATTAATCTTAAGTCTATTCATATATAGACAAAGTTGGCAATTCTTTTGGTGTTGGTAAATTCTTTTAATGAGCCTATGATTTTTATCTGAATTTCTTCTATTGATCTATTAATTTCTTTTATTTTAATATTTTTAGTTTATCTTCAGCATCCATTTCCCTAAAAATAATAATAATAATAACTTACAATTCCATTTCTTTTTATTCTTCATTATCCACTTTAGGTACTTCAATAGTAAATTCATTCTTAGGTTTAGGTAATGATTTTAATTTCTACTTGATCATTTCTTTCAATTTCTATTCATTCTTTAATTATTGTTATCTTTCTTATTCAGCATTAACATATGAAACACTTTAACTTGGTTCTTCCCATGCTCTCTCATACTCTTCAATATTAATTCCAAAAGCATCATTTGATGATTCAACTTATCTTCTTGGAGTCTCCTTTAATAAATTTGCTAATTGATTTGGGGTTTAATTTCCAATATTTTTGATAATATCAATAGGATTATTCATTCCACCAACCAATGGAGTTTCAGTATGCTATAAAGCAATAATATTTTAAGCTTCTCTTAAAACTGTATTAGGTGCTCTAGGAGTTCTCATATTTGATTAACTCTAATCTCTTGTTGAATAGTTTCCAACAAGAGCTCTAGTAGCAGAAGTTGTATGTTCAGATATTTCATTAACTGCATTAATCTTACCCAATAATTCTAAATCTTAATCCTTCAATTATGGTTATGGCAATTATAATTTTGTTTAAGGTGTAAATTTAACTTAATATTTATTTTAAAAAGTAACAGCTTAATCTAATTCTCTTTCTTTTAATTTTTTAATTCTTCTTTAATCAATCTTTCTTCTAATTTCTTCTTCTTCATCTCTTCTCTAACCTTCTAATGCTTATAGACTAACATTAGATATCTTTTTATCAGGTTCTGGTTCTTCTCCTGTTGTTTCATGAACAAAATCAGGAACTGTTCTTTCAAATGCCAATTCTCTATTATAATTAATACCCTTGTATTTGCGATCTTGTAATTTAATATGATGTTTTTCAATTCTATGATTAATATATTAAATTCCAGCAGCCTTTAATTCTCTCTTTTTTTATAATAAAGCTAATCTTCTTGCTTCTTCAATTAACTTTCCTCTTGCCTTTCTCTTTGCTTTCTTACCTTTTGTATTTGCAAGTCTGACTCTTGCTTCTGCTAACATTTCCTTTTCATCTTCATCCATATCAATAGGATCTGGTCTAGCAGCTTTTGTTTCAGGATTTGGATCAATTTCTCCTGGTCTCAATCTTCTGGGATCATTTGGATCATTTAGATCTTTACCTTGAGCCTAAAATATAATGAAATCAACTACATACCAGATCTAAGAGTTTTTCATACTACTCAACACATTACATGGGTGTACGATCAACAATAGGTGCAATAGTTCTCCATTAACTAGGAAATATCTTTGCAAGATGAAGGACTTTCTCTTATTCTTCTCTTGTCCATTCTGTTTTCTTGATTGAAGGATCAAGCCATTCATACCAACGCTACTTACATTATTTTGCTGATTTTCGAACAAGCAGTGATGAAATACGTGACCATTGATTAAGACCATATTTCATGACAGCTGCTTTAAGAATTTCATCTTCACTATTCTTCCAAACACCACCTAATTTGAATTAATAAGAAACTTCTACCTTTTATAATGTACCTCATTTAGAATATTAATAAATAAATTAATTTGAATTATTTTTTAGCATCATTTTTATGGAATCTCAAAAATGATTAATAAATATTCTAGAGAATATATTATAACAATGTTTAAAATATAAAAACACTTATAAGAATAATTAGATCAAAATATAATATAAATTTAATTATAAAATAATGATTGCTGCTGAAGAGCTGGCTGAAGATTAATAAGAGCATAATAATTAATTAATATAGAATGGAAAATCTACTTTTAAACCTTAGTTTCTATCTAAATAACAAAGAGAAGAATTAAAATAAAAATAAGAAGAATAGTAACATAAATAATAATTATAAAAGCAATAATAGATTGCTTAGATTAGAAAAGAATATATACATTTTAGAAGTAAGTTTATATCAAATATTTTAGGTGATGATTAAAAAGTAAGATAAATTTTAGAGAAGAAAAGATCTAAAAGTAGAAGCAGATCAAAAAGCAAAGAGAAAAATAATCGTTATATAACTTCAAATACTAGAGCAACAGTTCCTGTAAAGATGGATGGAGAAAATTAAGAACTTATGCATATTAAAATGCAATATTTAGGATTAAATAAAGAGAAAAAAAAGATCTTAAAACCTTCTGAGAAATTTAAAAATATATTTAATTTTGAATGGGATGCCACAGAAGACACTTCAATAGATTTTAATCCACTTTATATGAATAGAATAAATGCAAGTGGTTTACATTCAAAAGTATAAGAAGACAAAGATCCAGATCAATTATTATCATCAGATCATTGGAGTAAGAAATCTTTATCTTAAATGTAACCAAGAGATTGGAGAATATTTAGAGAAGATATGGATATCATAATTAAAGGTGGACGTGTTCCAAATCCTATTAGAGAATGGAATGAAGTCTAATTACCAAAAAATTTAATGAACTCTATTCGAAATTTAAATTATGTTAAACCAACACCAATATAGATGCAAACTATTCCAATTGGTTTAGAACGTAAAGATATGATTGGTATTGCTCCTACAGGTAGTGGTAAATCTGCTGCATTTTTAATACCATTAATTACATATTTATCTACACTTCCTAAATAAGATGATAAGATATGTAAAGATGGACCATATGCATTAATAATGGCTCCAGCAAGAGAATTGGCTATTTAAATTGAAGCAGAATTCTAAAAGTTATCATAAGGATATAATTTAAGATCATTTGTAATAGTAGGAGGAAGGAAAGAAGAAGAATAAGAATTTCATTTAAAAAAAGGAATAGAAATATTAATTGGAACACCAGGTAGAATAAAAGATTTATTGATGAAGAAATATTTGGTTTTAGAATAATGTTCATGGATTGTATTAGATGAAGCTGATAAAATGATAGATTTAGGATTTGAATAAGATGTTAATTATATTTTGGATTCAATAACTACTTAAATGAAATCAGAAGATGAAATAGCTGCTGAATTAGAGGAGAAGTTGGCTTAAGCTGGAGAAAGGTAATATAGAGTGACTCATTTATTTTCAGCCACAATGCCTCCTCAAGTTGAAAAATTAGCAAAAAGATATTTAAGAGCATTTTGTTTTATTAGTATAGGTGAACCAGGAGGTGGTAAAAAAGATATAGAATAAAAAATAGATATGATTAATGAAGCAGCTAAAAAGTAATTATTATTATATATATTAGAAATCGACTATTGTAATTGTTAGCAGCTAATAAACCTCCCATTATTATATTTGCAAATTAAAAGAAAAGTGTTGAAATACTAAGCAAAACTCTTGAAAAATATGGAGTAATTTTAATAATCTAATATTTAGTATAATTCTGTAGTATATCATGGAAGTAAAACATAATAACAAAGAGAAGCTGCAGTTGAAGGATTTAAGTCTAAGAAAATTGATATTTTAATAGCTACAGATTTAGCATCTAGAGGTTTACATGTAGAAGGAGTATAAATGGTAATTAATTTTGATGCACCAAAAAATATCTAAGTATAATTTATATAAATATTAAATAGGATTTTATACATAGAACAGGAAGAACAGGTAGAGCAGGAAAAAGAGGGTTAGCAGTGACTTTTCTTACTAATTCTGATTAAGATCTATTTTATGATCTAAAAGAGTATTTAATAAAAAGTGGATAAAATGTACCACCAGAGTTAGCTTAACATACGGCATCAAATTAAAAACCTGGTTCTGTACCTGATAATGTGCCCAGAAGAAAATAAGTAATTTTGGCGCATTGATAAAATATGAAAATTTGAATCATAGATCACTTTACAAAAATGTATGTCATTATGGATAGAGTAGAGAGCGAAATAAATTGTTCACATACTTTTATAACAAAATAATTCCATGTCTTCTATTCCCATACAACTTTCGATGTATAATATTGTATTTGAAAACTCACACAAAAAAATACAGCTAAAGAAAGAGCCAAATTTAAATCATTTTCATCCTAAAATTCTTTATTAAACATTACTTTAGTCTTTAGTACATTATAAAAGATTGTTATTAAACTAGCTTATAAAAATCTTCCTGTTAATTCAATTAATAATGGTTGATTGTTTTCTTTATTTTTTTATTTTTCTTATTTCACATTAGCTTCTTTCATATATAGATTTCGAAATAATATTGAGTACCAATAAAAACTTATAATCATTGTGCTTATTGTTCCAAATAATATTGACAATAATTTTGATATCATGTCGTTTAGATTAATTATTAATTAATAAATACATAAAAAAATTTTCAGTTAACTATGTACATTACCATGAATGGAGATTTAGTGGAATTAAATAATGTAAATTTGTTTTAATTCTTTTTATTAGAGAAATCTTGTCATTTCTAGAACATAAATTGATAATCATACTAAAGTTTAATACAAATAAGAAAAATTAGTGATTAATGATAAAATAGTGTTGAACAATTTTAATAAGTTATTTATTAATCGATTAGATTATGCAATCAAAAATTATGAAATTAGATTACAATAAGCAATCTAACAATTTATATGTAATAGATAAGAAATACTAAAAATTAATTAAACTGATAAAAAATTAGTTACAAGATATCTATGGATCAATGATAATTATTCAGAAATTAGATATTCTGATGCTCCTTTGACTAAAAATTTCAAAAAAAGTATCTTTATACAAATTTTTAGTACCAATAAATGAAATATCATTTTAATATCACCAATTTGATGATAAAGTTATGAAAGCACTCAAAAAATATGATCTTTAACCTGAATATTTGTTGTCAATTACTCATAAAAAGAAATAACTTTCTGTTGTGTTTCTCTCATTTAGAAAATTAAGTTCTTTCATTTTACTTTGCAATTGGATTCTTAAATCTAGAGAAATGCCATAAATAGAATTTACAGCACTTCAATTCCTCAAATTCAAATTATAATATGCAGCTCAATAATAAGGTTTACCAATTAAAAAATACTTACTTATTTAGTTAAACAGAATTAGAACATAATTAACTTTAAAAAGTATAATATAAACATTAATACTTTAGATTTAAAAGATAAAAATTCTTAAGTATTAGAATCAGGTTAATCTTCAGAAAAAAAGAAATGGTCAGTATAATTAACTATAAAAAAATCTAAATAAGATAGTATGGAAAAAGAAAATATTAATAAAAAAATTACTTTTTCTTGAGATTTTATAATTATAAACCAATTACTTTTATATAATACATATTAAATTTCTACTTGTTTTAAAAAAAGTCTAATGAATTTCTTTTAACCTAAATTTATAAAACCTAAATGAATACATATTAATTAATCATCAATAATAATTTTTTATTTATTATCTCTTTTTTTTAATAAATTAATATTTTTGCATAAAATCTAGAAATTAATCTAAAAGTTGGACTTATTTTTGTTATTTGTAATTTAAATTTGGTTTAAGTAGCTTCTAAAACTATTTAGTTTAGTAAAAAAACCAAGGAATGAATAAATGATTTCATCAATTTTAATTTTGTTTCTACATTAAAGAAAAGAAGAAGAATATTGTTAAACATATGATATACTTGATTTTGTGGATATATTTATTATTGTACTACATCTAAGAAATAGATTAGAACAATTATAGAAGTGATCTAACATTTATTTAATATATTTATTACATGTTCATTAATCTTGATTTAGTAAAGAATTTGTGAATTCTATATATTATTCAAAGTTAATGGATACTATAGAGATGATTCATAAAAAATAATAGATATCTAATGTCAATATTGTAGATTAGAAAGAATAGATTATCAGATAGAAAATAATAGATAATTTAAGTTTCTACATAAAATGTTATTTTATCATATCTCTTCTTCTATTTCTTTAGAGGCAGCCTCTTTTAATTGTCGTTTTTTCTATTTCTTTTCCATTTTTTTTTATTTTTTTACAAGTTCTCTACGATCTTTCTTAGTCATGTCTTCTATGCTTTTTGGTTAAGCGGTCTTGTTAGATAGAGCAGCCTTTTTTATTTATTATTTATGAAGTTTCTTTTTGATTTTTCCTGCCTTTCTGTAATTGACATGTTTTCGATTAATATTGCGGTCACCAGTCATTAATTAATCGTTAATTTTATTATTTCAAAATACAAAAATGTTCCATACTCGTCCTCATTTACCCACTTATCCTCAAAATCGTGGTATTCAGTGTCATCTACTCAAGTTCATAATAAAGGAGGGAGTGAAACTAGAAAAGCTATAGATCATTATAGTTATGCAATCAATGATGAAATTGGAAAAGGGTTTAGTAGCCGCGTTTATAAAGGAAGAGATGAAAATACACTTGAACCAGTAGCAGTTAAAGTAAGAAGTAATTAAATATCAAGGTTATTGATATGAAGATGGTTAAATAATCAATTCATGCACAACTACTCAAAAATGAAATAAATGCATTGAAGGCATTCAATAGTAAAAATATTATGAAACTTTGCGATGTTTTTTAAACATAGAATAATACTTATATCATAACTGAGTTTTGTGATTCGGTAATTTCTAATTTTAATATGTACTTAAGGGAGATCTTAACAATTATATTAAGAAGAAGGGTAGAATAGATGAAACTGAAGCAATCCGAATCTTGCAATCAGTAGTGAGTGCTGTCAATGAAATGAATTAAAAGGGATATATTCATAGAGACATAAAGCCAGCAAACATTCTTATTGATAAGAATCTTCCAAAATTAGCTGACTTTGGATTTGCTGTGCCTGCTCATGAAGCTAGATTGTAAGGGAAGAATTTCAATGTAGGAACTCCACTTTATATGTCACCACAAGCATTGAGATAATAAGGTCACACTGAAAAAGGAGATGTTTGGGCTATTGGTGTTGTATTTTTTGAAATGTTATATGGTAATTAATTTAAATTAATTTTTAGGCAGAACACCATATAATGCCTCTTCAGAAGCAGCTTTGATATCTAATATTATGCATTAATCTTTAGTGATACCTTCTTCTCCTCCTGTTTCAGATAAGGCAAAGGATTTCATTAGAAAATGTCTCTCTGTAGATGAAAATAAAAGACTAAGAGTTAAAGATATGGCTCATCATGAAATAATTGAATAGAGAGTCTTAACACCAGTTGAAAGGGTTCCAGCTCGAAAACCATTTGAAGAGATATCAAATTTAAATTTACCAACTGAAACTTCTTAGATTTAAAAGTTTAAACGATCTCAAAGTCAAGGGGTTAAAGAGGCTCCAAATAAAGAATATAAAACTTAATAAATTGAAGATAAGAAAAAATAACACGAGGCAAAATAAAAGAAATTATAAGAACAAATTTAAAGATCATCTAGTTAATAATAAGCACTTTAACCATAAAAAATTACTAAAACTAGTGCTTTTGAAGAATAACCACCTGTTTAAAAATAAAAAACTATCAGTTTAGAATTTAAATCAAATAATGAAGTTCTATTTAGTTAAATCAATTTTTGTAGATTCTTATACAAATTTTCATAAAATCTTGCTAGTTGCAAAATATTTTCAATTGAAATAAGAGATAAATTATTATTTTTAATGGGTAAAAATATTGCCATAAAAATAAATAAATTGGCAACTATTTTAGATAAGGAAAATAAATAAGTTAATATCTTTTAATTAGATGATTATGAAGGATATAAAAAGAGTGAATCTCATAGTAAATTTAGTTAAGCTATCTCTGAATATAATGATAAATATATGAGACATTTTGAGAAAATATTGAAACTTGCATCTAAAAATGGTATATTTTATATATTTATATTAAAGAATTCTAAAAAGATTAATTGATTGGTTGTCTTTGTAATAATGATATTACAGAAAATGAATCTTTTTATAAAATTGCATTACAATACTTAAAACAAAGTATAAATGAAATTAAATAAAATTTTAAGTCTATTTCAGGTCAAAAAGATTAATTATTGCCTGAAGAAGTAAAATATTTTACTTATATATTTTTAGCTTTAAATGCCTTCATTTATTCTATTTGGTCTTTATGGATACTAATAATTGATTTCGAAAGCATTAGAAAATTGGTCAGACTATAAATAGTTTTAAAAAGCATCTTCCCCTGAATTATTAATAGAAAGAAAACCAGGATAAATGAATTATGGATAATTGGAATAATTACTTTGAAATAATTATTTATTGTTTCTTTATTCAAATATTATTCAAAGATCATTAACTATTTAATATCATTTTTAAGTTATAAGATCAATTAACAAAGCCTGGTCTTCTATAATTGATGTCTTTAAATCGTACCATCTTTTTTTAAAAAGAATTAGTTTCACAATCTGACTCCTTTCTTTTCAAAATTGGACTTGGAGTATATGATTTTACCTTAGAAATACAATCCGTTCCAATAATAAAATTGTGATCATCAATTGAATTACTAATCTTTCTTTTAACTTAAGTTTTTTCAGTTCTAGAAGGAAGATCAGAATATTTTCTTCTTGATATGATTTCAATTTCATTAAATTATTTCATTTTCTATTAATTTGAAGTTGATTTCTTTCTGTTGCTTTTATTAGTTTTCTTATAGTCATAGTATTATTATTATTATTGTTATTATTATTAATTTTCTAATGGTGAAATTTACTTTCTATTTTTTTATTTTTTTGGACTTGAAGAATGATATTAATGTTCAATTTCATATATTTCCTATTTTTTATGCTTTCTTTAAGGAACCTGAATTTTTGGACGATGTGATTAATTATTTGTTAATCTCACTTCTTTAATTTAAGTAAATTGATTCTGAAACTAACTCTCTTCTGAAGGCACTCTAACTTTTGAAGTCATCATAGATTCAAAAGAAATACTCTGCCTTGATGGAGATGGAAGTAAAGCATTAGGAATCTCTATTTATGTTAATTAACTAGTTGGTACTATGCTGATTAACTTATCTTATTCAATCAATTTAGTTAAAGTAATTGATGGTTGCCTCAAAGTTTCAGATCTTTCAGTCATTTCTCTTTAACCAGAACACCCATTGCCCATTAAATATTACTTAATAATATTTAATTATCATATAAAATGTGTATCTAAAATTAAAACCTTTAACACTTTGATTCATTCAAATATATCAATCACAATATTTTCAATTCTTGTTATTTTTTATTAAAAATTCATGCAATTCAAAATTATTATGTGATGTCTCTTATTTCAATGATTCAAAGAAAAATGTAATTTTATTTTTGAGGATTTCACTAAAGAGGTATTCTAAATTTTTGTAAGGTCTAAATGATATATTAGATAATTCATTTGAAGTACTTAATTATCAAGAGTATTTGTAATTTACTTGAAGTACTTAATTATCAAGAGTATTGGTAATTTATTTGAAGTACTTACATATCAAGAGTATTAGTAATTCATTTAAAGTACTTAAATATCAAGAATATTGTATATGGAATAATTATAATAGAATTAATCACTCTAATAGAAATATAATTTTTATTTTTAGATTCTAATCTTCATGATAAATTCAATATTAATATTAATATTAATTAAAAAAAAATGAATAACCAAATTACTGATACAGGAAATTTTTCCAATATTGAAAGCTCTTTTATCTATTAAGATGATGAGAAAAGTTATCAAGAGTTACAAACGCTTATTTAATAGCTTCAAGGGGCAAGATAAAAATTTTATTCAATGTTTTAATAAACATAAGTAGAAAATTAAAAGGAATTGTAATAATCACAAGAAAATAATTATTGTGAGTCATTAGAAAACAGTGATTTCCTAAATAGCAAAGAAATAAAAATTTCTTACTTTGAAAGTAAGCAAATTGAAAGTCTTCTAAAATAATTTTATGAAAAAATTGAATATTTAAAGGAAAGATAAGGTTAACGTGTCAATAAAGATTATTTGGAAAAGTAAATTTACAGCCTTACAGAATAATTATCAAAAGAGAGATTGAAGTAGCCTAAAAATTTACAAACTATTTAATAATTAAAAGCTTAATTAAAGGAAAAAAATAAGTAACTTTTTTAGTAATATGAAACCATAACTAAGCACATTAAAGAGATGCTAAAGCCAGTGGATAATGAGGAATAGGATGAGGATGTAAATTTCGTTATATGAAATAGATGAATTATTTATAATTATATTATCATATTTAGAGCTATATAATAATTGATTTCTTAAAAATATTTATATTAAGATCATGGATTATCTATGAAAAATTATTAATTGTCATTTGTTTGACAATTTTGATTGACACTTTCTGTCATTGAACAATTACTAAATGATTAATTATTTCTTTAAGAGTTTGAATAACTTTTTAGTATATTTTTATTTTTTTCATCAAGTTATTTAATCCAAGAGTTATTTTACTTAGGTTTACAGTTGATTAATGATTAAACTAATCTTTAAGTATCATTAGGTGGAAAATTTTTTGTTTATGTTTAAGGTTTAGGTATTTATTGATCATTAGTTTTAAATTTCATTTAATTTAAATTATTCAATTTAGTAGTTTCTTATTCACTAGGATTTGTATTTAATTTAAATTTATTTTAGTTTTCTTATTTTGTTTAAAGATTAGGAACTCTAAGATCAGCTAATTCATTTTCTAAAAAATTTATAATCTAATCTTTAATTTCTAAAAATAATGATGGAATATATACTCAACAATTCATTTTATTTTAAATTTTATTTTGCATAATCAGATTTCTATATTTCTAATTCTTAATAATAATTAATTAATAATACATTTATCATATTAGATTTGCATAATTTTTAATTATCTTTGATATTTTGTTATTTATTCTTAAAATTATAATCTTTATTAATTATTTTGTTTTATTTAATCATCCAATTAAAGTTAAATCTGATTTAATTTTTATTCCTAATTGGCGATTATCATTTAATTATTAAGATTTTTCTCTTTTTGTTCATTTAACAAGGATAATATTTATTTATTTTATTCTTCAAGACTTTAAATTTTTATAGCATTTTAATTTATTAAATTAGTTTAATTTTTTTCTTGTACTTTTAATGTATTGATCTAATTTTTATCATTTAGAGTCTGATCTATTAATATATTATTAATATAATAAATACTCAATAATTTTTCTTAAATTTCTTTTTCTTTTTTTATTTCTTACTCTAGATTTTTGCATTTTCTATTCAACTCATCATAAGTAAATTTTTTCTCTACAGGTTAAATATCAGGGGGAATTTCAAAAAACTTAATTTATAATATTAATAAATACATCTTCATCAAATTCTTATTCTTCTTTTATAACATTTTCTTTTGTTTTTTTAAATTTTCCTTCATTTTCATTTTCATCATCAGAATAATTAAAATTTGATAATTCACTACTCAAAAGTGATCCTTAGATTTTAGTATTTTAACTCTTAATATAGTCAGATGCGTTTAATTATGATACTAAAATAATGTTAAATATTATTATTACATTTTTAAGATCCCAATATACCACTTTCATAATTTGATGCAATATTTTGAGAAGTGGTTTCTTAGATGGAAGATAAGTGATTAAATTATTCTAGTTCTGTATTTTTTGGAATTTCTGTCAATAATCCTTATGCCACTTAATATCATAATTAGATTACGTTAATTTTTCTTTTCATTTAGATCATTTTAAGACATGATAAATTACAATTTATATAAATTTCTTATTTCATAATAAAATAAAAAAGTAAATAAATATTATTCATTCATGAATTTTTTAGAATGGCAATTTTTTCTTTTAATTTAGCATTTTCAACTTCATATTTGACAATTTCATCTTTATAATTTTATAATATATGAGTTGTTCTTTATAATAATTATTGAAGAGCTGATATTTGTTATTAATCTTTTAATCTACAAGATATTAATTAAGAAGAATTATCAAATGATTTTTTATGGAGAGTGACTCTATAATTAGAGGGAATTCTTCTTTATATACTACTTTAAGTATTTGAATTTGATTGTTTTTAATCTGCTTAAAAAAAATTATGAGAAGTTTAGAATGGAGGAGAACAATCACTCTAATAGTTTTATGAGATACTGTCCTAATTATATATTTTAATTTAAGACTTTTGCTTAATTAATTAACCATAAGGACTTGTTTTGAGCAATTTTGATAGTCCATGTTAAATATTATTTTTATTCAAATGAGCATTTTTAGGTTGAATAGTTGAAATGATGTCAGATTATTGTTATTGCAATTTTCTTTATAATAAATTTTACTATTAAGTTATTTCAGTAGGACTAAAGGGTTTTCGTTTTTAAAGATCAAATGAAGGTTTATCAATAGAGAGAGGAGATATCATTTTATAAATAAAAAAAATAACACAATAATGCTTTGTTAAACATAATAGATATTTTGTACTTTAATATAATAACTTTTTTTTTCAAATAATCATATCTATGGAATATTCTTTGATAAATTTTAAATTCTTTCAACATCTTATTAAGTTAGGCTACTTGAAAGATAATCAGAGTCCTAAATTTATTTATTATAATTCTTACTGATTTAGTTCCACTTGTTTAAACATTATTCTTTACTACTGTAGTCGATGTAGTCACTATTCTTTATTAACTTTAAGGTCTCTTTAATAAATCCAATTCTGCTTCAGTTAAAATCAATTTCTCTTAACAAGCATGATATGTATCATTTAATTCCTTAAATTTAGTTCTCCAAATTTTAGCTTCTTCTTCATAAGTCTTTACAGATTGACTTGTAGTAACCTCTTCTGTTAATGTTTCATTTTGTTAACGAAGCTCTTCAATTTCTCTTTCTAAATTTTAAATGTGTTCATCTTTATCATCACATTATGATTTGAAAAACTATTTTTATTATCTTAAAGCGTCTAATTCCTATTTCAAATCATCATTATCATGATTCAATTATTTTACTTAAGCATCTAGAGTTTATACTTGCTTTCTCAATCTTTGAATTTCATTCTATAATTTTTCAACTTCATCACTGTTATTATTATTAACCAATTATTCTATGATTATCATTTATTATACATCTTAAGTATTCTACAAGATCAATATTTGTTTATAATTCTATTTTTAAATCAGAAATTTTATTATCCTTCTCTTCATTATCACATCTAACCTTATACAATTCATCTTATAATTATTTTATTAAAATATCCTAATCCTCATTATTTGTAGCTCTCAATTCAACAACTTAAGGTTATTATTAGGATTAAAGAATTCTATCTTCCAATTCTTTCATTCTCTTATCCCAAAGTTCTTCAAATTTTTCTAAATCTACAAATTCTATTGGTCGTTAAATTACAGTCTAAATCAATTATAATTCATACAGTCATAACTGGTTGAAGAGGAACATAAGTAGGAGGTGCATATGTCTACCTTAAACCAGATAAACCTAAACCAGAATTTTATGATGGCACATATTATTATGGTTATATTTATAAAGTAGTTTAAGGTGATGGTAATTTTTATGATTCTATAGATGTTGGTGGTATTTATTTTTGTGATCGCTATGGAAGTTATGTATAATTTTGTTAAGGAACTTATTAGGGAGGTTGTGATTGAGGAGGAGGCTTTTTAGTTTTATTTTTTATAGTACTTATATAGATTAAACTGATGGCTGGCTGGGTGGATAAGATTATTGTTGTGGGAAAGGAGGATTGCTTCTCTATGACTACTAAACTGGATAACCCTTTGGAGGAGTATTCTAGGGATATTATTGATTAGGAAAAGATCTCTATGTCTTTGAATAAGAATTTGTTATACCATAGGCTAATTCATTGGTGATTATTATCCTGTAAATGGATAAGGATTGCCACCATATTAGGGATTTGGATTTGTTTGATTTGGATATCCACCATATTATGGTGATCTAGCTCGATTCAAAGGATTAAACATAACTAATCAATTAATTTATTAAATGAGTTGATAATAATTCATAAATAAATAGTTTATCATGTAGTCATAAATTAGACACTTTTTAATTGTTCTTTATTAATGAATAAAGATTTATTTTACTTATTGTTTATTGAAGTCAATTGATATTATAATAAGTATAATCTTAAAATCTGTAAAGATATCATTGATAATTTATTAGAATAATCATTATTAATTTAATATTTAAATGTCAACGATAGATTATTCTGTTACTTTTTAATCATAAATAACTTATGTAATTTCAAGTGATGAAGATTAGATATTTATTTTTAATTCATTGTATTGATTAAATGCTTAGTTAAACTTAGGGAAAAAACCAACATAATTCATTTAATTAAGGCAATTGTATTAAAAAGTATGAAACTTTTATATACTGCATGAATTACATTTATTGAATTTTGCTTGTATTTTCTTACCTGATAAACATTTAATTTGAATAGCCATCAAAAGTGGACTAATTGATTTATCAACTAAATAATTAAAATTTCCAATTGTTGTATAAATTTAATTTAATGAAACAAATTCTAAATAAAATGTTGGTAAATTGGTTAAATCAATTACAAATTTTCTACTTGTTCTTATACTAAAACATTCAAGTGCCTTGTATGATTTTGTAAATTAATATGCAATCCAAATTTAAGAATGACTATTAGGAGTTTCGATATCATACCCTTTTATAATTTAATATTTTACATGTTCCCCAAGTATATTATAACGTTGATACTGTATTTGTAAAGACAGCCTTTATTCTGATATTCTTACTATTTGGATAATTGAGGTCTTGCAATGCAATAGCAAACCATCTATTAGGTTATATTGCTAATATATCACTACTAAATGCTCCCATAACTGTTCTCAATCCTAAATTAATAAAAGCTTCTTCAACTCCAACAATAACTTAGTAGCCAATTTATTTAAGGTTTGTAAATTTTCCAGCTACTTTGGTAATACTCACAGTTACAGAATGCATTGTTATTTAGCTTATCTATACTTGATATTATTGTTTCTTACAGACAATAGGAAATCAATAGCACCTGTATAATGAATGCTAGTCAGAACAACGAATCCTGTTTAAGCATTTGGATTTTTAATTTGAAATGTTTTATCATCTGGATTAACCATATTAAAGTTGTTTATGACTTCTATTCGTTAGTCATCAATAGCAAACCATTTAATCATCGAAGTTGTCATTCTATTATATCCACAATAGACTTTCATTGAAAATTCTAATTTTAGATGAATGAAGATACATGTTTTGCTAATAGAAATGATTTGCAATTCTATTTGGGTTTAAGCTGTAGTAAAATCAATCCATTCTTAGGTAAGAAAAACCTAAGGAACATTTTCAAATTCTCCTGAAAAGTTAATTGTAGCTGTTTTAGTGTATCCACTATTACAAAAAAACCCAGATCCTGTGAACTAATCAAAGTCAAGACTTAAATTAGAATCAAATGTGATATAATTGATGATTCTCTCAATAAGAATGAATTGGATTAAATATGATAACATGATTTTATTAATTTATTTTAGACAACATTAATGTTTCAATAAATAGAAATTTGTAATTATATCAAATTTATTTTCACTTTAAAATGAGCAAGATATTGTTATCATTGGAATGATAATAAATTATTTTCTTAACTTGATATTAAAAATATTATACTGACTAAATTGAAATTTGACATATTTTTTAGTTATAAATATTATTTATGAAAACAACTGATTTAAATAAGTGGAGTTATCTGAGTTCTTATTTCTAAATTTTATTTCAGTTTATCGTAACTCCAATTATTGAAATAAAGAAATTTATTAATAAAAAAAAAATGGATCAAAATATTGAAGATGAAGAATAAGGTAGAAGTGTTTAATAAAGAGTAAATAATCAATAATAATCATAGTCTTATTCAAGAGTAGATGCATCTTCTCCAAATAAGAAAAATAGTCAAGGTGATGTAGAATAGCCAACTAGAACAGTAACTCATAGAAAATCTGTTAATTTAGGAGCCAAAAGCAGTAGAACAAGTTAAGAGAGTAATCGTGGAATAAGAGTAATAAGAAATATTATATGTAGTATAAAGTTGAAATATTTTTGGAAAGTTTTAATTATATGATCTTTATGACTATTGTAACAGTGTATGCATTATTTGGAGATGATATAAGAGTATTAGCTACAGACAAGGTATTTTAAATAATAATCAGGATGGTGATGAAGCATTTTGGGTTATTACCACAATTTGTATGAGTTTCTTTTTTATTGAAATTGTGCTTGCCTCTGTTTGTAAAGTATAAAATATAGTAATAAAATAAGGATGGATATTTTATTGGTTTCTTTTTTTGGTTAGATTTATTATCAACAGTTTCAATGTTATTAGATATTGGTTGGGTTAGTAATGCAATTTTTGGAACAAGTGGAGGAGCAGCATTGAGTGCAGTTTCATTAGCAAGGTTATAATAATTAAAATATTTATAGGGCTGGAAGAGCATCAAGAGTAGGGACAAGAGCAGGAAGAATAGTTAGAGTAGTAAGATTAGTTAGATTATCAAAATTATATAAACATGCAAAACAATCTTTAGAAAAAGAAGCTGAAAAGTTGTTAGCAGAAGAAATGAAAGAAGAAAATTTAATGGATAATAATAATTAAGTATAAGAACCTTAAAGACAAGAATAATAAAATGATGCTCTTTCCTCTTAAAGATCAGTTGATTCTTCAGATAGAAATGTTAAGCATTCAGGTGTGAATGCTGTATAATAATAATAATCTATTTAGAAAGTTGTTTAGTAAAGGACTTCCATTGTAATGTATAATGGAACATCAAATAATAATTAAATTAGTCAAGAAAATGAACAAAGATTTTAAAGAAGATAAACTAGAAAAATAGTTATGTCTGGTTAAATTTAATCTCTTACAACAATCTAAAAAAGAAAATCAATAATAATTTAATCTCCAAACAAATTATCACATGCTCATTAATCAGATGAAGGAGAAATACGTGAAACTAATATAGGTAAAGAATTGACAGAATTGACTAATAAAAGAGTCATAACTATTGTAATGCTCATTTTATTTAGTGTTCCTATATTAAATTTAACTACTTATATTGATTAAAATGTAAGTTTCACTACTGGATTATAAGCTATATAATATTGGGCTAAGGATCCTGAAATTTATGATTATCTTATTAAAGATTTTATAACATATCATGAACCATTAAGAACTGGATTGGTATTTTTTGAAATTAATTCAACTATTTTCTATCCAAAAGAAGATCCTTATTAATATGAACATTACAGAACTAATTCATTGTAATATTATACAACAACAGATCCTCAAGGAAATGATGCAATATCAATATGTTATACAATTGCAGATGATGAATTAAATGCTATTTTATCAATTATCAGAACTATCTTTGTATCTATAGTACTTTCTGTAGCAGCAATTATGTTTAGTAGAGATGTTTAAGACTTAATTTTAACACCTGTGGAGAAGATGTTAGAAACAGTAAAGAAAATAGCAGAAAATCCTTTAGTTGCAGCATAAGAAGAGGAAAATAAGGCATTTATATAAATGATTGAAAATGGTGAAATGAAAGCATTAGAAGATTAAGAAGATGAGAAATTAGAAACAGTTATATTATAAAAATTAATTGTTAAGATTGGAACCTTATTAGCATTAGGATTTGGAGAAGCTGGATCTTAAATTATAGCTTAAAATATGGGTGCCAATGCTTCTATTAATCCTATGTTGCCTGGAAAAAAAGTAATGGCAATATTTGGATTTTGTGATATTAGAAATTTTACAGATGCTACAGAAGTCTTATAATAAGATGTTATGGTATTTGTGAATGAAATAGCAGAGATTGTACATGGGGTTGTTGATTAATTTTCTGGAAGTGCTAATAAAAATATAGGTGATGCATTTCTTTTAGTATGGAAATTTGCTGAAAATGATTATTATTAGGATAAGGATGGTAATTTAAGTTTAAAATCTTATGAACATATTGCATAAATAGCTGATATGTCTATTTTATCATTTGTTACTATTATTACAAATGTTACTCTTTCATAAAAGTTATAAAAATATAAATAACATGAAGGATTGAATAATCGAATACCAAATTATTCTGTTAAAATGGGATTTGGATTACATGTTGGATGGGCAATAGAAGGAGCAATAGGATCAGAATATAAAATAGATGCTTCTTATTTGAGTCCTAATGTTAATATGGCATCAAGATTAGAAGCAGCTACTAAACAATTTGGATCTATGATACTCATTTCTGGATAATTAAGAAATGTAGCTACTAAGGTTACCCAAAAAAATCTTAGACATATTGATAGAGTTACTGTCAAAGGTAGTATTGAACCTATGGATATTTATACTGTAGATTTAAATGTTGATTGTTTAATTAGAAAAGTTCATAAAAAAAAGACAGTTGTAGACTTTAGTAAAAAGGAAAAATAGAAATAAATTCATCTTACAGAATCAGAATAATCAAAATAAAAAAAAAAGTAAAAGGTTTTGAGAAGAATGAAAAGAGATAAATTAAAATAAGCTGTATTAAAGAATCATGTAGCAATATCAGAAACTTGGATTAAAGATAACAACATAAAATAATCTAGAGCTCTATTTAATAAAGTATTTATCTAAATTTAATTTAGGAATTTTATCATAAATGGGACAAAGGTTTTTCATGTTATATATCTGGAGATTGGGATTAAGCAAAAGCTATTTTTGAAGAAACTTTAGTATTTAATTTAATTTTAAATTATAGAATTTTTTACCAAATTACAAAGACGGTCCTAGCAATACATTATTAAGAGTTATTAAAGAAGAGCCATACTTAAGAAATAATTGGAAAGGCTATAGGGAGCTAACAGAAAAATGATTATAAACTTATTCCTTCTTTATTTTTAATAAGAAAAAATTAATTAATCAATTTACAATCTATGTTATTTGTATAGTTTTTATTCATTTTTGCTAATCTGATTTTGATTGATTAGGATTATTAATGGTCATTCAATTTGAATCTAATCAAATATTAATGAAAAGTTTTAAGACAGATAATTAATACATATGCTTAACTGTATATTTAATTAAGATAAATATTGTATTAGTTTAATATTCAATTAATACTTAATAGTAAGTCACAATATATCACCCATAAATAATTTTATTTAAAATTTTTCTTTTTTTGTTTGACATGGGTAGAAAATCCATTAAAAAAAATTAAAATATAATGTATTGCAAAGACTGAGAGAAATATTTTACTCGAATTATATATTTAAATTAAAGTAAATGAGTAAAAGGAGAATAAATAAATAAAATATTTTATTTAAAATGAATGATACAATTGAATTCGATGATTGCTTAAATGAAGTTACTTCTTAAGAAAAAGATATCATCAATTATTTGTAGGAATTAAAATTAACATTCTTGACTGACCCATAATAAAAATAGTTTAAATTTGAGTAGGCAAAAAAACAATTAGTATTCTCTTATCGTTCACTTGATTCAGATACAGATGGATCAGAAATGACACCACCTATGTTAGTTAAAACATCATCATTATTATTAACAAAGTCCCCATTAAGATAAAAGAGATTATCAATTGTTTCAGAACAACCTTTGATCTGAAATATTTTTGTATTATATTCCAATATTTGCATGATTTTTATAACTAATCACATTCAATAATTAATATATATAAGCATGCTAATAATCAATATCCTTATATGTTAAACAAATAAGAAAATTATAAATGCTTTCTTATCTTTTTAAGCAAAAAATTCAATAAAAATTGTTAATTTTGTATTAGTATATGTAATACCTATGTTTTCCAGATGGAAAAGCCTGTATATGATATTCAAAGTAAATTCTAAATTAAATTAGTTAAAAAAACAATTTAAATATGAATTCATTACAGAAACTTTCTTTTTTGATAATACTTAAAAATAGAATGTTGGTTTGAAGTATAATATCAGACTTTAATTAGTTTGAAATAAAATTAATCTAAAAATAATTTTAGAAAAATAATACTATAAAAAAATGAAGATTTATATAATAAAGTTGAAATTTATTAAGATTACATGCATTTAAAATGATATATTCATCATTTTCAAACAGATTTAATTTATTTAGAAAGAATCTTTCCAAAAATAATTTATAAATATTATATTATAATTTAATAAATAAATTTTTATATATTATTCTCTAACTTTTAATGGATTGATTAATACTATTTGATCTACAAGATATATGGTTCTGTTTTGAAATATTAATTGAATGTTTTAGATTTGTCTATTAAAATTAATAAAAAATATAATTAGTATTAGGTAATATTCTTCTAATATTAAAAATCTGTACTATCAAGAGTATAATTAAAGATAATCTATTTATAATTTAAAAGAATTCCTCTTAGTAAATATAAAATAATTTATATCAATATATAATAATATAAAAAATTAACAAGTTTAAGAATAATTGTATTAGATTAATATTTATTTATTTTTGAATTCAACCAAATATTACATATAATGAGATTGCTAACCCAACTATGATTATTGATCCAATTATTAATCTAGTTTTTAATTTTTACATTCTTTATTTTCTGTGTAATTCTTACGCCGAATTTAAAAATACTTATGAACTATTATCCAATTCTAATGATTATACTAATTATATAAATATTATTTAATACAACCTTCAATATTTAAAAGCTATTCTTTGTTATTGATAAGTTTTTCAATGTTTTATTATACAGTTTACTTAGTGTTATCCAAAGTTTATAGAATTTATTATATTTGCTTAGGTTCTTTACCATGAGCTTAATCGAAGTAAATTAACAAATTATAGATATTTTATTTTTGCTATATTGTTATATTTTATGGTGTTATTGGATTGTGATCAAACTAATGTATAAAATTTAGAAATATACAATTTTTGCATTGATGGAATTGATAAGCATTTCCACATTCTCTTAATTATAATCATTTGCAGTCAATACTAATTATACAACTTCTTTATTAAATGGTAAATAATACCATTTCCCTCCTTAAGTTGTAATATATTTACTAGAAATGGATTAGTATACTTACATTTTTTGGAATTAGCTAATGTTTTCATTTTTTAAAAATTGTAAGGCATTTTAAAGATCAAAGACAACTTGATTGTCATTTGGTACTAATGATATTACTCCTATTGTTGAAGATGTTTGCCATTTGGCTAATGCATATGCCATTATGTGGTTCATATAATATTATTAAAAATATATAAATGTATAATTATTACAGAAAGGAGAAGTTTCAACAGTTAACGTAATAAAAAGAAAAAAGAATTGAATAATAACAATTTGCAACATAAGAAACAAAAAAAATTAATAATGTTTTGGCTACTAATTATGATAAAAGAATCATGAGTTTTTTGGAACGAATGTCATAAAAACCTTATGTTATCCATGATTCTATATATATCAAAGAATCAAGATCAACAAGTAATGACAACAGAAGATGGCTCAATGCTTCTGCGTTACATTCGTTGGAATATAAATAAAACTATAAACTAAATAATCGATATCTAAGTGATAGAAAGTAACTTAAACATAAATTAACAGAAACTATTGAGGATATTCAAAATGCAAATGTTTCTGAATTAAGTATACTAGATACATTTAATCCTAAAAAGTTAGAGTCAAGAAGAGATAGATAAAAATAAATTACTATTATAGATTCTAATTTAATTAAAAGGAATATGAGAATTAATCTAGATAAGATATAAATCAAAAAGAAATTAGACAAAAAAGATGAGCCAAGTAATAAAATGTAATTTATTTCTTTTAAGAAGACAGACTATATTTCAAAGGTTTGAAATCATTAACTGTCTAACAAAGGATGTTCGATGATGAACAATCAAAAAGAAGTATATCTGGATAGGCTAGAAGCATTCTAGAAAAATGTAATATTATTTCCAAAAAGCCATGAACTTAATTATATATTTATAAATTATAAATGATATCAGAAACACAATTCAGGAGAGATTTGAATATGAAGTTTTCTTAGACTAGCGTAATTCATGATCTCAGTGAGTATGGGATACAGTAAGGATCTAGCTAACAAGATTTCTATATGAAGCTATTCGATTGTATAAGGAGACTAATAAGATGAACAGGAAGTAAATGGTGAAATCCCTCCAAGAGATAGCCAATGTAATTTAATTATCTATCATAATTTAGAAACCATTGACTGAATTATAATATGTTGAGTTATTGGATTGGTTTGAGGATTATTGTATTTAATAGGCTAAGAAATTTTAATAATAAAAAAACAGAAGCTTATTCACCAAATCAATACAAGCAATTAAGAATGATCATGCTAGAGATTACAATGAACATTAAAATAAATAACTATCTTAGCCAGTTTCAAAAAAAGTTAAAGTTAATGTTGACAATAATAATAATAATAATAATAATAATAATAATAATAATAATAATAATAATGATGTATAAAAAACAAAAGGAGATATAGAAAATGATGTTGAATCTATGTCAGAAGAGAATTAATCAAATTAAAAGTAGAATTAAATTGTATTTAATATTTAGTTAAACTGACTAATTGATGTTACTATTACTATTAACAGCAGTAAATCAATAATCAAAAGGTATAGATACTCAATCTTAGGTAAAAGTACATAATTTATTTATTAAATTTAAATAGTAGAACAATAATAATATCAATGAAAGATGTAGGTACTTTCCCAAATGTACCAACAAGCATTGTTAATATATTCATCCAAAAATTAAAGTAGCTAATTATTTAAATATTCAATTTAGTGCAAATATTTTCCTTATTGTAGCAAGGGAAATCAATGCATTTATATGCATCAGCAATGCAAACATGGGATTCATTGCAAAAACCCATAATGCAGTTATGAACATCCATACAATAAAAAATGATATCATATGAAATATATAATTAACTAGAAGATTTAATTAATCTATTTAATACAAACAGAAATCAATCATATATATTATAATATTAATTAATTTAAAGTACTAAGATAACTTTTTAAGAATTCGTGTACGATTCATTTAACCCATTAAATTTATAAGCAAAATTAAATTACAGGATTTGATAATTTTTTCATATAAAATAATTATTATTATGTATAAGAAAACTTTTCTTGGTCGCACTTCTAGTGAAGTCGACTCTTTAGAAATTTAAGACGGATATCAAGAATTGATAGACAATTAAAGTTTTTATGAATATTATTCTTCAAATTCAAATGCAAGTTCATTTATTGAAGATGAATCTATCTCAAAATAATCTGTAAATATACAATTATTGCATCAAAATTTAAAAAATTATGGAACCATGAGAGGATTGCATTCAAAAGTTGACATATCCACTCTGAAAAGATTGAATCAATCATCTTATGTAGAATTTGATGATTAGCAAAAATATAAAATGAATATTGATATAAATAGAATTTATAAAGGGGTTCCTGAAAATACTACTATTTTTGATAAAGAATATGAAACAAAAACTATATTTCATGATTAACTATACAATCTTGAAGACCAACGTCATAATATTGATGTTGAAATCTTACAATTAAAATTTTTACTGAAAAAAACTGAAAAATTAAATTTAAATAGCTACAATGCTTATAAATCTTTTGTTGATTAATAAAAATTTGAATTGATCACTATTCTATAGTCATAAATTAAATAACTTAAAAATTAAAGAAAGTTACTTGAAGATAACTAATAATAAGAAAACACTTTATATTAATTATCTATTGATTAATAATATTACAATAGATTAAGTTTTGAAAATGAGAAATTCTCTTCTTAATTTATTACTTCTTTTTATAGAGTTAAGCAAACTTAAATGTTAACAAATGTATCATAAGCATTTTCCATCAATTTTCTCACTTTTTAACCTTAATGGCTTAAATAGCTAGAATAATAATATACTCAACTTTAATAAATTTAACATCTAATAATACCACCTATCTAAATATTTCAATTTCAAAATTCAAATGTATTGCAATTTTCATTTTTATTATTAAATCTATTATTTAAAAAGTTACATTAAACCTAACATAATATTTGGATGACATTTTTATTTAAAGATTTTCTTTAGGCTTCATTTTAAATTGAAGAATAATAGCTTATATAAATAAATTCAAATTTTCATTAAAATATTAATTCCTCTTTATTTGATGCTTATTTTAAATATGTAATCTAAGAAAGTAATATATAAACTAATGCTACATTAAAAAATGAACTCTAAATTATTCAATTTTAAGATCCTTCAATAGAATAGATTGACTTATTAAATTAATAAACACCTCCAAAACAAAAGGATAAAATTAGCTTTTTCCCTGATTTTTTAGATATTTAAATCTTATTTGGTGAAATGATTCTACTTGAAATATTTCATTTATTCTTCAATTTGTATTTAAATGTATTCAGAATCCTTAATTTATAAGAATCAGTGTTATACTTAGGAGAATAAATTAAATTGAATGAATTATTGCTCTATTTAATTATAAGTTAACTTTAAGATAAAATAAAAGATTAAGAAATATACACATTTTTCAAATCATCTTTTATAGAATAATAAGCAATTCAACTTTAAGGAATTTTTACACTTTTATCAAAATTTAAAAAAGCTTTTCTTAAATTGGATGAAAATTCTAAAGAGTTATTACTAATTTATACTCAAAAATAATTAGGAAATAAATCTTAAGTGAAAATTTAGGATGCTAAATTAAATTTACTTACAACCCCTGATAATATTCTAAGAAAAATAAGCTATGAATCACAATATAAATAATTATGCAGATTATAAATTGTGAATAATTTAGTCTTTATTCATAGTTTTATTTTGTAAGACACAGTTTTGTGAATTCATTGTTTATATTTACATATATATCCATTTTATCTTATAATAAATAACAAATCAATTTAACTATTATTTTTCATTTCTTCATTAATTTATAAAACATAATTATAACCACTCTCTTATCCTTATTTTTAATTTACATTAAATATGGAAAGGTATTTATTACTCAAAATCTTCTTTTGAATTTGCTTTATGATATTCTTAATACTCATTGAAAATTATTTTTAATTTTTTTCAAATTTACTTATTGTTTCCTTTTAGTTTACAAAATCTTTATTGAAAATTATGCTTGATTATTGATTAATAAATAACAATAAAATGAAAATAAATAATTCAATAATTAATTTGTTTTAATTTTGATTTAAGCAGATTGTTCTCCTATTTTATATAAGAAAGCTCTAATCTTAATTATTCAGACTCAATTTTCAATTATTAAAATATTCTTAAAGCAACTATATATTATTCTTCAATCTAAAATCAAATAAACTTTATACTTCTGCATTATTTTAATAATTTTGTTCAAGACTGGCTATCTATTGCTTCAATTATTTTACTTTTTCTCTTAATAGATCATTTTCTCTTTCAAAATTTTCTTATTGCTTTTTCATACTACTTTAGGGTTATTAATCAAAATGAGAGTACGATCTTTATTATCTTATAGGAGTTGATGTTCTTAATTATTGATGTGGAAGAATTGTGGATTATCTTAAAATTTCTATATATGATTCATTTAATAGATACTTTAAGGGGAATGTCTAACTTATCTATAAATAATTTATTATGGCAGCATTATCAGTTAGAGTAATTTTTAATTATATTAATTACTTTTAATTATAAATATATCCAGTTAATACTTACATATCTAATCATTACTAATCTATTCTAATACTTAAATTACTATGTTTCTTGTTAAAAATATATTGTATGAATTTTATAATATTCTTTTTAATAATTTAGTTTATTTATTTAAAATACTGTTAACTATGAAGTTGTTATAAACTTTTAATGAAATAGTATAAAAATGAAACAAATAAGTAAATTATTATTCATTGTTCTTATTTTTAGAATAATAAAAATTATCAAAATTGACAAAATATATTTTGTATAATTTTTTTAATTAAGTTTTTCAGCTATTATATATAATCATAAATTATTATATTGGATACATTGAAACCAATTCTTATTAAGTTTGTTGAATCAATAATTATACTATCTTATTGTTCTTATATTAAATATTAAAAGTTTAAAGGCGCTTCTCTGGAATTCAATCTATGAAAAAGTTTATAAATTTCCTACTCTTTTAATAAAATCCACAATTACTATTTCATTAATTTGAAAGTATTAATTTTCATATATTAAATAAACCTGTATAATTAATAATAATAAGATTTAACATTTTTGTTAATGTATTTAGATTTTTTATTGAAAAAGTTAAGCTTTATGTAAATCTCTATAAATTACTCATCAAAAAAAATACCATCTTACTTAAATTTGCACAATATCTTGTATTGATATTTATTGTCAATCGTGTAAATCATTATTATTTTTAGATAAATATTTCATTAAATATAATTATTAACAAACAATTTAGCTTCCAAAAACTAAATAATGATGAATTTTATTATATAATTTATATATTTATATATAAATATATTATAAGAAAATCACACTATATCAGAAGTAAAAAAAGCATTAAAAAGAAAAACTTAGAATCTCAATTACAAAATTGTTAATTTAAACCATTTTAATTTAAATAATCACTAATATACTAAAAACTTAACTTTAGATAATTAATTACAAAATTCTCTTGAAGTCAGATGAAATTGAAAAATAAATTTTTTAAGTTAAACAATATTTTCATAATATGTTTATAAGGAAACAAATATTTAGATTTAATTAAGGAAAATTGTTGATTTAGATTACAATAAAATCAATTAAAAAATCAATACTCTGAATTAAGGAATTTATCTATGATTCTGAATTTCTTAAGTTTTCTTAAAGTTCATACTTTATTTAATCTTGAATTTCTAAGTATCAAACAATTATTTACTTCAAAAAATTTGAAAAGATCTGTTTTTACTAGTCAATATTGTATAAGCAAGTATTTATAATTTTTTTTCTAATTCTAATTTAAAAACCTTTTGCCATTAACTTATTCTATCAATAATTATTCCTTTATATAAAAATTTTCTTTATAAGAAACAATATGTTTTTTATGATTAATAATAACAGTTTTAAAATAACATTCTTATTTATATTTTCTTTAAAAATATTTTAAAGTTTACTCAAAGAATTTCTTGTAATTTATTTAAGCTTATAATTATGAGAATTATCTTTTTAATACTTCGTAAAATAAATTTGAGAAAAAGGATCTTAAATAATGTAGGATTTGAATTGATTATAAAGAAAAAGATGAACATATATATGTTTTAAAAATAATTGAAATTTGTCAGGATTTATAATATAATTTTGCAATAGTTTAAATTATTGTTTTGTAAATTATATTTAGAAATATATTTTACAAAAATAAATATTATTGACCAATACTATACTGAAGGCTTTTCATCTAAAGTTTGAATTTAATTGTTTGTGTAAATGTAAATTTTAGTAGAAAGAGATCTAGATGAAAAGAATAAAAATATTGAAATACATAATATAAAAAAAGATATAATACTATATATTTTTTTTAATATTTATTTTCTAAATTGAGACTAAAGAAGATTAGTATGTCAGCCTCTTTAGAACCCAAGATTTCAAGAACATCATCACTTGATGATAAATAAGACAACGTCCTTTAATAAAGCAAAATTGAAAATTTGATTCAAAAGAAGGATAATAACAATCTCTACAAACTATTGAAGAAAAACAAAAAGAGCAGGTATATACTTAACATATTTGTTAAAGAACATCATATAAAAAATTAAAGTACGATGGGATTATCTATAAAATTGGTTAGAATCTCTGTATTAAAGCAGATAGAAGAGTAGATTATGTTGCTAAACTCATTAAGATTGTCAAGCTTGTTGATAATAATGATGAAATTTACCCTTTAATAAAAGTTCAATGGTATTATAGAAAATTTGAATTGGGAGATTTACCAATGAATTATATGGATTATATTTCAGAGAATGAAGTGTTCAAGACAAATGAGTATGACTATATTGAGATTGAAAGCATAGTGAGTTTAGCTTCTATTCTTACTTATCAGGAATTTGATAAATTAGAAACGATGAATGATACAACTTATTTTATGAGAGCGGCTTATATAAATAGAACTTTTTAACCTCCAATAGAAGAATGGGCAACTACATGCATATGTTAAAAACCTCCAAATCCAGATTTGAAGTAATTTAAATAATTAAAGATTTTAAGGTATATATAATGTGAGGCATGCTAAGGATGGTGCCATCTGAAATGTGTAGATTTGACCAAAGAAAAAGCAAAAAAATTACTAAACTTTGTTTGTCCAAAATGTTAGTAATGAAAGTGATTGTAGCTAATAATTATAAGATGATATATATTTATGATGAGTCAAATATCTTTATTTTATATGAATTTTATTTATATAGGAAAAATAAGGGTTCCGAATAAACTGAAGTGAGTTTAAAAAATTTTCTATAAATGATTTAAATTATTGATATAAGATTCTTGAATAATAATATAATTGATAATGAATGCAAAAATATATAGAAAATTTTAGCAGAATATATTCGATTCAGCTAATATCTCTTAATAAATATTCTAATTAACAATTCCAATCAATTTGATGTTTGTAAACAATTTCTTCATTAGGATCACAAAATATGTAGGAATCATAATCTGCAACTTATTTTTCTTTAAATTAATTGAGGTCTGCCTCATGAACATCTTATAATGATAACATATAATCAACAAATCTATGATCAAATTTCTATTAACTAGTTAATTCATTTTTCACTATTTCTGATTAATAATTTTAATCAAATACTTTATTATTTTTTTTGTTTGTATCTAACATTTTTTTTTTTAATTTTTTTAGGTTCCTTAAGTTCCTTAGGTTATTCAATTATCAATTATTTTTATTCAACTTATTCTGTTTAAATTTATTCTTCTTCTTATTATTTAGGTTCTTCTGGTTCTAATGGTTTATCTTCTAATTATTATATTAATTAAGTCGCTTAATAGTATCTAATCTCTTCCAACAATTCTTCTTTACAATCTCTTTAAGTTGAAACTCTACAAGTTTGTATTTATTACTCAATTTCTTCATCAATTTCTCCTTAATCCCAAAAGTTTAAAGCATATGATTGTTTTAAATTTTATTTTATTTCAAATTTACTAAAATCAATAGCTTTAACACTATTGTATTTATTTTTGGAATCAAGTTGCACATCATAAAAATCATTGTAATTTTACATAGCTGTTGAGAAATTTGTGGGCACTTTCACTTTAAATGCTTCCTTCTCTATCCTATCTACTATTATTTCAAATTACTTTACTAAGTTTTATAATCTCAATATTATTATTTTTCATACTTCTCATCATAATCAGTATTTTTCTTATTTGTTAAATAATGCTTATGTTATTATATTAACTTATCCTAAACTGCTTCAATATCATAAGAAGGATCTTATTTTTTAATCAATGAATCAACTGTTAAATAATCATCTTAAATAACAGTTGGTTACAAAGCGACACTTTTAGTAAAATATTATCTTTTGATTTTAAATAACTTTGAACCTTTCTTGTTTTAATTTAAGATATTTTCAATCTTCTCTTTGAATCCATCTAATAAATATTTTTTCCAACCAGCTCTTTGAACATTATTACCTTCTAATAATAATGAGTATTTATTTTGCAAATAGTTTTTTTATAGAATTTTACCATCCCTATAATTAAAATTTGAAGGACTAACATTATTCAATATTCTTTTATTTGAGTTTGGAATATCATTTAATTTTTACTAATGAGCCAAAATTTAAGATATATAAGAAGATTCAGTATATAGATTATGAGAAGGAGTGAGTCTTTAAGCACTTCTACTATTCTTAATATGTCTACCTTCCAAACGTGAAGAATTTTATATTATCATAAATAATTAATTAAAGAAAAATGGTTTTCATATTATTTTTGGCATATAACTATATTTCTTAACCTATCCTCTCTAGGAATGAGTAGTAATTTCTTTTTTAATAGAAATCAACTCCTTTTTTATATAATTTGTTAAATTTTCATGCATATGCAATTATTCTTTAAGACCCTATTGTAATTCTCTTGAAGATTAATTCTAAAAGTTTGATACTTAAAATTCAATATTCAATTATTAGATTTAAGCCAAATGTTCACCTAATTTACTATAATTGATTATAAAAATGATTTATACATTAATGCCAAATCCAAGAAATCTTTAAGTTTAATATTTTAATTATATTCTTCATTTTCTTTATCTTATAATCTTGAACAATAACTATTTGATTTTTGACTATAAGCACTCATATTATTACATTTCTAAATTTAAAAGAATAAAATACATTTTTGCTAAACTTCATGAAATCATAAGATGTAGCTAATTAAATAGTAATATCATGAACTTATTATATTTATCTTGATAATTTATCTAATTTTTTATCAACTTCTTTTTAGAATATTTCCTGACAATTTATCATTAGAAATGTAACAATACCTTCTAACCAACTTTATAGTGTTTCACTTATATTCATCTTTTAAAGTATTTATTATACTCTTTTTGAATTTGTTTATTGTGCTAATGTATTTAATCCATAAAAATTTAATTAAGTTTCTGATAAAACTACATTTCTTTTTGAAAATTTTTAAACCATTTAAAGTTACTTGGTTAAAGTTGTAATTGATTTTTAGAATTAAGTAGCTATATAATCTACACCACAATTAAGAAGTTATATGTTTGTTTCATATTAGACTTTCAATTATTGATTCTATTTCATCAATCCAGGTAAGGACTTCTTTTGTTTTTCTTCTAGTCTATCAACATCCAATTCAAGATAATTAACTTTTGTTTCTGTTTCTTTAATTAATTATATTGCTTATTCTGACTCTCTTAATCTATAAGATATTGAATTCAATTAGTCTTGAAGTTCTATTATTTACTATTAATAATTTTAATTCTGCAAAAGCACCTATTGATAATCTTAAAATAAGGCTTCATTATGTTAAGAGACATGATGCAATTTTTATTGTAATTCTTAATTACCTCTATCAGATGTATTTTTTCTAATATCTGTTTTGTATCCTTTTAATTATTCTGTTAATTATGCAATTTTTTCATTCTTTTCGTTTAAATCCTTTGTTGAGCATCTAAGTTTTTATTTCAAATCTAATATTTCTTCTTCTTTCTAAGCCAATTTTTATTATGTTTCATTTAACTTTATTATATTTTATTCTAAAAGTCTATTGGTTTAATATAGTTTGGCTAATAATTCTGGAGGCTATTATAGAGATTATATTATTTACATGAGATAGCACTTCAGAATTTCTTTTAGTTGAATTAGATATTAATTCTGGTTTTGGAGGTTTAAATTTCAATTGAGTATCGATACTTGCATCATGAAATGAAGCTGATTTATGTTTGAACATATTAATTTTAAATTTTATAATAACGATGAATTTATTTCAGAATCAATATAGAAATTCATAATACTTTCTTATTTAAAACATTTAATAATTGTTATTATCATGCTTAATATAGTATTTATTGAATATCTTGAGAATATAATATTAAGTTTTAAAAACTTATATTTAAGAGTATTTTTAATAAGATAAACAATATCTATTAAGCATACTTAAATGATTATAATATTAATATTAAATATACTTAAATTGTATATCCTATTCTCAAATAATTCCTTAAAATATTTACAAAAAGTACAAAAATTTAATATTTTAAATTGTATTTGACAATTTGATACTAATCTTTATATAATAAAAAAATGGAGTGATTAATATCTTAATAATTATTCTTTATTTTAGATAATATTAATTTAGAAGGAAATTCATCTATTTTAATTAATAAAGAATTAAATGAAATTTTTAGAAGGATTTTTACAATAATAGTTATCAAGATTTAAAATTTATTTGATGTGAAAGAATAATTAGGAAACCTTGAAATATAAAATCTCTAATTCCTTAATAAAATGATCTTTACTATATTTTACTACAAATCACTTTGATTTATTAAGAAATCTTGATATTTTTTTGGATTTAATAATTTACTGATTCAATAATATAATCTAAAAGAAAATAACTATAATATCTATAAAAATATGGAAACAATAATGTGATGATATTTTTTTCATTTAGAATTAGTATAATCAAGTAAATAAATTGAAAATAATAAAGCCATAATAATGGATGAAAATAAATTAATTATGAATTTTCCATATTAGCTACTAGAGTAATTTATAGGAAATATACTTTATACAAAATTGATCATTCCCTTTATTGTATATTTAAATTGAAGAAAGAAATTACCAGGTTAAAAATATTTAGAAAAATTGTAATAGAAGTTTTTTTTCTATATTATGCAAATTTCAATATTTGATCCTCAAATTTCATTTTAATTTATTTTTTATTATGTCTAACATAAATTTCATGATGAACAGATCAATATAAAAATCTAGAAATCATAAGAGAATAGACATCCAAAAAAAGCTTTCTTTAATTAATTTAGTATTACATGAGAATTTATCAACTAGACAAGTAATAAATTATTTTATTTTAAGGCAGCATAGAAGCTATAAATAAAATATTCCACTGCTAAGTATATTGTTAAGAAATTTAAAAATAAAGGCAATAATTTTGATTAACACAAATAAAATCTAAGTAAACAAAAATCAATGGTCTCGAATGTTAGTATTATCATAGATGTCTCGGATGGAAATATTGCTCTTTTAAGAAATGGCACAAAATAAAGTTATTATGATTTGAATTCTCTATAAGAAGAACTTAAATAAAGCAATTTACTTTAAACTTCTGAGTTTATTTTTTAGAAATTAGGTAAAATTCCTTGGAATCAAATCATATACAGAAATTGTAATGATTCTGAATTTTTAAAAGCATAATTACTAAAATAACATCAAATTATGAAAAATTTATGAAGCATTATATATTTATAGTTTATTACAAAATATCTTAATCATTCCAATTTTGAGAGGACATTTTTTTATATTATTTTTTTAATGTGAATTGTGAAGTATTTCCTTACTAATATAATTAATTCAATTATAATCTGATATCTCCTTTAAGTATTATAAAGTTATGCTTTATATACATTTACTTTTATGTTTTTAGATTAAATATATTTTTCTTACTGACTATAAAATTATTTGTTAGCTAATATCAATTTATATTTAGTCTATTTCACCTCTCCAAAGAGGGCATTATGGATTTTAATTCAGATTATATCAAATGACAGATTTATTTTTTAATTTATACTTATGTTTATCAAGTTAATTTTATTCTGGCAGATATTAAAAAAAATGAAAACTTGGGAATGATCTGAAAAATTGAAATATTCATTTTTATAGGAATCTATTGCATGAAGTGTCTATTCTATATGTAAAAAACTGAAATAATCATATAATATATACTTGTAGAAACTATTTGAGTAATCGATCTGAATTAATGTATTTAGAATAATATAAAAATTTCCTTAAATGGTGGAATTCTCTATTAATAGGATTTATCTACTTAAATATCTTGTTTCAAGCAAATATAACAAATGATATTGTGAATTGTACCTCAAAAACAATAATGAACATTTATTAAATATTTTAATATGTTTATTAGAATGAATGAAAAACACAAAAAAATTTCTTTATTTTAAAGGATTTCAGACTAGTTTGATGGAGAAATATATAAGTATCAATAGGAAAATAATTAAATAACAAAATAAGCATAATTATTGTAATGATAATTTAGAAAGGATGAATCTTAAGATAAAGTATGAATTATGTAATTAAATTAAATATTAGTTTTTTAGTTATCCTCATATGTTTAATATATATATTTAATTCAAATTAAATAATTTGTTTTAAATTTATTGGAATTAACACTCGTAATCTAATTATGTATTTAAAATTATAAGATTTGGAATATAAATAAGAATAAAAGCTTTATGTATTCTGTTAATATTTATTAATTATATGGCTTAAATCTAGATTTAATAGGATTAGAAATAATCCATACATAATACTCTTAGACAACCTTATTAGAAAATAGGTAATGAAATCAGAGAAAAAGTGATTTACGATATAGTTTTCCAAGAAAATTCGATTAAACAAGTATTCTCTAAGTTTTATCTTATAGACAGCGTTAAAATATGGTTTGAAATATTCTACAGCTAATGGTATTGTATAGACTTTTCAATAACAAGGAAGATGCATGAAAAAGGATAAAAGAAATAAGAAATAATATTTTAAGAGAATCAAAATTCTTGCCATTATTGATATCCAAACAGGTGATGTGAATCTCTATTAATAATAAACAACATCCAATGTATTGATTCTAGAATCATCAACTAAATCTCCCAATATTATTAACTTCAAATAGCAAGATTAATTTCATCATCCATAAGAGTGCACTAAATAATTCATTCATCAAGACATTGAATCGATATCAAACAATTTAATCTTCTGGATGAAAAAGAAAATGAAATTTGGAAATTGCAAAAATGATGTTTCATCTAATAATTTCAAAACTCATAAAAATATAAATAAAAGCAAAGCCATACTCACATAATAAGATGGTAAACCATAAATTTAAATAAAAAATGAATTAAGGAACACAGAAATTTAGAATAAACTTATATCTGAAAATATAAATCATTAAAAATAAGAAAGCTCTAAATAAAAAGAAGAGAACATAAATATACAGCAATCTGATTAATTTAAGGAGTAAATCTTAGAAAATTATGGTAATGAATAGGCTATTATTAATTTGGAAAAAAAAAATTAAATATAATAATAGTTAGATAATATCCTTAAATTATGGAAATAGTAAATATTTTTCATGTCATAAAAATGACTAAAACATTGAATCTAATTTAGATTATTATATACAAACTTTGATTAATAAAATATATTTATTAAATTTTTAGTTTTCTATTATATATATGATAGTTAAATTAATATTTCTTTCTTTCTTGTATAATTTTCAATTTTCAGTTATCCGCCAATAATATGGATAGAAATATATCAAATTAAATAAATTAATTGAAGTATATTACAAGTTTAACTAACAATAATATTCTAAAAATATGATGATGAGTAATTTAATTTGGATTTTCAATTATAAATTATAAGAAATATTTTTTTTAATTTAATCTATAATTAAAATTGATCTCTATTCAAAATGATTAATCAATCTATTATATCTAATTAATTTAGTTCTAAGAACATGAATATTAATTATTTTAAATCATATTTTATATTAATGTTTGACTATTTTATATAATTTATAATTATTTTTGATCATATCTCAAAGTTGTCAATTTTTTATTGATTTTCTGATGTATTTTAAAAATTTTGATATTTCTTTGATAACATTTATGAATGTTATAGGCTGGTATAAATAAAAAAATAGATTAATTCAATTTTTCATAATCTTTTACTTCAGAATTATCAGAATAATTTGATTCTTTTTATTAAAATGTTTTTTGGTTTTCTGTATGAATTTCTAAATTCATATTATAATAATTTTTAAAACATATTTATGTATAAAATATACATAAAATTCATGATTTAAAATATTGCATCATTTTCAAAAAAAATTTCCTTTAAAACTTAAATTAAAAAATCAATATAGATTAATATTAATGAAAGCTATTTATTTATTGGCATTAATTTGTTTATGCCTTTGTGATGATGGCACATTGTTTTCAGTTGATTAGAGACTCGGAAAATACACAATAAGCGAAGGTAAATCACCTGTTGCTTTAGCATGGGGTTACTATAAACATGAGGTAATGTAGGATGGATGGGGTAAATTATACATTTGGACAAGTGATACTTTTAAATCTCATGATTATAGTTTAAAGACTTCTTATGCAGCTGGTATTTAATGAATCATATCATTTAGGATATTTGGAAGGATCATTAACATATGAACACATATATAATCATTTCTGGTCTTGGTATGATTTTACTTTTGGAAATGAATAAGTAACCAAAGAATTATCTTAATATTTATTGGAACAATATGAATATTCAAGATAATTGGTGAAAGACAATAAAGGAGATGAATATTATGAAGCCTTAGGTAGAATCTTAGCATAAAATGATGGATTATATTAAGCAATTCAAGATAAAGCTCCAATCAATAAGAGACTCACATGGGTGTAATTACTATTGTTGTAAGCATGTGGTGATATTTACGAATTGAAAGAAGCAATGAAACCAAAAGCTGAAAGAATTTAATGGCATTTATTGACTCCAGAAGAATTTGAATGGGAAAGAGAAAAGAGAATTTCTTGTTCTGCTTTAATTAAAGCATTAGATGATTGGAGTGATGTTTGGATGGCTCACACAACATGGACAAGTTATTAGAATATGCTTAGAATTTATAAATACTATTAATTCTCTGGTCCAAATCCATATAGAGTTAGTTTTTCATCAAAGCCAGGACTTTTGTATTCTAAGGATGATTTCTATGTTTTACCAGATGCTAATATGGTAGTCATAGAAACCACAAATTCAATCTTGGATAGCACTCTCTATGATTTGATTGTACCAACTACTCTATTAACTTGGTAAAGAGTTCCAGTTGCTCATGCAATCTCAAAGGGAGGAGAGAAATGGACTAGTACATTCATAAGACATAATTCAGGAACATATAATAATCAATATATTGCTATTGATCTTAAAGTAGTAAAGAAGGAGTAAAATATTTTTATTTAAATTTAGTGTACCTCCTTAAAAGGACTTCATTTGGATTTCTGAAACAGTCCCAGGATTTGCTATAAATAAAGATGTGACTGCTAAAGTTATATCAAATGGTAATTATTGGAAGAGTTATAATATTCCATTTACAACTGAGATTTATGACAGAGCTGGTTATACTGAAGCTGTTAAAAAAGATCCAATAAAATATTCATATGAATAATGTCCAAGAGGATAAATGATGAATAGAGATGCTCCTAAAGTTAAGAGTTTGGATGATATGAAAAGATTTATCAGATATAATGATTATAAAAATGATGCAATTTCAGGTAATAATCCTGGAAATGCCATTTCAAGTAGATTAGATTTATTAGAAGTAATGAATAACATTATCATTTTAGACTAATCCAAGAGCTCATGGATCAATTGATGGAAAGGTAGCATCTTTGGCTTCTGTTCCATAAAACATTGCTTATGTTTAAAGTGGACCTACCACTGATTAATAGCCAATATTTAGTTGGACTCCAGCATTCACAGGTATCCATTGGGGATAACCAACAACATTCAATTTCACATGGGTTGAAGTTAAGGAAGAAAAAATTGTATGAGTATAAAAGAATATTATCAATAATTAATCATTTATGATCTTTTTGTTTTATGGTAAGAAAATTCAATAAAGATTTTTTTTTTTACATTTTATTTTCTGAATATTTCTTTTCCATTTAATACATTTACTCATCTAACTTATATTTATATTCATAATTTATAATGATATTAATATGATTTTATTTGATTAATATATTCCTTTATAGGTTGATGCTTAATCTCGTAGTCAAATTTGCATAAAATTAACATTTTGGTTGATCTTCTACATCACTTTATAAGTAATTACAATAAGATAGAATAAATACTAATAATATGGGTTTTATTAATAGAATTGCAATAATACAAGTTTTGAGAACTAAACCATATAATCATGTGATTCAATTGGATTTTTCAGTCCAGAGACTAATTATGTGTTTATAGAAGTAGTCTTTTCAATTTAAGATGTATATCAATTTTTAATTATTAGTAAGATCTTTTCAAACTTAATAAAACAAAACTTTCCCAAGAACTTATAATTTATAATATCAATACACATCTTATCTTCTATGGAAATGCATCATTATTAAATGAAGTGTAAAAAATTCCTATTAAAAAAGATCAATAAAAGATAGTTCAAAGTATGAAAATTAACTTATTGATGAAAAATTTAATTTAAAAATCTAATGCAATTTAATTTCTACACACTATAATTGTTTAGGAGAGATTAAGGAGTTTAATTTAAATAATCAGTAATTAATTTTATCATAAATAACTTTGCAAAAACCACCTTAATATTAATCTATTTAGATTATTAATATATAAGCAACTGTTGAAAATACAAAATATTTTAGATTTGTCTTTATCCATTAAGTAATTTCATATATTAAATAGGTTATATTTATATTGATAACAAGTTATGCATTATTTAATTTCATTTATCATATTCATGAATATAATAAAATAAAATGGCCACATATACTTAGATGGGTACCATATTTACTAATACTTATGATATTCTATAATTTACCAATTCAAATTTTTAGATCAACTCACTATAATGTAGTTTAAGGATATACAAATATAATTTAATTAGTTGTATAAACATCTTTATTTTATTTTTGGCTTCTCATATTTGAATTTTAACAACTTCAAAATATTAAGGATGAAGAAATTGCAACTAATTAAAATAAACTTAAATTAAATCATTTAATTAAATTTTCTATTGTTGTATTTTACACAGTTCCATAAGCAATTCTTAATCTTTATATTACATATCAAAAATATACTAGAATTTAGTTTGACATATAAAATGAGATACCTTATTATAATTCCTATCAATATTTAAATTTACTTACTTTATCAATATACACTGCAAACTATTTGTATCTATTATATAAATAATTTAATTACACATAACCAAATACTAATGTAGAATAAGATAATACTGTTGAAAAATCATATGAAATATTTGATGAACAAGAACTACAGAGAGTTACAAGATCATATTTAAAAAACTATAAATTATTACATATTTTATCAACAATATGTTTTGCTACTCTACTTTATAATTAATATCTGAATATATTCCAACCTAAAATGATCACAACTATTAATGCACTTAATGAATAAAGTGCTATTAATATCTATATTTGTTTGATACTTTAATTGTATGTTCCAGCTAAAATAACAAATTATTTTTTACCTAATGAATAAGCTTAAGATAATAGAATATAATCAACGGATTAGAATGAAGCCATATGAAAATAGATTAAATAAAATATTGTTATTAATATATTATATTATTAATATACGAGATTTAATTTAGTGTAAAATTTATTTACAATTTCATACTTAAATTTATCTTCTTTATTTTATGTTACTAATCTCATTAACAATTAATTATCCTCCTTCTGTATTTATTTTCAATATTTATTTAATATTCTAAATATTAAAGAATATATACTTTTCTACACAAATAACATTAATTGGTTTTAAGTACAATATCTTCTGCACATTTCTCACATACTCCACCATGTCTACATGGTATAAATAAAATATTAGGTTAATTTTCATAACAAATTAAACATTTATCCTAAGTAGATTATTAATCATCATTTATTGAATTTTGAGATTTTTAAGGTATTTCTGAACATTTTTTGGATTATTCATTTTCTTTTGGCTATTCTTCAATTATTTCTTTTTATTATTCTTATACTTCTAAGTTATTGATCTTTTCATCTAATGAATTGCTATTTGCTTTGATTTCCTTTTAAAATTCCATTCTATTTGATGATTATTATCCTAATGCTCTTTGAGATAGTTATTCTGTTTATTTTTGATTTGTTTAATTAAAATGTATTTTATCAAAAATAGCAAAGAATGTACATGACATTTTTACTAAATATAATGGTGCATTTAATTTAATAAATCTAAATGGTTACTTTCTTTTTTTCTTAGACAAGGTTTCATTAGAATCAGGTCCATTATCATTATTTCTTTATTCTTATTCTTATTAAATTTGTATTGGTTATTATTATGGCATACCAGTAGAGTATTATTCAAATCCTTAAAGTTCTTTCAAAAACATTCTACTTTTTAGGATTTTATAATTACCTTATATTATTTACAAAAAAAGTAGTATAAATGGTTAACAAGAGCATATAAATTCCATTTAAAACAATTAATTAAATAGTTTCATCCTCTCCAAATGATTCTTCATTATCATATAATTAAGTCAATCTATACAAAAATGAGAATGGTAACAATGTGTAACCTATTATATTGATAAAAATCCAAATGTTTCCTATTACTATAATAGATATAAGAAATACAATAATTTTAACTAGTTTATTTTTTTAGAAGATTAATGAATGTTTCAATACATCCTATAAATGATATAAATAATAATAATGCAAGAACTACCAAAAATACCCATAAAATTATAAAAATTTAAGACCAAACCCATTCAATTTTATCCTCCCATTTCAAAGCAATAAGTGTCATTTAAACACATAATAATGTTTTTATAAATTAGATAATCTTACTATATATTTTCATACTTACAATTTATTAATTGTTCTATAATTGAAATTTCAATTTCTAAACAACTCGCATAAATAACACTAAGATAGAAAGTGAAATCATCATTATTGTAATAAAGTATATTTTGAATTTTTGTATTTCATAATAAAATACTATAAAAACCTTTTTTTTTAAATGATTCTATTACTTTTAAGAAAAATAGAAACATAGCTTCTATTAATTGCCAAATACAATCTTCTCCTTTACGATAATTAAAATATATTAATATGAACATTGTGAGTAAATCTTAAATCCATAATTAAAGTAAAACATAGCGAAAACTGTATTACCAAAATAGATAACCATAATAGTTTATAAAGAAACCTTATAAAAATAAATTAAACAATAAGGATTTTGTAATTTAAGATTGACTAGATATTGGCTAATGTATAAAATTGATAATTTTACTTTCATAGCTAAAGGAGCAATACTTTATTACAAATGTTGTCTAGTAGTTTATTATTATCTTATATATAAAACTATTTTTTTACAATTCTCTAAATAATGGCAAAGCAGTAGGGGACATAAAATTTCTACGTCTTGTGGATAGTTATTGATCATCAGTCATTTCTATTCTTAATTAGGAAGGTCTCATTCTTAATGAACCCATTTATGATTCTGGCATTTGACTAAATATATCTATCATTCTTGATACATCATGTTATTCGAAAAAGAAGTTTATAATATTTTTAATAAATTATTTTTTTGTATTAATCTTTATTTCATCAAATTTTTCAAACTCTTTCATTTTAAAGAATACTTTAGACTTTTCATATTAAACTTATTTTGCCTTTGATTCTATTTCAAAAAATGTTTCTGAATATTAATTTAATATAAATTAAATAATGTCATATCGTTAATAATATTAATATTACAATAATCCTCAAACAACTAATTCAAGCTATTCAACAACAAGCTAACGATCACAATAATCACTATAATAATAACCATTTATACCATAATAACAAAATCCTTATGTTTAAAATAATTAAAAGAATAATCAAAATTTAAATTCAATTATACCAAAAAGCAGTCAAAATCCTTTTAATCTTTAAGCTAATACATAGCAATAATCAACAAAGTATAATTATGATAACAATTTAGAGGACCATAGTTTTTATTTTCTTAAGAACAATAAAATGCCAATCAACCTGTTGCTCAAAAATTACTAAATAAACCATAACAACAATAAGAACCTAATAGAATAATATAACAGTAAAAAAAAGAAAAAGATGATGAATGGAAAGCATAGAATAAATAAAGTTAAAAAGATGAAGAAGAAGTAGATGAAGATGATTAAGAATAAGATGAAGAGAATTAAGAAGAAGAAGAAACAGATGAAGATGAATATTAAGTTGAGGATTGTGATTAATAGGATGATGATACTGAACAAAATGAAAGTGAAGAAGAAACAGATAATCAATTTTATGTTTAACAGAAAAAAAATGAGAAATAATAAGCAGATGTAGATAAATATAAATCAGTTACTGAAATTGATACTATTAGAAAAGAAGTTAATAAGATAAATAAAGAATTAGATAAATTAGAATAAGAAATAGAAGGAACTTTAATTATGAGTAGAATTAATTTTGGTGATCAAAGTGTTTTAGATATGTCAGTTTCACAAGATTTATCATATTAATAATACCTTAAAGAATTTGAACAATTTAAATAATAAAAATAAGGAAAGTTAAATTCAATGAAAGGGTGATATATAATTAATTATATTGATATTTAAAAAAATACATTATTTAATATATATACATATGAGAAGATTAATATAAAGAGATAGGAAATTGTCAAAAAGTTATTGTATCACTTATTTATATTAAATAAACAATAAATTTGAGTCATTTAAATAGAACAAATTTTTATTAAATTTATATTATAATAACAGAATAAATATTATTTAAATATAATAATGAAGTCCTGATGTGATAAAATCTTTAAAAATAATTATAGTTAAAATTAAAGGAGTACATTTTACAAAATCATTTATTCAATCTATTTTCACTTTTTTTTATTTCTCATCTAATATTAGACTCTTTAGAAGAGAAATATCTTCAAATATTTCTTTATTTGTTAATTTTAATATAGTTTATGGTTATTTTGTTTTAATGTTAATTAATTCCTGATCTTAAAAAGTATCTTTATGTATTTTATATTTAGCTTATTATTTTTTATTTTTATGACATTAGGAACATCTATATTTTGTATTATTGGTTATTTTAATCAAATTCTACTTTCCTTAAGTTTATTCACATTCAACATGGTTCTATAATATAAAATAAATATTTACCCATCTGTTACATTTTTCACACATAATCCATTATTTATCATCCATTTCATAACCTAGATTAGGATCATATATCTTAAATTATTGATTTTTAAATACTTAAATGCAATACTCACAATAGTTGTTTGAATTATAATTATTTAAACAGCTATTACATAAAAGGACAGTCTTTCCTTTGATCTAAGTTTCATTTAAATTTTTTCTTTTATTCTAACAATTATTATTTTAACAACTTATCAGTTGTTACAATTATTTTTGTTTCACATTAGATCTATCCTGCCATTTTTTCTTAGTTTAATAAATCTAGGTGGGACTACTAATTTGAGAATCCTAGTTTTTGTGACTAACTTCTAAATTCATATTTTCACTAAGAGAATTTGAATTTTAAAGTATATCTATAGCATTAGAATTAATGATCTTAAGAAATTCTTAAAATATAGGAGAAATCTATTAAAAGTTATCAAAATGGAATGATTCGTTTAAGAATTGTTATTGGTTTGGCAACATATAAATTTTTTAAATTAATGAAATATTTCTACTTTTATTTCTATATATTAAATGTATTAAATTGAAAATTATGTAAAAGAATTATTTAAAAAATGATTAGCTATTAAACAATAATAATTATAGGAAAATTCTAAGTTAAATAGCTTCAATATTTAATTTTATCAAATTATATATCATTTATATCAAATCTAAATTATTCATAACATAACTATTAAATAAAATATAATAGATTAAGTTACAAATTTGCAAACCAAAAAAATAATAGATTTATAATTGATTTTATTTAAAATTCTTGATTATTCTAAATAATAGAATAACAAATAAAAATAAACAACAATAATTTTATTTAGTTGATAATCCTATGAATTATAAAATCTTTTATTTAAAAGAGTAATTAAGAATAAAATTGAATATTAAATCATAAATTAATAAAAAAATAATAAACCCGACAATCCATTCATGTATATATATAATTTTTTTATTTTAAACATATATTCTTTATAAATAATATATTATTAAAATCAATTGTAATATGTCAAGTAGATAGAATTTTATAATATAATATTATTAAATTAAATAATAAAAAGAATATTTGTTATTTATGATCATAATTATTTCAAAATATTGAAAAAATCTCTTGGCACTCTTCCTTAAACAATTATTTTTCTTTAATTCTTTTATTTTTATTATTGGAATACTTTTTTGAGATCACAAGTATTAAGCAATAATAAATCAAGTATTCTATCTGTTGATTCTGAAACTTCTTTTATCACTTTATATTAAACTTTATTAAATTCATCTAATAATTATATCACCAAATACTTGATTCTATTTTTGTGTTATTTAACTCTGTTATTATTGGCATCGGAGGTATAATTTGAGAAACTAAGCATTAAGGAGATTAAGAAAATCTTTTTTTCACAATTGGAAAAGATTATATTTTGTTCTGTCCTTCTTATTAATCGCCAGGTTTTGATTATTCCTCAGACATATAATTTGTAAGAGTACCCAACCTCTCGAAATATATCATATACAAGTATTTTATCTTCTGATTTTTAACGGTAATTCTTTCTACATTATATACTTTTATTTTAGTCTTTTATTTATTAACTCTCTAATGTTATATTCACAGAATTAAAATAATCATTTTTCTTTAAAAGCTGAGTCTAGACATTCAATTTTTACTCATTGATTAATTTCTATTTTTACAGTATTGAGTATTTTCCTCTAATAGGAGTTTAATGAACTTTTCTCTTTGGGCTTGATGGTTAATGTATACTAAATGCATGTAGAGAAATTTTCTAAGAGGATTCATACTTTTCTTATTCAATTGATTTTCTCAATCTCAAAACTGTGTTTGATCTCATTATTAATTATATAAAATGAAATCTAAAAATAATAATTGTAATAATTAAATTTTCATAAAATGAGGTTTAAATATAATTTTTCTAAATTAATAAAAATAGTTAGATTACTCTACATTAAATAATTAATATCTAATAATTTTAAGTATTGATCCTATTTCAATTATTAAAATATTATAACAATATAAATCATAGAATTAAGATTATATATTATGATTTAAAGAAATATATAAAAATAAAGTCATATATTTAGTGTTTTCCCAGAATATCGTTACAAAATTAGTTAATCTTAAGCTATTTCATCATAGCCTGTACTTTGGAAGGGTGAAAGATATTTCAGCATAGGTGAATCTAAATTTTTACTTGAAAATACTTTCAACAGAATTAATTCTTCCTGTAATAACTGGTGTCCTCATGATTATTTTTAATTCCTCATCTTAGGTTTAATTTTATTTCAATTCTTAAGTGGCTTATAGTCGTAATTCTTTAATATTCTAACTATTTTATCTTTTGATTCTAGTAAAATCGACCTTTTCTGTCCTAGATAATTTTAATTATAATATAGTAACTATTTATTTAATATTTTAATTCTCTCCATAAGATTAGGATCATCATCTGTTGATATATGAGCCTCATCATCATCAATTAACAAAACACTTTGCAAATAAGGATGCAACAAAGCTTCATTACTCTTGATTCTTTATTAAGGATCTATTTAAAGCATTTAAAAAAGTAATTGTTAAGCTTCTTTAGGAGCATTTTAAAAATGTGGAGAATCAAAATTAATATTAGCTTCCTTATTTTATTTTACAATAGTATTGTATGTCTTACCAGTAAAAGCTGGTCTTCCAGTTAATCTAATAATAAGAATATATATTAATACAAAATAAAAAAAACAACTCCCATTGAATATACATCACAAACTGAATCATAAGGTTAATATAAGTTTTTTAGATTTATAATTTCTGGAGCAACAAATCCAGGAGTTCCACATTTTTAATATAAATATGGTTTCTTATTTACATGTGTAGCCAATCCAAAATCAGCAATTACTACAGAATCAAAATTACTTTATTTATATATCTTAATAAAAATACCCATGTTATTTAAATAAAATATTCTCTAATTTTAAATCTCTATGCATAATTCCTTTTGAATGCATGTGCTTAAGACCCAATAATAACCCAACCATTATACTTTATACTTATTTTTCTGTAAATTAGATCTTTTTTTTTAAATATTCAAATAATTGATCTCCCTCTAATAATTCTAGACCCATATAAATAGAATTCTTGGTTTCATAAACTTCATACAATCTCATTAGATTAGGATGATCTAATTCTCTCATTATTTATATTTCATTAATTAATCCTTCCTAAAATAAAATACAGTAAACTTACTCTTCCTTTTTCTTCATTATAAACAATTTGTTTTGAAAACGCTTTAACTGCCATTCTTAAATTATCTTCTATTCTTTCAGCCAAATAAACAGATGCAAAATTTCCTCTCCCAATTTTTTTATAAACTCTGAATAAATTGTGAAATCCAATTTAATTTATTTTTTTTCCCAAAAAGTTCCTTAGTTAATGCATTTAATCAGTTTTCCCTTAGATTTCATAGGGTTTATCAATATTTTCTACAATTAAACGAATAGCCACTATTTCTCCTAATTCTAAGATCTCTTCACCTCTGACTTTGCTATGATTTTTTTCTTGTTTTAATTTAGATGGAGTTCTTATAACTTCGAATTTGCTAGTGAATACTAGATCAAATAGCTTATAAGGTATAGTATAGAATTGATCCTAAAATCTTTAAAATACATTATTACTTTATATTTGATCAAATATTCATTAAAACATCCAATAAAGATATCTTTTGATTTCTTGCCTACCTTTTAAAATTTGAATTAAAGGATAGGCTTTTCTTTAATATCATAATTAATCTTTCTCCAAACATAGTTCTATTGCATTAATAAATAATCTTATTTATAAAATATATTAAGACAGCTTTTCTCTTATTTTAATACTATTTTTTTTTATTAAGCGAGTAAATTAAATTAATTCATTAATAAGTTCATTCATGATGATAATAAATTTTAATGTTATATCTCTTTAATATTGATTTAGATTATAAGAGTATGTAAACAATTTTAATCTATATTAATTAATCCATAAAAATGAACGATTTATTTAGCAAAGCTAATTCAATTAAATGTCATATCAAACATCATTCTGATTTAGGATTAGGAATCTCAGTAATGTGTTTAGATGAAAAATGTATAAGTAATAAAAAGGCTATTTGTGCTATTTGTGCAAAAGAATCTCATATCAATCATAAAGTCATAAGTATTTCTAAAATTGATTAATGTATAACTGAATATTAAGAAAGATGGGTTTAAAATAAATTAAAATAATAATTGGTGAATGATTTTGAAACAATAACAGAAGAAATAGGTCAAAGTTTTTTGAAGTATGGATCTCAATTTTCATAAATTTTGGATGAGATAAATTAAGTGTAAAATATATATAAAACATATATTCAATGTGAAGAAATCACTGAAGTTGTTTTATAAAAATTGGGTTAAGAATTATAAGAATTGACAAGATTAGATGCAGGATCTTTGAATTTAAAGTTTTCTGGATAAAAGTAAATTAGTTAATTAAAACAATTTGTCTTAGAAATGTAATCTCTAAATATATTGTTAAATAAAGCTTAAAAATCAAATGAAATGTTATAATCTATAATTTTGTAAACATAAGAAAGAGATTAATTAAAATAATATTTAGAAAACCTAGAAAAATTGTAATATGAACAAACAAAGGATTAAGAAATAAATGCTGTTAATGAAGATAGCTTTAATTTATGTGATAAGAATCTAATAAAATTGAAATTAGATTATTATAATAGTGTTACTGCAATAGATGTTACTAATGATGGATAACTTTTTGCTGGTGGATCTAATTGGAATAATAAAGTAGTAGTTTATGATTTGGATTCAATGATTGAATTAAAATGTTTCATATGTTAATCAGATAGAATATAAGCATTGAAATTTTCACCAAATAAAAAATGGTTATTGGTTGGAAGTGGTAGATAATCTGATATTTGGATGTGGGATATAAATAATTTAGATTCACGACCACTAATATTTAAAGGACATAATGAGGGTATTAATAGATTTAGCTTTTCAAATGATTCTAAATATTTTTGTTCTGTTAGTGGTGATAGATAAGCAATTGTATGGAATATAGAAAATAATAAATAAGTTTATAGATTGAATGGACATTCATAGGCTGTTAATGGTTGTTCATTTGGTGGTGGTAATTGGTTGATGGATATGGATAAAGAAAATTAGAATATAAATTTAATAATTGCTACAATTGGAGATGATAAAAATATTATCATATACAAAAATCAGAAAGTTTTAAAAAAATGGTAAGCACATAATGATGAAGGATATTGTATAGAATTTTCTTATGATTATGAATGGTTGATTTCATCAGGAAAAGATAAATTTATTAAATTATGGTCAACAAGGAATTTCATTTTGCTTAAGTAATTTGAAGGACATCAAAGAGGAATATGGACATGTGGATTTTCTCCATATTCTTAATATATTGCTTCTGCTTCTTGGGATGATACAATAAGAATTTGGAATGTCAACAATGTTAATGATATTATTTCAGTGAATAATGAATTTGTGAATTTACCATAGGTTTGTATTAATGGATTTTCTAGATGTGTAATTGCAAGTAGTAAGACAGTGTTTAATATCTGGAGAAGATGATAGAGTAGTTTTTTTAATAAGAATATATTCAATATATATTAAATAAAGATATAATTCATTATGTTTCAATTATTCCTATGACTTCAACAAAATTAAAATTGTTCTTTTATATTTAAAATACTTTCATTATTGGTTATCGACATAAATAACATTCTTTATTCTTCAAGAGAAGATTGGATGCACATTTCAGACATAAACCACCTATAAATATATTTATTTTATATTTTTACCATGTCCACAATTCATTAGTACATATCCACTCTCATTCTCAAAACAAATTAAACATTTCATTTCAGCATCATTTGATTTACGAGGAGATGTAGATAGAATTTCAAATGGTTTATCAGTTTATTAGAAATAAGTGGATGAGATCTTCATCAAATACTTGGGAATGCCTTCGTTCATGAATACTTCGTTTTCGGAAGTGCCAACTTATGGGATCATATTGTTAATTTACTAATAATATTATCTTATTGTCTATTTACTGTTACTTTACTTCTTTACGAATGATAAATGATACAATCATCATTATCATCCATCCAGTTATGCACATTATTGGAAGATATATCATAGTAAAGTTCTAGTCCATTGTTAGACAAAAGTTAAGTAAAGTAAAGAATGGATTGAATGTTAAACAATGTAATTATATTGTATACCATATTCCACCATAATATTTAATATTTGTGCTATTTCTTCTTTCAATTGAATAATTCAATCTTTTCAAAGTTTTATACAATAAATTCAAAATCATACAAATTTAAAAAAGTAAACCACAAACTAAAATAAACCACAAAATAACAAATATCTACATCCAGCTCCATGGTAATACAGAATTTAGATGCAGTGATAAAAATAAAAGCTGCAAACTTAAAAAACATTTCAACATTCCTACACACTTTCAACTATTAACCTATATATAATTACTAATTTAAAAAGTCCTAGTGATTGATCAACGTTTAACTGAGTTCTGCAAATCTTAAAAAGCACTGAAAGAATTGATAAACCTAACAATGAACTTGCTAAATATATTAGTAATTCCTTCATGAAAATTGCAAGAATCTAATATATTTTTAATCTTACTTAGACTCCAGCTAACAACGAATATTCTACTATGTATTTTATTTTACTACTCTTCAAAGGAATTATATGATAAACAAAAGCAATGAATATTATAGCAAGACCATTTAAAGCAATAGTGTAAAAGTAATCATTCAAAAGACAACATACATTTATGTTAATTAAATATTACTGTATTAAAGCTTATTTTACTAAAATCTAATTCTTAAGAACATAATACTTTTAATATGATTTTATTTTGCTTTTATTCATCCATTTTATCTTATATATTATTGTATTATTATTATTATTATCAATTGTTATAATCAATAAAATATGTATTTTTTTGGATAAATTAGACTAAAAAAAGAATTTTCAATTTTAATTATTACATCATTCTTATCTTTGAAAAATATTCATTTTTATAAACTTAGATTTTGGATATATACAAATTAATGAATGATTTGTTTAAATAATTAACTTTTCATAATTTATTTATATATATATTAATAATTCAAAAATAATAAAATCATGCTTTCCCTGCGAAATTCAAATTGCATAAAGCTAATTACATAGCTATTAAGGGACTTAAAGGACTCATAAAATCTAAATTGAATCGATTCTTATCAACTTTTCCAAATTGGACATATATTATATCTTTATCATCACTTTTTAAGACCAATTAAAAATTCTTTATTGATGGCTTTTTCACTCTTCCAAAGAAATCAAGAGTATATAATTTTTCTAATCATTCCTAAAATACTTACATGTGCCAGTTATAATAACCTATGGCTTACGACTAATAAATTATATGGTTTCCTTTTCACTTTTTCTTAATGCTAAAACTATTTTTCTAGGCCGAGTCTAGCTTTCATAAGTAGTATCAAAAAACACACTACCTAATTAAGTTCTCAGTTTCTTGAATTTACTTTGATTTTTCTTTTTTACTCCATTATCATATAAATTATAATCAGCCTTTGATTATTAACTTTATTCTACTTTACCTATCATCAGAAGTTCATCTTTCTACTTAAAATCTCCATCTTAAGTGACAATATACTTATTTTTATTTAAAATCTTTTTTGCAGCTAGCAAAAATTAACCGTTATGACTCCAATACATTCTGTATTTAGGAACAAATCTATTAAGTCCAGATTTGTCTCTTTATATTGTGCACTAAAACATTCCTTCTATGGGGATTGGATTTACAAGAAAATCGTGTAAATAATCTGGTAAATGTAATTAAGTAATTTTTTCAGCATAAGGAGAAATAGGGGGAATAGCTATTAAATCTTAAACAGAAATTTATTCAAAATTACAGATTTCAATAATACATTCTTACTATTATTCTTATTCTTATTATAGTTATTGTTGTTATTATTGTTATTGTTATAGTTATTGTTTTTATTGTTGTTATTATTGTTATTGTTATTATTGTTATTATTGTTATTATTGTTATTATTATTGTTCTTATTATAAATTATGTTTATTTTCTTTTTCTTTTAATTTAAATTCCATTTAGATAGTTTGCGAATGTTTATCTTCTTCCTCTTATTACTTTACTGGATCAAATTATACAACTTCGAATAATTAAGGGTCTACATTTAATTCAACTGATCCTCTTAATTATTCATTCTCTTATGTAAAAGTTTGCTTTTGAATAACAAATTCATTCAAATCAATATCATAGGAATCATATTAAGCATTTCCAACTCCTAAATTTTTCTTAAAATTTTTATTTTTCTTTAACACTTTATTTTACTTTTCTATCAATTAAATAAATTATACTTTTTAATCTAATTCTTGGCTTAAGCCAAAAGTATCTAAGCAAATGTTTGGTGTTTCATCTTCTTCACTATTTTCAATAATATTGGAATCTAAAAACATTATTAATATTTATATAAATAAATAGATAAAGTATAATTCATTGGTTTTTGATTCCCACATTTTTAACTATCTGTTTGAAATTTTCATGGTTGTATGATAATTTTCTATCACACAAAGATTTACTATTTTATAGAATTGAGATTTTGTTCACACTTGGTTGACTTCGTTTACATCTGATTAAAAATTTGAAATCTGCATTTTTATTTAATAAATATGACATTCTTTAACTCTTTGAAACCCTACCTAATAAACTGAGCAAGACACTTAAAGTCTCTTCTTCACTTAATAATTCTGGATCAATTCTATTTGAAAATACATCTGTCTGCATAGTCTCATTTTTAGGAGATGTAAGTGTAAAAGTTGTCCTAGTTCTATTAATTTCTGATTCTAAACTATTGATTTTTGATTTCAATAAGCTAATCTAATTCATAGAATCTTATTCCTTATTTTATTATTATGAACTAACTCTTTTAGCCACTGATAACTCAATACGTAAATCTTCAATGATTTTTTGTTACTAATCATTAATTTATTATAATTGTAAGACTTTTTTAGCATCAGTTTATCTTTTCTCTTGATTATCCTATAATTCATTTGTCAAATATTCAATTTCAATATTTATTTATCCAATCTAATGTATTTATTGCTCTATAACTTTTTACTATTCTTTAATTTAGTGTTACAATATCTAAAGTTCTGAATTACTTTTCCCTTCCTTTTACTTCATCAATTTAAGCATTTATTCATCATTTGAATTCTCTTTACAATTAAAGGTCTGCATAGTAAAGACCTTCTATTTGTTAATGGGGATTTAAGCCTACTCGGTTGTTCTTCTTAAAATGCGTTGCACTTGTTCCCTAGTTAGAGATTATTTTTTCTTTGATTAAGGTGTCATTCGATCAGATTATTAAGACATGGAAGATACTGTAATATCTGGAACAGGAATTCCATCTATTAGTTTCTCTAATTCTCTGTAATTCTACTACACTATTAATACTTAATTACCGTAATGTATTCATCCATTTTTGATATTTTAAATTTATTAACGATAGTCAAAAATTTATCAGCCATATTCATATTAAAACCAATTCCTTTTATTTATTCATAAATTATTCTAATTTCTGCTTATTTCTATTCCTTCTCTAGTAAATAAATTGATTTTTTCAAAATAAATGATTTTTAACATAAGTACTCTAAGATTTTTGTTATTTTAAATTGTATTGAATATCTATTTGTTTAAAAGAACTTGTTGATAAAAGTTTTGTAAAAAACCATTAAGGTAGTTTAGTTCTTGAATGAAATGCATTCTTAAATGACTGTTAGGCTATTTATTTTTTACTTAAATCCCAATAAATTCTTCATCTTGAAACATACCATTAGATACTCAGTAGTTAATATCATACTACAAGTTAAATGCTATTTCAATTAGAACAAGTAAATTACATGCACAGATTATTTTAGTTACAATATTGAAATCTTTATACTCAAATGAATTTAAATTTATTATATATAAAAGAACAATCCCAATTTACCAATTTTCATTTATAATTTTATATTATCAATCCAAAGTCCAATCAATTGGCTCTTTTCCATTCTGAATTAAATACTAATTACACTTGGAGAAGTGATCTAATCATTTAAATATTCATTACTTGAATCAAAGAAACCATTTTTAGCAGACAATGGACTTGGATGAACTGTTTCTAATATATAATGTTTTTATCTATCCACACCTTTTGCCTTCTTTTAGGCTGGCAATCCCCATAATAAAAATACTAATCCACTACATTCTTTATTGATAACCTCAATCACTTAATCTGTAAATTTTATCCATCCACAATCCTTATGTGAATTAGACTTTCCAGCTTCAACAGTCAATACAGTATTAAGTAAAAATACTCCTTATTAAGCCCATTTGGTAAGATCCCCATGATTTGGAGTTTTAAATCCTTTGATATCTGTAGAAAGCAATTTATAAATATTTTTTAGGCTGGGAGGTATCTTTGTTTATGAACGAGGGACAGAGAAACACAATCCCATAGCTTCATTTTAATTAATGTACGGGTCTTATCCAACGATTACAACTTTAATCTTATTGATAGGTGTAAGTTGGAATGCATTGAATATTTTTTCAAATGGAGGGTAACAAGTTTTTGTTTAATATTCTTTTTTGATAAATTCATAAATGTGTTTGAGGTTAGCTTCTTAGTTTTTTAAACTTTTCTACCAACTAAACAGGCCATTATAAAAATCATCAAAAGGAACAATACCTTCAGGTACAGGCTTATACATTTATGAAAAGAAGTACTTTGTATTCTTCCTCAATAATTTTATTATCATTATTTTATTGTTATTCCTTTTTTTCCTTTGATTCAAAAAATTGGTCAATCTTTTATTTTTTTGGAGGCATTTTTAATTATTTATATAATAATATCTGAGTAAATTCTGCTCTGACATTTATATAAATGAATATTATCAAATATGTATATATATCAAAGAATTATTAAAAAATGGAATTGAATCTCTTTTTTCTAGTTGATAATTCAAGAAAAATCAATTTTATTTAATGTTTCATATGAATTTAGATTGAGCATTTTTGCAACATATTTCAATTTTATATATACTTAATATAATTTTAACTAGTAAACAAAGAGTATATTTGAAATAAGAATAATTATAAGAAATAACAATAAAATTTAGAATATAAATAATATTCCTTAATATTTTGTTTGGATTCTTGTTTTAATAAAAGACTTTAATTATTCGTTTTTTCTATCCTTGTAAGAATTCTATAAGTTTATGATTTCTGATTTATTTTTTATGATTATAGTTTTTTAATTAATTAAAGTAATGAATAGAAAAATGCCAATTATTGAAGAGTTTTATTTTGTTAAGACCAAATCACCATTAATAATGCCAATCGCAGGTGATCCTTGTAATTTATTTAATGAAACGACTTTGGATTGCTCTTGTTCAAAATAAAATCGAGAAGAATAATATTTAAGAAAGTTTAAGAATGTGATGATTGAAGAAGATTAATAAAAATAAAAATTCTTGATTCTCTAGAAAGAATTATCTTTGTATTTTGAAACACTTAGGAAATTTAAATTATGAAAAGCTACAATTCATTTAAATATTTATTGATTATATTTCATCTAAAATCTGCATATACATTAAAATATACTTGTTATCCTTGTCATGATTCTGTTATCATATAAATGTTTATCATTCTTTATTTCTAAAATTGCCTTCATTGAATTATTATAAAATTACTCAAATTTTAACTCAACTTTCTGGTGATTAATTGGAATATAAAGAATAATTTTTCTTAGTTTAATACTTAATTTATATTCATACATTAAAACTTCAATAAATTAAACATTGACAATCATCCCTTGTAGATTTTCTCACTCTTTCTTATTATTAATTACGTTTAATCAAATTTTCTAAAATACTTTCATCAATTATTACTAAATGATCTTATTCCTAATTTCATATATTAATATTTTTTACATCATTTTATTTATTGAATTTTACAGGTTATACCATTTAAGATGTTGTTTATAATCTAATTGCTTACTTAAAATTTGTTGGACCAAAATCACTATTTGATTTTCCTAAAACCATTTGCAATTCATTAGCTACTTCAACTCTATTTAATTTTTTCTTTTGTTAAGATTCTGGAAATTTTAATTCATTTGTAATAACTATAGGTTACTCTACCTATGTACTAACTACTTCAATGTCTTCTTCTGATTTCTTTTCTGATGGTAGATTTTTTTTTTCCCAAACCTTTGTTTCTTTTTCTTTTTTTATATTATGGATTTCTTTTATTTTCTATTCTTATCTTCTCTTATTCAAAATTTCAGAAGGATCAAATAATTCCTTTTAATCATCGTGATCCACTAATGATTTATCTAACTGTTTTACATCAGGTTTATCTACAGAAATGTTTACAGATTTCGATACTTTAACATAATTTTTAATTCTTTAAGTTTAACGTTTAAGAAAACTATCCATCATTAAACAAGCTTTTAATATATCTTTGCTTTCATTTTTTTCTTTTATTATGACATTTCCTGATTAAATAGCTCTGACTGCTGTTTTAAATTTTTGACTAGGTTTAGCAGTTACTATTTATTCTTCATCACTACTTTTGCTACTATCACTTACTTCTTTTTCTTTTTTTTATTATTATTATATTGATAATTATTAAGAATTTTATTTATCTCTTAACTATCTCTAAGAAGATATTCCACCCTAATTACTATCTATATCAAGGTCTTTACCATAATTTTAATATTATGTTATTGTTAAATTTGTATGCTTTGTCATTCCATCAAAAATGATTTTAACATATTATTTTAATTTATTATAACCATCAGTACATATCATAGTGTGAAGAGAGTTTTAAAATTCCTCTTTTTCAATACAATAATTCTTAATAATATTTTTATCTGCAAAAAGATTATGACATTAAATGATTTCATATATTTATTTTTTAGGCATCAACTAAAAGGATTTTCTAAAAAAGGTTTCCAAACACTTTTACATTTCTAATCTAACAAAGGTTTCTTTCTATTAATAATGTTCATTTAGAAATTTTTCAAATTTTAAAGTCAAAGTTTTTTTTTCTGCATATTTTGCAAATTAAGCACAATTCCATAATACTAATACCTAATTTTAATAATAATGATTTACTTCTAGAAACATAGATTAACTAGGATTCTTTTTTGTTTTTTTTATTTTTAGACAATCCTAATGAATACATAATTTTAAAGCCACAAAATCAATTATTTTATGTATCTTTAATTTCTTAGTTTCTTCTTATGTTTTTTCATCCACTTACATGATCTTACTTAATGATTATAAAATCTATTAGATGACTTCAAAAGTTATCCATTATTATATATTCTTAAATTTTAATAAAATATTTTCAACATCTCTAAAGGAAATTTTATAAGTATTTTTCTCTTTTAAATAATCAATTCCCATTTCTTTCAAAATTGAAATAAGACTTGTAATATTTTTGATTTCAACCTCTTTCCCTTTTATGAACTCAGTTCCCTTGATAACATCCAATCTTTTTTGTTTATTCTTGATATCTTGGTATGTATATTCCAAATAAAAACTTAAGATATATGGAAATACCAATAAGTAATCAACTTTATTTTATTCATTTGGCAACATAAAATTTTCACCTATATCATCTAATAATTTTTAGGTAAGACTTCCTTCAAAAGCATCTGTCTCTATCAAAGCCCGATCACTAAAAACTTTAAATTTCTTATGTCCAATCAATACTAACATAGTCTATAACATTTTTTAAAGCTCCTTCTTCTCTAAACTAAAATTTCTATTTGTATCAAAGGAAGCATAAAAATCAACATAGAAATCATGTAAATCCCTCACGGAAATAACGGTAAAAAAATATATCAGCTCTCTATTTTTAATACACACATAAGTACGGTCTCAGTTCACTAAGATCTTTATATGATTCCATATTCATAATTGGCTTAGGATTACTTAATAAAGAAAAGCCCTTTTTTTTAGAATCTTCGTCTGCTTTTTAAAAATTTACTAGCATGTAAAGTATTGTATTAAATGCACAATCCTAAGTTCGAATGAAAAATTAAAACTCTATTCTAAATAAAATATTGACTACCCTCACCATCCTTGCCTCCTTTCTTTGAAGATGTAAAGGATTTAAAAAAAGAAGTTTACATCTTGAGTATTCTTTTATCATTCTCCTCACCATTATTCTAATGGGATAATTAAGTAGCCTTTCTGGAAATCATTTATTTTTTTTCAACTTACTATAAATAAATTGTGAGATGAAGATTATAACAAGTTAACTTATAAGTGTAAATAAATGATCTTAAATTATTTAGATTAAAATCAATAAATAGAGCAATAATAACAAGTTGATCTATCCTTAGGTCTTTTAGTTTTACCTTAAGTTTATTAAATCAAAATTTAAGTTTATAACTAAACATCATCAATAACAACTTAAAACTTTCCTTCATCATCTTTAAAATCCTATAATAAAATTAATAAATATTACTTCATCTGTTAATTAAAATACTTGACTTTTAGTGGAAGTACTCCAATTCATTATTTTTGATGCATCTGATTAAGTATTCAATTTTCCATAATATGCATTCTTAAAATTTGAAGGACCAACATTTTTATCATTTTTCCCTGCAACTGAGAATATATCACCAGATTATGATTGAGAATGTCTTTTAATATCTTTTAATATAATTTTTGGTCTAACCATATGAAATGCTGATAATTTATGTTTCTCCTCCATATTTGATGATTCAGGTTAATTTTCATTATGATTTATAAATTATTCTTTTTGTTGTTTATTTTCTTTAACTTTATTATTATTATTATTATTTTTAGTAATATTCTACTCATTTGTAGCTTCTTTATTTTCTTCAATATCTTTTTAAATCAAATTAAATTCTTTTAAATTCTCTTATTTATCTGGAGTTTAACAATTTTATTTAAGTATTTTACTTTATTGATTTTTTTGGTACATTTAATTTTATCTTTTTAAAAAGCTATCCATAATTAAACATGCTTTCAAAACATCTTTTTTTTAATCAACTTTTTATGCAAATGCCTATTCTGAACTTATAACCTTTACTGCTCTTTTTAATTTATTTTTTGGTTTAATCTCTTATTCACTTTCACTATCAGAATTTGATTCAATACTTTTTTATTATTATTATTATTATTATTATTTCTTAGAATCTCCAACTTATTATGGTTTAAATTATCTATCACTAGATATTGGAGAATTAATTTAAGGATCATCATTAAAATCTTTACCTTAACCTTTATATTAAGCTAATTTATCACTATTAGTAGATTTTATAACACCATCATAACTTATACGAATATATTCTTATAATTTTCTATATCCATCTTTACACATCATTTGATAAAGCTCATTTTGTAAACTTTCTTTTGTTATTGGTGATTAAATAATAACCTTTTTACTTTATAAAGATGAATGTTACTCCATAATCAATTTAATTAAATCTTTTGGCATCAATTGAAATTTCTTCTTAAAAAATGATTCCAATACTTTTAGAGCTTCAACTCTATTAAAACTTTCAATATCTGAGTAATGTTTATCTAAAAATTTTTTAAATTATGCATCAAAATTTGTTTGTTTCATTATTTATCCATACATAGCAGCATTCCATAAAACTAATACTTCTAAATATGCTGATGGTGGTTTCTATTTATCCTTGTCTAATTTACTTATATGCAAACAATTTTAATGTATACATAATTTCAATGCCAAAAAATTAATAATCTTATGTAACTTCAAAGGCTTACCTTCATTTTGAGTTTTCTAATCAACTTACATCAATTTGGCTAACTAATTTATAATCTATTTGATTATGTCGAATGTTATCCACTTCTAAATATTTTTTAATTTAATTAAAACGTTTTCTACATCTCGATATGTCAAACAGTTAGTTCTTTTATCTCGAAGATAATCTATTCCCATCTCCTTAAGTATTGTAACTAAACTTGTAATGTTTTTTATCTCTACTTCCTTCCCCTTTATTATTTCAGTACCTCTCATTAAATCTAATCTTCCCTATCGATATTTTATTTCTGAATAAGTAAACTCCAAAAAAAAACTAAGGATATAAGGAAATAGAAGTAAATAATCAATTTTTGATTCCTTATCTAAATCTCTAAAGTTTTCAATCATTTCTCCTAAGATTTTGTCATTTAATTAGTTTTCATATGATGAAGGTTCATTTAAAAAAATATCAGTAACAACCTTAAATTTTTTAGGGCCAACACATTTATTTATTGCAACTTCTAGAAGTTATTTAAATTCAGCAGGCTCAAGGGAAAAATTTTTATTTTTATCAAAAGTAGCATAAAAATCAACATAAAAGTCATGAAAATCTCTTACAGAAATTATTTAAAAATAGTATATCAATTCTCTTTTATAATATATATATATTACGTTCTTATAGGACTTAAGTCTTGATAATTTTTCATTATGGGACTATATGAATTTAATGGAGCAAGGACTGATTATTTTTTCAAATATTATTCCATTCCATCATAATTCAATAGTAAATAAATTAAAACACGAATACATTAGTCCTACCCTTTACCTAAAAACTATATTTCTAGAAAGTAAGAATTTAAAAACAACCTTCATCTTATGGTTTCATAAGAGTATTTGTAAATTTGGAAAAAAATGATTTCTATCCTCCAAGATTTCGATTTGTGTTTTATCTGGCAAAAGATCCCCTTGATAAATTACTATCTTATTTCTCAAAAAGGTTTCTTTTAGACATTTAATATTTTTATAATAACTTGAGGTAATAATAAATAGATCTTTTTTGAGATATTTAGTTGTATTTTCAATTGAAACAATATAGTCACTTAAGTAACCATCTCTCTTTTAATCATTATAATTGATATTAAGATTTGTAAATTAAACAATATAAAATAACAAGGAATATTTCTAAATATATAATTGAGTATTCAATATGAAAATATGTCTTAATATAATAAAATATTATATGTAAAATAATTATAGATAAATTTTAACACCTTAATCCAAAAAACTCAATTCTACTATTTAAACCTTACTAACAAGTCCTAAACAAGATATCAATAATGACTTTTCATAGAGGAGAGCTTTATGCAAAACTATTTATTAACTTTAGAATGAAATAAGTCTCTCTAACAGATTTCAGATTTAATAAAAAATATAATAAAAAAAGAACTAAGAATCGATGGTACATATGGATGAGTAAGAATGATGTGTATATGATGAAATTTTTTAAAAGATAAAATTTCATTTTGTTTTTTTGTTTGAATTTTCAACCAAAAAGTCTTATACAGTTCTAATTTGTGTTTTCGTTATGATTTTTTTAGGGCTTTTCTTTTAGCCTTCTTTCTAATTGCCTTTCTCCAATTAGATTTCAACTATTTGTACAGTTTTTTTTTTTTTAATTCTTCCTGCTTCATCAACTTTAATCTTAAGGTTGGACTTTTTTAAAATAGGATGAGACATCTATTATTAAATTTAACTCATTTCATTCTAGTCTTTTTCTTTTATCGAAGGACTTTGAGATTTATATTATAGAAGTGGACTAGGCTCAGAGGATAACACTTTATTCATAAAATAAGATTAGGAATTGTGTTATTAGTATCTATCCTCTAAAGATGTTAATTTTTTATTTGGGTAGATAGCACGATAAGATTTACTGGAACTAGTGTTAACTTGTTTGGCAAACAAGTCTTAGTTTTTTTACCATTATTCTTATTTCGAAAAGAAATATGGTGAATTATCTGATGTAGGAGGAGTACATTGGTTTTTAAAATTCATTATAGTAGGTTAGGTTTGTTGAAAACCAAGTGTTTATATCGCCTATTTGAATTACTAATAAGAGTTGAATTATGGATTTTCCAGATATCTATAGATGTTTAATAAAGTTATTTACTATTAATCTCTTTGAGTTAAGATATTCATAAACTTTGCAGCACTCATAATCAATAAAGAATTAGTTTAAAATAATTTAAAGTTTGATATATATGATTTTTAATAATACTTATGAATTCACTTTGTTTTTTAGAAATAAGCTTTAAATTTATCTACTAATACTTCCTCTGCAGCTTTCTCATCATATTCAACCCATGTATCAGTCAAATCAGCATCATTAAATACTGTTCCATTTGGTGTAATCACTGTTAAACCTTAGAAATTCCAAGTTTTTGGTTCAGCACCTCTGCAATCGAATAATGCAATTTAAATATCTTTACCTAACAATTAATAATATTGAATATACTTATTTCTTGAACATTGACTGTGTCTGGAAATTTCTCTAATGATATATTTATCATTTTAGCACAGGTTTTACATTTCATTTAAAAATTACATTATCCTCTAGAATTGACAACATCTACTTGATCATCTCCTCTAAAATAGATTTCATTAATTTCAGTTTGACAACTTGAACAAACTAAAGAGATATGCCATCTTTAATATGATAATTGTAATGTTACTCATAATTAGCTCCTCCGGTTGAGATAGCATCAACATTTTTGGTCTCACATGAAAACAATAATTTATAATAAACCATAATTATTATATAAATTATTAAAAGTTTATAGAAATATATATAGGTAGATCATTATTTCCCATATACACATAAGTCAATCTCAACTTTAGGTTATTTTTATGGAGATTATGATTAATTTTTTTCATATTCAATTTCGAATTTATATTTACTTGGTGATTTACGATTAATACTACTTCTACTAATATTCATTTAAGATATTGATCGTGAATATCCAACAGAATTTGATGAAGCTTTGAAATTGTGAAAATCATTAAGTTTAAATGTAAATGCTCTCTAACATTTATTTATTTCATTTTATTATTTAAATTCATTTGGTAATACAACAGAAGAATCAGGAGTGTGAGATCTAGAATTAACAAATGGTTTGATTATGGTAACACTATCTTGTTGATTATTCTATTAATATTTTTTATTCATTCTTAATCTTGAACAACTACTTCTTACAGTTGTTTATTAATAGATGAAATTATCTTTAACATCTGGTAATATAGATGCATCTCTTAATTTCTTTAATAATAATATTTTATGTCCTCTATCAAATTTCATTAGAATAGATTTCTAAGAAAATTAATTAGCAATTTAATCTATTTATTAAGATGGTTATTATTAATGTTCTTTGTTTTTATTATTTTTGATTGTTCCCATTAATGATATATAAGGATTATTAGAATGACGAATCTTAGATGTATCATTTATAATTTAAGGTTATTTTTCTTCTTATTTTTAATCTTTAAACATTCTAAGTTCAGACAATTCATCTTATCTTTCAGATTCTTCATCTAATTTTATTTTTTTATTTATAATTTACTATTGTAATATTTTCATTCTCTATATAACAACCTATTTAGATGTGGATAAAAATGATTGTAAACTTGAACTATGATATTCTTCTTATATTCTTATATAAGTTAAAAATGGTAAATAAAGAATCAAAGATTCTGTTGTAGATTTTGCATCCATTTATCTACTTATTTCTTTAATTGAATTCTTATTATGTAACCAAGATTAATTTTCTATAAATTCAAAATCTCCAAAACATTAACCTTAACCTAAACAAATCAAACCATTTTCACTCTTTTTCTAATTTACTGTATATTATTTTTATAATATAATCTCTCCAAATTTTATTATATATAAATTTTAATCTTTATTTCCTTCATTAAATACATATTAATTTCTTTATATCTTTTCTTCTTTTAAATGATGTAATATTAATTATAATGTGAATTCATTCCAATCTTAAAAGATACTTAAAGTTCTTATGAATTTATATTAGTCAGTTAGAATTTTATCTACTGTTTATTATATATAATTAGAATATGTCTCATAATTTACACTTAATAAAATGACTTCACCTTTACTTATAACTGTAAGTGTTCTTGGAATTCGATGTTAAAGACTTATTTCTCCAAAATGATCTCCTACATTAAGTTCTTTATTTGCCGTATGGTTATCTGTAATCAAACATTTAAATACTTATATCTCTATGATCATAAGGGAAACTCAAAAGATGGCCAGATAGAACAAAATACATCTTTCTTCCAATATCTCCTTTATAAAAAATAACTTAATTGTTTTAGTAATATTCAATTTATAGTTAAGATATGAGTTCATAAAATTTTTATTATGATTTTTAAGATTTCTTTATCTATCCAAAAAGAGGAAATATTTTTAACAAATTCTTTTCCAAATAACTTAAATCTTCTTTAGTTTATTTTTCAAAAGCATTCAATATATTTTTAACTGTAACAATATGATCACCAGAAGCTATTACTTAAGACATATTCTTTAAATGTTATATTTTTTAGACAACTCTTTTCATATATAATATTTTAATTATAAAATATTTTTTAAATCAATGTCATCTCTTGTTAAAAATAAATCTGATATTTATCATTTTTCTCTTCCCAAAAGTTTACTGATTTATTATTAAACCACCATCTTCTTTTTCATTAATTCTGATATTTCTTCAGAAAATAATGTATAATATGTTTGTTATACTGAAACATCATCAATATCTAAACTTGAATTTTCCCAATCTTTCACTCCAGATACTATTTTTATTTCTTATTTATATGCTCCTCTTCTACGATTCTATCTTTAATAAAAATAAATTGGAATTAAAATTATTCCAAATATTCCAAAAGCAATTGCAAAACCATCTACTCCTAAACGTCCTTTTTTTGCCATCAACCAAAAATAATCTAATTAGATATTTTTTATGTTTACTATTGGCAGCTTATTCTTAATTCTTTAAATTTGTCTTCACTCCTTATTATATTATATCAGTCCACTCTTACCCAATATTAACAGCACCTTTTATTCCTTAATATTCTGTCAACATTTATTATATAGTTCTTGGCATTGGTCCTTCCTTACTATATACAGAATCAACCACTGTTTCATCCTATATTTTTTGTATATAATCATTTTAAATTTATTATAGTTTTGGTGGTTTTCTATTTCTTCTCTCTTCTAATAATATCTCTAATTTACTCTTTGTTTAATCTTAACTTACTAATATATTCTAATATTTAAATATACTTCCATCTTATGTTTTTTATTATTCTTAAAGTCCCCATTTCTATTTTAATTTCTCATATAATTCAGCAGGATCATCTGAAGATAATTTAATAGTTTGTTATGACTCTTCATTTTTTATTATATTATTCTCATTATCTGTAGACTTCTTTTCTCTATTTAACTTTTCTTAATCTAAAAGCTTATCCAACTTATTTTCCTCTTTTAACTTTTATAATTCAGCAAGAGTTAAGTTTGATAAATCTTAATCTTATTTATTATCTTAGGACATTCTTTTAATATTTTAATACCATAAATAAAAATGTATAAATAACTAAAATTGTTGAATATCTTATTTTCTATTATATAATAATCTTATCAGTAAATGGAACTGTTGTGTTTTTATAACTAAGATAATTGTTTTATCTCCTCTTTAATTTCTTTTCTTCCATCTGGATGAATTATTGTTGTTTTAACTTTTTATACTTGTTGTCCATTCCTAAATTAATATATACTATAAATTACATTGTAGTTGTAGTAGTTTATACAGTCTTATGAGTTTATCCTCTAATAAAATTGTTACTTTGATTTTAACCATTTTAATAAAATGGTTTAAAAAAATCATCATCAAAATCATTCTTATAAGAATTAGCTTTAGTCAAACTAGTTTATTATTATTGCTAATTATTTCCAAAGAAATCTTAATTAAAAAATGGATCATTTTTAAAAAAATTCTAGAACACTTCAAATGGATCAAAATTATCACCAAAAAAGAATTTATTTAAATCTGGCATTCTATTAAATTATGGAAACCCAAAAGATTATTCAGAAAACTTATTAAACTGAGGTCTATTATTAAATTAATTGAAATTATTGAAACTATTGAAATTGTTTTGGAATCCAGAAGGAAATTCTTAAAATTCATTATAGTCTTGTTAATATTGATTTCCAAAATTGTTAGATTGCTAATAATTAGGAGTTGGAGGTGGTTATTAATGACCATATTTATCATAATGAGATTTCTTCTCAGGTTTTGAAAGAACTTCATAAGCTTCTGCTATTTCCTTAAACTTTTTTGTAGCTGTTTCCTTATTATCTGGATTTTTATCCTATTATAATTGATTAAACAAATACTGGATGCCATTTCAATGCTAATTTTCTATATGCTTTCTTGATATCTGCTTCTGTTGCACTTCTAGGTAATTCTAAAACTTTGTAGTAATCCATTTAATTATTATATATATATATATAATTTCATTCTATTTCTCAATTGTTAAATTAAGATTGAGTTTAAATTTTTAAATGTTACTCATGATCTCTCAATTTTTATTAATATTGATTTTTCAAATGATTTGGTACAATCTATTCAACTCCATTACGAGATTCTCCTGTCAAAATATTAAATCCAGCATTCCCTTTTTAATCTAGATTTTAGGCTCTAACATATTGACGAACCTTTGCCTAATCATCCTATTCCTTTAATATATTTCCTTATTAAGTCTTATCATATTATAAAGTAATAGGATTATAAGCTAATCTAATAATTATAATTTTGAATTTATACCCATTTTAATTTCTCTTTCCTTAAGTTAAAGCTTGTGTATGATTGATTAGTTTTTATTAATCTTTTTATTCTTGTTTCTCTTAATATTCCCATTTTTTTGTTTCTCTATCTAGTCCTTCCATTCTTTTCTTTTCTATAACTTATTCTTTCTATTAAAGTTACATTTCTCTCTATTTCTTATCAGCAATAGCAAAATCCTTATCAAATCTCTCATTTTCTTTAAATATTTAAAACACTTACCAGGAACATAAAGTGATGATTAAGGTGGTGCATGATGTATCAAGTTTCCAACTCCTAAACCTCTTGCTTCATATCCAACTACAATATAAATTATAATATTCACCTCTTTAATCAATTCTAGTCTTTTCAATTAAATCCTTATCTTTTTGAGCTTCCTAATATAAAATAATCTTCAATTTTTACTCTTTATTCTCTTGTTCTTGGTTGTATATTAATCATATTTTAATTTCAAATAAATAATTAACACATAATTATACTCATATCAGATTAGTTAGATTTGCTGTAATTTCTTCAATTATGACTTTATTTTTTTAAATATTCTCTCTATCATTTAATGATATGAATAACAATAGTTTTTTACCTAAAAATACATTGAATTATTTTTCTTATGTTTGATATTTCTTTTACATCTCTGCAACTATTCTTTTTGAATTATACATTTCTTCAATTATTTTTCTTGCAAAATATTCATATTCTACTATTTCTCTTGATCCAAATTTTGTTTTTACTTCATAAATATTCTCATCTTCACCCATCTTTTCACATTCTGCTATCAAAACACTACCAAATTTTTGAGTATCACTTACTACACATTATATAGCATTTCTAAATAATGTCATACTCACCTATACTGTGTTTTCAAATAATTAAAATTGAATGATATTCATATTAAACAAAATTTTATTTTATTTTATTATCTCAATAATCAATAAAATCTTTAAGGTGTGTCATAAATTCTACTTTACACAATCTTGCTTTATGTTACTATTTCTTATTCTAATGCTCTCTCTCTTTATCTTTCAAGTTAAGCTTCTAATTCTAATCTCTCTAATCTCTCTTTACTTCTTTATCTTTCATAATCAATCTCTCTCTCTATTTGTCTACTTCTTTATAATGCTTTTCTCTCATTTTCTAATTAATCTATTCTATTTTATGACACTCTCAATTATTCCAATCTTTCTCTACTTTATCTTAATTCATCTAAAGCTCTCTATTGTTCTCTACTCTATCTTAAAGCCTCTATTTATTCCAATCTTTCTCTACTCTTTTTCAATTCATTAAGTCTCTCTTAACTCTTTCTCAATTCTAATTCATCTCTGTTTCTTTTCAAAGCATCTAATCTTTCTTAACTTGTTCTCAAATCTTCTATTCTTCTTCTTTACTTTTACAACTCTTCAATTCTACTTCTTGATTTTCTAAGTTCCTCTAATTATTCATTATTCTTTCTTTCTTATTCCAATTATTCTAATCTCTCTCTACTTCTTCTCAAATCATCCAATCTCTCTCTACTTCTTCTTAATTCATCAATCTATGCTTATCTCTCTCTACTCTTTTTCAAATCTTCTAATTATTCTATTCTTTATCTGCTTTTCTATAATTCTTCCAATTAATTTAATCTCTCTCTACTTCTTCTTAAATCATCTAATCTCTCTCTACTTCTTCTTAAATCTTCCAATCTCTCTCTACTCTTTTATAAATCTTGATATTATTCTAATCTTTCTCTACTTCTTCTTAAATCATCAATTCTCTCTCTACTTCTTTGTAAATCATCTAAGACTTCTCTCTCCTTTTCTAATTATGAAATTCTTTCCCTGCTTCTTCTCAATTCATTCACTATTTATCTTTCCTTTTAGAAATAATCAGGCACAAATGTAATTGCCTCTAATAATTCTGAATAAGTGATTCTACCATCCTCATCAGAATCAACAACTCTAAAGAAAGCTTACAATTCATCAAATGTTAATTTAGCACCATTACCTCTTAAGAAAGTTTGTAAACTATAAATGATGTTATATAAATCTTATACCTTTCTATTGTTATATAGCCTATATATAATTAATCTATGCATCTAAATGCATCTAAAGATGTAAAATCTGCACTTCCTGTCAAAATTTCTTATGCTGCTGTAATTGAACTAAAATTATATTTTTAATTAGTACTTGAAATTTTAGATTTCTTATTATAAGACTCTTGAAAGTCCCCATTCAACTTCTGTTGGAAGAAGCATATTTACTTCAATATAATAGCTATCTCTTAATGAAGCAATCTATCTTAATCTTGAATCTTCTTTTGGTAATATGGCCTTGACGAAACTTAATAATATTCTATATAATTTACTCTGGATATGTAATTCTACCATCATGATTCAAATCCAGCCTTTTAAATAAATATTCAAGCTAGACTTATGTTGGGAAGATCTTATTATCAGCCAAAAAGTCAGAGATATCTACAACAGTTAACTCACCTGATCTTAGTTAATCTAATCTTCTGAAAGCTGTGTATGGTTCAAACATTTTCTATTCAGCCAACACTTATCTGGCTATTTCAGTCTTCTTCTCTCCTTCTGCTATTGTGATTATTAGATTTGCTAATCTTCCTTATGTTCTTGATGAAAGGTACATTTTATTAAATAAATTTTATTGCTAAATAAATAAAATTTAGGTTTAAAACTTAGTTTTTCTTGGTTGTTTCTGAGAATTTATTATAATAATTAGTAATGTTTATTACAAAATATCTAAAAATTTTATCTAATAAATATTTAAGTCATTAGTAATGATCAAATGTCATATTTTGAAAAGTGTGACTATTTCAGAATAGTTAGACAATGAAGTGAGCCATTAATTATAAATAGAACGCAATTTTTTAATTGAATGAAAAGTTTATATAACATTTACTGAATATATAATTAATATTTTTGAGAATTAAATTCCATTAATTGAATCTTAATTAAATAATTACAAGAAATGAAATAATCACAAAGCTCATCATTTATTATAGCCTAATCACAAATATTCAAATTTTAAGATTTGAGTCTTAGTTATTTAAATGAAGACTATAGAAAACCTATGTATATTAGATAGTTTAGGATAGATAAAAAATATAATTAGGTATTGTTTATAATATATGTAGAAATATATTGAGAATATTCAATATTTGGAGAAAAGTAGAGAGGTGATGAAAAATAAAAAAAATAAGCTGTAAAATGAAAAGTATATGACGATTGAAGAGTTTAAAAAAGTATAAAAATTGAAAAGAATTTCAATCTCCAAAGAAATTTATGGTAAATTCATTGAGTAAAAACAAAAAGAATTTCTTAAATTGCTATCATTCTGTTTAGCAATTCTTTTTATTCTTGTTTTGATTTTTCATCAAAATGAACCAGTTTAAATTCAAGGTCTTTTTTGATTGGTTTTATACTTGTGTTAATTTTAAAAAATTATTGATTTCTATAAAAGTAAAGGGAATACATGCTTTATAATTTAATTCATTGAATCTAAAATAAATTTTTTTCAATTTTTTCATTTTAATCAAAATTTTATTTCTTATATAATTATAAATCTAATAAGAAATTAATAAATTGTTACTTATTATATGTAATTAGAAATTACAATTTGAAAAATAAACATCATGTGTAAACATACTTATATGAATTTTATTGATGAATAAATATAAATACAAAAAACTCATTCTTATGCTGAATAAAAACTTTCCTCTTTTTCTTCAATAGTTTTGAATTCATAATTTTATTATAATTCTGAATCATTAAGTTATTGATTTAGTAATTTTTCAAAATAGGTTGTTCTTGAAAACCTTCCTCTTACATATCTAGAGTAAATTATAATTATCATGTAAATTCCTGTACCTACACTTCCAACATAGAATGATAATCCTAATGCACTTCCGTCTAATAAATTAAAAATCAATTACATTCCCCATCTACAACAAATATAAAGATCAATATTATTCCATAATATAAGGCTAATAATAATGTTATAACAATTTAAAATTTTTCAGCTTAATAAACTAGATCTTAAGACAATATTCGATTATTTAAAGAATTCTTAATTTTAATGATTCTATATATATCAAAGAACATTAAAAGTATGATAAAAATAAGAATGGAACTTAAAACATATCTAATTATATTCATGGTTGAAGTATTATAGCAATAAGTATCATGATATTTTTCTTAATATGAAAGATTGCTACATATATACCTTATTTAATTTATTTAATACCTATTTTAGAAACAATTATTTCCCTAACAACTGTAATAAAATGATATCCAAAGTCTATAATACTCATTTTTATTTGGTGTGTACATTTGATAATATGTTAACATAAAAATTTAGGCTGAATTAATATAAGTGTATACTGATGATCACAACACTTTCAATAATAAGAATTAGTATAAATGTATGTTTAATCATTATAAGTCGTTGCTATCTTATTGTATCAAAAACTTTTTCTTAGTTTTTAGATTCTCTAATTAAGTTTTCCATCTGATTGATTTTTATAATTCTATATTATCATTTATTTACTATTTATTAAATTGATCTTAATTCATCATCATATGTTGTAATGATTATAAAATTAATTTCTAATTGGAAGAACAATATAATTATTGTATTCCATATATTATAATTTGATATATAATAATATCATTTGGATTTATTAAATTTTTTAAGATCTCTATTGGTGAATTTAAGTGTACCATCTTCAAATTTGCCTGCTCCTTTTGCTCTCATATTCTTAAATTTATATTGATTTTTTTAAAAAGAATTTTTCTTTTATTTCATGGTTTTTAACAAAGTTAAGTCTTTTTTCAAATCAGATCTATATTAGATATTATGTGCAATGTTATGTTCCTGTTCTTATTTGACATCACTTATATATTTCTTCCTAATACCATTTAAAATAGGTAAAGGCATGTTTTAGCCTTTTTACTAAAGGGATACATATTTGTTAAAATAAATACTTTTTTTTTACCAGGCTTTTCTATAAAATGTTTTTTATTGTGTGTAAGATGTGGCTATGTAAGTTTCTTTATGTCATGGACAGTATCCCAATAATCAGATTATTGACGACGTTTTTTTGGCATAATTATTATTTTAATGAACAAAAAAGAAAACCTATTAAGATTACATAATAGGGTAAAAAAAGACTTGTTTGTTTAAAACAACGAAGAGGCAACAATTCAAAAATTAAGTCCTTAAATTCTTGAATATGTTTAATGTTCAAGTCATGGTGAATTAATGGAAGAAACATTTTAGATTTCAATTGATTAAAGAAACAGAAAATTTCAAGATGATTATTAAATAGGCAAAATATTAGGAGAAGGAGCACATTCTGTAGTTAGATAGTGTTGGTAAATATCAAATCCAGATGAAACTTATGCAGTCAAAATTACTCGTAATGGGGATCCTGAAATTATGGGAATTATGAAGTAAACTTTCCTTAATACATTGAAACTAAACAATCCTTTAATAGTTAGAACACATAAGTTATATATAGACACTAATACGGAATGCTCATATTTAGTAATGGAATATTTACCTTATCCTAGTCTACATGAACTACTAAAACAAAATATACTTACATAAGAGAATAAACTATCGATTATACGATAATGTTTAGAAGCAACTTAATATTTGCATAGAATGGGGTTATGCCATAGAGATCTAAAACCAGACAATATTTTATTTGATTAAGACACTTCTACTATTAAAATTATAGATTTTGGAGTATCAAAAAGATTTATTACAACTTAATAAAGAGATATTTAAGTTTAATTATTGTGGACAATAACTGGAAATGAAAATTATAGAGCACCTGAATTATGGAATGGTTCTGGATATAATGAATTAATTGATATTTGGGCAATAGGAGTTATTACTTATTAAATGTTATGTCATAAATTACCAATCACTTATGAAAATAGAATGGAATTTAATGAAAATGAAAATCAATAATAATATCTATTGTCAACTGAATTTAAATCTCTAGATTCACTCTCATAAGATTTACTGAAAAGATTATTATCATACAATCCAAATAAAAGAATCAGTGCTTCATGTAAATATTTATTTTATATATTATTATAGAAGCTTTAGTTCATCCATTATTATATTAAACGTATACAATATCTCAATTATAATATATGAAATAGAATTCTAAATAATATACAAAAGATGATATGTTAATGAATAATAAAGTATAAATTACTGCTCATTCAAGTTAAGCTATTAAATATTTATAATAATCATAAGAGGATCATCAAACTGTAACTCATGATTTTAAAAATAAATGTTTTATTGATGCAATTCATTAAACAGATAAAGATACATCATAATAAATAAGAAATAGATCAATTCATTTTTAATAATCAATTAATTCATTATGTTAATCATATTCAACTAAACCTGATGAAGTTAAAGAATTTTTTGATATTGTTTAAAAATGTGATAGTCATTCTAGTTTGGATTCTTTGGATGATAGAATTAAAGCAAGTAATAGTCCTCCAAATGGTTTAGATATTATAAATGAAGAAGATGCAGACACACCACTTTTTATGAATAAAATTAAATAATAATAATAAGAATTTTTAATTGAATGAAACAATTTGTGTCACTCTATAATTTCAATACATTCTTACCAACATTCAGACTAGCTCATAAATGTATATATAAGTATAAGTATATTTAAGCACATTTCTGGAAACCCAAAGTCAGCTAAGCTATACCACATTATATGAAATAAACATTTAGAGATCCATTTGATTACCCATTAAGAACAAAAAAAGAGATTGATGAGTAGTTAAAATCAAATCCTCCTACTTATTAAGTATTTGCTGAAATCTCTTTTATACCAGATTTAAAAGGAGATAATTTACATAAAAATAGTGAAGTAAATTAATTAGGCAATTTATAATTAGATTGCTGTCTATGTTAATATAAGCGAAATGAATTTAACACCAAAATAAAGAGATAGATTTATTTATTTGATTGGTCCAAGATATAAAGGAAAAGATGAAATAAAGATTAAGGTCAATACTTTTAATAATCCTTTATAAAATATTGAAAAAGGAAAAGAAATGATATATGAATTATTTTTAGAAGCTATTAGAGCTCCATGTGAATGAGAATCATGTTTTTAAAATATTTTTACATAAAATATAAACAATATTATCAATGGCTATCATTTCTGAGTACTCTCTTAATTGAAGGATGATTTTGTGGGTAAAACTATAAGAAAATTTTTAGAGATTTTTCAAATTCTTCTTTACTATCTAACTTCAATGCACTTTTTGTTATTCCTAAATTATTTAATAATTATGCTTCAAGTAGTGAATTTTAATCATCTACTTAACTTAATGCTACTTCAAATAATTCTTATGCTTTTCTATATTCACCTAAATGAAAGCAAGAACTTGCAATAAAATTAATTGTTCTTATTCGAGATTGTACATCTTAGCTTGTTGACTTCATATCATAAGAAGTATCAAAATAATCTAATGCTTCTGTATAGTTTTCCGAATTATAATAAACTTCCCCTAACATTTAATATAAATTTGCTGTTTATTTGTTCATTTAAGACCCATTGATTTCTAAGGCATGATACGCAATCTTTGATGCTAATTCAAATTAATTGACTTTTGAATAAATTATTGCTATAGACATCATAGTATAAGCTACTTCTGGTGTTAAATTGTATATTTCATAAATAATCAATGCTTAATTGTAGTAGTCTATAGATTTTTAATAACTAAAAACAGATTAAGAATAGTGACCTAATTTTCGATATATTTAAGCCAATAATATTTAATCTTTTATAACGAATAATCTTAAGCATTTCTCTAGATACCTTTTTTATTATCAATATTACATTTTTGCATCAGAATATTTCATGATTTATGCATTCAGTATACCAAGAGTTAATAAACTTTCTACGAATATTAGATGCAATATTTATGAATCAATCAGTTAATTTTCTAGTTCATTTACCAGATTTGTCAATAAAGCCTTAAATTATTATTTGGATATTCATACAATAGACCCTTTAACTTGTCCAAACTATTCTAAATGTAAAGCTTCTTTTAATTATTCATAAAACCCTTTTACTAAATCCTCTCTTTCTGAATTTAATTTAGGGCTTAATAAACTATATAGGTCAGTTTATGTTTTTCTTGGAAATATAAGCATTGTGTCTTTTATTTCCATTGTGCTTGTTTTATGTCCATCTTCAACATTCTTGCGAAGACTGCAAATAACTGATGGTTCATTAAACTGCTTAGGATCAACATTTTAGCTTTTAAATATACCAGAATTATCGAGATCTAATACTCCTTATGTCTAAGTTCTAATTTATAATTCATACATTGTAATCTGCCTACATCAAAAATTTATCTGAACATCTTTTTTAGAGCCAGACCTAATATCCTTATTGCTAATATGTTCTAATTAAGGAAAGAATCTCATCATCTGACTTTGTTGTTATTTCAACATCATACATATTTATAATATAAGTATCAAAATAAACTTAATTTTTCTGCATTTCAAAAATGTGGTAAGTCTATAAATTGCAGTTATTTAATTCTCCTACTTTTTATATCATTATCCAAAAATACACAATTTTTATGGCATTCTATAGATAGCTTAAATTAATATAATTGTTTTTGTAAATTGTAATATTATAGTATAGAAGTATATTTTTGGTTAATGTATTTGATTATGCTAAACATTTGATTATTTTTTACTAACGATAATTTCAATAACTAAAATTGAAATTGGTAATTAAATTATACGTCTTCAAATATAATTAATATTATCAATTGTAAGCAAAAAATTACATTAGGGCAAGGAAACTATTAAAATCTTAAGGAAATGAGATTTCAAACTATTATGAACATAAATGCTATAATTTTAATGGTAAATTCAAATTGGTTCTATGGTTGATGTGTAGAATATATAAAATTGCTAAAAAAGTAGAAAGTCTTATTTCAAATCACACTTATAATCTATTAAGCAATATCTTTTGTTGAATAGCGAAAATGTTTCACGATCTTAATAAGATTCAAATATGTGGAAATAAATTTTTGACATATGAAATTATAAGAATGATTATATGAACTTCTTATTTTTTAATTAATATAATCTTTTTTATTATTTTTTCTAATTATCTAAATTTTAAGATTTTTAGATAAATAGAAATGATCGTTAGCTACAATTGTTAGTGAACATTTTTTTTATTTTTTTCCTTCATCTTGAAATATATCAATTAATTTTTTATTTAAATTCAAAATTCATTAATACACAAGTTATTCATACTTATATTTCTTTCATTTTTTTCTTATAATTTTTTTAATTTATACTGATGACTTTCATAAATGTAACTAAAATTTGAAAATAAAAATTTTTCTTAAAAATAATTATTTTTAAGAAAATTAAATATATCATAGCATTTCTTAATATACATCTAGCTGTTGTTGTATTTGTTCTAGAGTAATAGTTAAATATTACAATAATAACAACAATTATAAATTCGAAGAAAATCCATTTTCTTACTTTGAAAAAAACATAAAACTTTATTACAAAAAATCCAGCGAAGACATAAATATTTTAAATTTCTATCCCACTCATTAACATTATTTATTAAATAATATGATATATTTAATTTTGAGTATTTTTTACTTAAGTGTGTAATCTTACATTACTTACGATTCTGGAACATATAAAGGTCTTGATTTATACACATAATCAAGTTTTGTTTGCAAAAACGGATACTCAACCACTAAAACTATTTCATTTTCTGGGACATTTGAAGTTGCCCCTCAAGTCTTTATAGTTTTAGAACTTTTTGATATGTAAGAGTCTAACACAGATTTTCGCCTTCAGATTAGCACAATAACAACTACAAGTAACTTCATTATAACATCATAGATTTTAATATAATCGCATCATGTACAACAAGTCGACAAGTATTTCATATCGACTTTAATTGGTATGCAATAGATGATAAGCGAATTGAAGTTTTTAATTCTTTCAATATGGATACTATTACGAGTAAACAATTTATTCATGAAAATCCAAATGCAGAAATAGCAATAATTTCTGTGACAAGTATCTATTATGGCAGTGGTGCAATAGATTTTAAATTATTTGTAATCTAAAACACTAAATAAATAGGTCTCAGAATTTACAACTACAAGCATAACAGTTGACATAAACTAAGATTCTAACAAAGCAGTTAATTTAAAATAATTAGGATATTAACTAATATTAACTACTAATGATGCAGTATCAGATTTGGGACTAAGGACATTAACATCTTCTTACACTAGTCCAGCTTTAAATAAACTAACTAACAAATGGCTCATGCTTCCCATAGTTGGCTTTAATTATCTTAATACATTGATGATTGTTTAGAAAAAAACTTACACTACAACAGCGTCAACTATAACATATAGTTTTTCAAAGTGTATAATAAAATTTAAAAAATAGGGGGTTCAAATCCTTTATAATTTGCTGGAGTTACGATTAGAGAAATTTGGATTGCTTACATATTTACAACAGAATATAAGGCTCTCCAATGTTCCTTTGTAAGAATTAGTTAGAAGTATGATTTGGAGTAACTAACTAAACCAAAAGTATATTTGGAAATACCTTCAGTTAATTAAGTTTATTCTACAGTTGGTGATTTCTCATTAATTGTTGATAAAAGCATTTCACCTGTTTAAATAGTTCTTCACTTGAAATGCCAAAAGGATAAAAAAGTAGTCGGTCAATTCAATAAATGCAATAATTGCTCTGGATCTTAAAAATAGTATGTTTTTAGTCGTAATTGCAACTCAAACATTAATCAAATTAGCTTTTACTTAAGATTTACACCTTATGTGTAATCCTATTAAAAATTAAAAATAAGTATTTTAGATACAAGTTGCTCAATCACATAAGTACTTTATAATCAAATAAAGTCAGAAGAAAATATCTTAAATGTTTAAATTTTAAATGTTTGAAATAATAATTAAAATAATATATACATAGAAATTAATTATATAAATAATATTTCACAAAGATTGCTAAATCTTTCTTTTTTCCCTGATGGGTTGTAACAAATTATTTAAGATTAAATTAAATAAAGATAACCTATTCTCAAATCTCCATTCAACTGATTATAATTTTTCACCCTTAAGAAAAAAAGGGATAGAAAAGATAAAATCAATTTAGATTTCTCTCTCAATTTATTATAGATTTTATTTCATATATTATTGAGGATGTAAATATTTAAGGAAGGCATTTCAAATTTTTAAGCAAACTCTTTATTCACTTAGTTTAGTTGATTAAATGGATAAATGAATTTATTTAATCTTTTTCAAGAAAATAAAGTTTGAGAAATTCTTGTTTTTATAAAATTAAATATTTCAATAAGAACATTATAATTCCATCACCACATATTCGATCACATTCATGATGATTTAAAAAAAATCCATATTCATTTTCAAAGCATATTACAATTTTAAAAATTTACAATATTTAGAACAAATGAACACTAAAAAACATTATCTATTTAATTTCCAATATCTTTTATATCACTGCAATTTGAATAGATTGGATAAATACGTTAAAATCAAATCTTAATTATTAGTTACTGAAATCTCTACAGAACCCTTCAGATAAAGAAAATTTAAATAATATTTATTAATTATAAGAAGGTGTTATAAATTAAAAAAATCTAATAAGGATTCTTTAATGTGGAGGTAATTCAGTTATAAATATAAAGTATCAAATGATATCTTCTAGCATGAACTACAATCTTAAAAGTTGGATTAGATTGCGATGTGCACCCTTCATTACTATTAAATTATTCTGCCCAAATCTAACCAAATGAAGTTTCCATTTGAGATACTTTGTATTATTGTCATCTAAGTAAACTTCAAATTCTTCCAAACAATTGAAAATGCTAAATTGAAATTATTTAAACTCTATGATCCAAGAGTTCCATAATTCTTTTTCAAAAACAATGTTCTTCTTTTACTTAAAATAGTGAAAGTAATTCTATAAATTTCATTAACTGAAGGTAAGGGTCCATAAAATGATAATACATTTTTTGATGTTTTTATATTTCTAAATTTTTATATATAATTATATCCTAATTGTCAATTTAAGAGATTATCTTTTAAAATTATTAAATTTATTTAAACCTTCAAATATCATATTCAATTTTGATGTAAGAATGTGGTTCTAAATTTATAAATATTTTGCTAACAGTTTAGTTAGTGTTGGAAATATTAAATCCATCAAATATTACACTTCAATTACATTCATTAAAATATTCTGTCTTATTAATGAATGATGATCAGCCTTCTCAAAAATCAATAAGTATCATAAATATTTCTAAAAATTGGATCAAACTGATAAACTACAACTTCAATTTGTAGCCTGATGACAAACAACAAATATGATAAAATCGAAATTAGTATTTTTATCTTGAAGACTACAAATAAATTTCAAGAAATAATAATTTTATCATTCAAATTTAAAATTTATTTGAAATAAACATTTTACAATTTGTTGTAGCTATTTTTTTGTTAGAAGATTATTGAATGAGCTTTAGTTTTCATGTTGAATTTATTTTTTATTTTATCAATTAAAGAATTGATTTTCAACAAAAGTTGGAAATAAAGACTTGTGCTTTAGTATTATGAAGTGATTCTAATTAGAAACTCTTCAATTAATTGTATTTTTTTTGTTAAAAAATTTTTGAATTGATTCTAATCATTCTATTGTATTGATATTGTCTATCAGCTGGAATATTCTCAATTAGATTTTTAGAAGAAATTGATGCAATTTTACCTAAAATAATGTATTAAATTTCCAGAGTTATCAAATCTAAATTAAAAAAGTAGACTCAATTTTAATAAATTTGATAAATTGGTTTTTCAAAATCAATGAATTATGATGCTTTTTAATTGTAGACATAATTCAACTGTCTCAATGATAAATTAATAAACAAATTATTATAAATTCAAAAAAAGGCTTATACCTATATTTATATAATTCAAAAGAAAAGCAAAGACGAGAAAAAATGGATTAAAACTTTCTTTATTACTAAAACATTATGAATAAAATTAAATTTAATTCAATTAATTTGTAATTTGACATTTTATATATTCTCTTCTTTACAAAAAATTATACATTTGGATAGATCATCTTCTGACGATTTCTTTTTCTATATTACAGATTATCTGCTTATCAGGAATTTAATAATCTCTCTCGTAATAATCTTGCTGTAAGACGAAGCAATATTTGCAAAATTTTCACATTTTTTCTGAATTTTCCCAACGAATAGAACCAATTTGACACTAATAGACCAATTATTCGAATTTTGGGGTGGATTTCTTTTGATATACTTCATTCATATTTATTTTTGAGATAATATAGTAATTTATTCTAAAAAAAAATTATTTATTTAGGTTGAAAAATATTTTGTTTACATTTAATCTTGAAAAAAAGTATCTGACGGCAAACATAAATAATTCAGTTGAAATTTCCAAAATTAAAGTAGATTTATAGAAGACTATAAAGGATCCTCTTAGGTTATTAGCAGTATTAAAAATTAATTCTAATTCTTCGATAACTTTGTACAATTATGTCTTTTTCAATATTTGAATTTAGAAGATTTAATTAGACGAAATTATTGTTTTAGCGAGTAAATATAACCTAATAAGAAGTGGAAAATTATGATCTTTTTAATAAGTAATTTATTCGTCAAACTATTCTACCTAGTAAATATATTTTTGCTTTTGCGTTTAAAGAAACATTATTAAAATACTGAAGATAATTCCAAAAATAAGTAAATTTTTGAATTTAATTACAATTAAATAATATTTAGTTATAATCATCTTTCATCTTTTTACTCTCTTATTAATAAGAATTTGATTGTCTTATATTTTATAAAAATTTATTTTTTGTAATTTTAAGAAGGGTTATAAGCTAAGTAGTTTAAAGGATAGTTGCTTGTTAGATTTTAAAATAATTAGGAAAGGAATAAAAATGTTACTTTTTCAAATATCAAATTTTCTTTATCTTTTGGAAACAAATATGGAAGGATAAAAATGACCAGGTTATTAAAAGATTTATGAGATCTATATAAATATAGCAGAATTAACTCTACTCAGTTTCATTAAGCCTATAGAGTTTTAATTAAGAATTATACATATCAGTAATAATTAACTTAAACTTCAATAGGTAATAATCAAATACTCAAAAGTTAAGACAAAGAAATTTATACAAAATTATAAAATATCTAAAATAAAAACGTTTTCTAATCAATTATTTATGATTAATAATACTCAACTGAATGTAAACTATAGGATTGAAGGAGCTTTTAATTTAACACCGTAATGTTTCCTTTATCTCAGAATAGTTTATGCTTAAGCAATCAAGTATTTTTTTAATTTAAGATATCTTTAAGCTATTCTTTATCTTTAGGCATTTCTATTTTGCAGCAATTTTTAACATACTTAATATTTTAAAATCCAAGGTGCTCTATAAATAATAGTTTCTTTAAATTGATCACATTAAAAGGCTTTTTCTTCAATAAAAGAAGTTAATACTTCTTGAAAAATTTTATTTAGATATTGCAAATTAAGTGAAAGAAGAATAATTAAATATGGTATCTAAATTTCATATGATTTATTTAATTGATCAACATAAATTCCTAATCCAATTGCAATAGATATTCCAGATACTTTTGCTGAATAACCATCTAATTTATTTAATATGAATGATGAATAAGGTCTATATCTTAAACTTAGTTCCCAATATATATACACTAATGATAATAAAAGAATTCCCTTTTTAATAATATTCTCATCATAATAAGAAAGGCAAATAATCAGTAACTATTTTAAGATAATTTTAATTATTTCCCAGTAATAAGCATCTATCCTATATTCATTGTATAAATATCCCCATTTTTATCTTGTTTGTTTATGATGCAAAACATTTTTATTTAAATACAAAGAAACCAAAAAAAATACTGGAATAATCAAAGAAATTAAAATTAAAAGCGGCAAACAAAATGTGAATAGCCATTAATAATGAGTTTGTGTATCATATCTATAGGCAACATTTGCTTAGATCCAATAGAAACCAGAAATCTTCCTAAATGAAATCAATGAGATTAATCCACCAACAAAAAAGGGCTACAGGTATAAGTACATATATATTAATGTTGTAGTTATCACATTTAAACTGTATTCCAGTTTGTTTAATTTCAAAGCAATCCTATAGGAACCCAGAAAAAATAAAATATAAATGAAAGGCATAATCAATTACCATATCATTCTTGAATAATGAATTTATATAGAAATTATGTCTTTTAATAAACAATCTAATGAATGAGTAATTGTTTGAATTGGATTGCTAATAGAATTAAAAGCAGCACCTATATCAATGAATGTTTTAAACCTAAATGTAAAAATAACAGAGACTATTTGAAAATGATGAGTAATCATTTTTATTAAAATACCCAAATTGGAATGATATGATATCTTAGTCATTATTAGGCTTGAAACTATCTTTTTAAGAATCATTTGTTTATTCAAGATATAATTACTCTTAACTGAAAGTAATATTGAAATTAAAGTCCTTATAATTAATTATAAAAATTACCATGAACTGATCGCAGTAATAGCAACAAAATTTTACTTTTCTTCAACACATAGGCCACAGGAATATTTCTAGCTTGTTGAAAAAGACCCATTTAATCTTATGTTATGAATGTCGCATTCTTCACATAATGCTCCAATATGACCTTGAAAGCAAGATTTATCTCCTTCGTGAAATCCCCCTTCACAATTTTCAGGTAAATTGATACATTCGCTAATATAATTAGTATCAACATAGGGTCTCCAAAATCCTTATCTAAGATTTAATTATGCTGATGTAATATTTTAAGTTGAGATCTCATCGATTATAGAACATTTATTAGTATTAAGAGTTACTGAGTATTATCCTATAGAGGCATCACAAGGGATACACCCTTCATGAATAATTCTTTTTTCTCCCAACTAACAAGGCAATGGCTTGATATTTAAACGTAAGAAATAATTAAAATGATAATCTTCTATTTCTTAATTTTCACCATAAATTGGAACTCCAATAGAAGTATGAAATAGTAATAATTATGTTTGATTTAATTCATCATCTAAATGAAAAATAACATCATCAAAAATAAAACCATTTTCATCAAAGGCTACGTTAATGGTTTATGAAAAATAATTTTCATCTTCCTCCTCATAATCTTCAAAACAATAATCACAATATTGATCAATAATTCTTTAATATTCATTTTCAAGAAGTACTTCCATAAGGCACCAATCTTACCAATAATTTGTCGTTTATATATTATTTAATTAATCTAATGGAACTACAGTTAGACTGAAATTATAAGGGACATAATTTTAATTCTTCCAATCAAAAAATTTATATTCAGAGATCTTCTACCCATTTGGAATATACAATACATCAATGTGTGATTCTTGAAATAGTTCATATTACCCAATCTAAATTTATTCAATAAGAATCTTTTTTCTTTCAAAGATTTTTATTTTAGGCCATAAATCTTTTTTATCTAATGATATTGATAATGAAGATGCCGATTAAATCAAATGATTTTTGTAACTACCAGTATTATCATCTATTAATGTTCCTAATTTAGTCAAATTTTCAATTGATGAACCCCTTATATCTAATCCAAAACCATTATTTTATTAAATCACAGAATTTAATATACTGAAATTAATTAAGTACGAATCTTTCATACATACTATTGCATCACTGAAGTCTGAAGTATTGTTTTGAAAAAAAGAATCTTCAATCAAACTATTTATTAGATTAATAGTAAGACAAGTACAACTGTCAGCAAAATTTCTAAAACATCTATAGTTTTGTAATATCGCTTGAAATTACTTTTTCTTAACATAAGGAATTAAAGATCCTAAATTTCTATAAAATTCATAAGGGTACCTAGATTCTAAAAATAAGCAAGAAGACCCACATTTATTATCAGAAAAAAGTATTGATTTCATAATAATTTTCGGAACAATTTCTTCATATCTTATACTAACCATTCCAAAGACACATTCTGTGCAATTGATATTATTTAAATGCAATTCAGTAATTGCTAAAATATTTATATCTAAAATATCAAGTATAAGGCTTTTTGTAAAGTGCTCGACTTTTGGATAATTCAATTATTGAATAATACAATAGCTATTAGATAATGTATCTTTTGTGAAATTATTCATTAATGATATTGGGGATTCTGCATTAGGTACATCTGCTGAGCATATTTATGGTTGCACTTTAAAATAATAATTTTGCTAACTACATTATCCAAATTATTGTATAAATTTTAAAAAGCTTATGTTAGAAGCATAAAAATCCACGATTTTATTTTAAGAATTTTCGTTCATTGATTATATATGAAATAATTCATTTTTTATGGATGAATTATAACATCTAAAATTAATTATATCTATTATAAGTATTTAAACTAGACTAGCAAAGGAGACATGAAATAATGAAAAAATACATATATTTTAGAAACTTACTTACTTTGCATTAGCAACTTAGAATAAATAGTTGTGATAATTTAATTCAATTAATAATTCGCTGTTTGGTTCATTATATTAACTTAAATATCTAATGAAACCTTATTCTGTATTTCTTATTTCCAAATTTTCAACTTTAAATATAGATTATGAATTTGCTTTTAATGGAAATTCAATATAAAATATTGATCCCAATAAAGAATAAACTTCATTAATAATAACATCTTCTAATTTTATGATCATGTTCTCTAATGCATTTTAAATGTATATCAAACCTCCTTTATTTCTTGAGAGAATTTCAATAGCAGATATATTTTTAAAATTTATCACTGAAGAAATAGAAAATATAGTATCAATTAAAAAGGCACCACCATTTTCATTTTCATTCAAAAATTGAGAACTAATAAAACTAACAATAGTATTCTAAATTTAGGCAAAAGCTTCAATTTCTAGGTATAAATAAAGTCCTGGTGCTGTAGAATTTTATATAGTGACATAATTCATAACTATGTATTAGCAGATAATTTAACCATTTCCGGATTTAACTTTGATGGGGAAAATTTAATTTATATACTCAGTATAAATTTGCTGATCTTCTTAATAACCCCAAAATAAATAGGGTTATAAAATTTCATAATCAAAAATGCTGTTTTATATGAAATTGCAATTTAATATTTCTATACTTTTAGTCTAAATATAAATAATACTATTTGAAGAATTAGTAACAATATTCCTTTCAAATAGTAAATTAGTAAAAAAGATTGTACATTTCTTACAATCAAAATATAATATTAAACCTGATTTAATTTAGTTAATTGAGGTATATTCATGCATCAGATTTCTTTCAAATATCGAATTATTTATATCAACATCATAAGCTACGTCAGAATATATTTTCAAAAGCGAAGCTAAGTTAATTGTATTTGTAATCAAAAGCAAATTGTCAACAAAATATAATTCAGAAAAATTAATCAGATGTTAAGTGTTAGTATTTGTAAAAGAAGCTTTAATTTCAATAATAGGATAATTTATTGATTATGCTTTTGTTATAAGTAATTATCTGACATCAATTTTTGGCACATTATAAATTTTGATTGAAAGATATTCATATTTACTTGCATTAGATCTCAGAAAACAATTAAAATTTTAATAAAGCCCTTTAAATTGATAACTTTCATGTTATTCTATTGTTATTTAATTCAAATCTAATTTATTAGCATTAATTATTAATAAATCAGGTATTCCATATGCTTTTTGAATGATTAATTAATCAATATTTACTATATTCATTTCGATATAGATTAAAGATATCTCTAAGATATCATAATTCATTTGATTAGGTAATTCTAATAATGAATTTTGAAGCATTGATAATTATTAAATAATTATTTCAGTATTAGGTATAGTTATGGAAATGATTTTAATGAAAGCCGTATGTTCACTATGAAGGTTTAATTAAAATACAATTTCCTACATAAAAATATATTCTATTTCACCATTTATATTATAGATAAGTAGAGAATCGTTTTAGAAAATATTTTATGAAATCTTTAAATTCATCAACGAAGAATTTGGATTAAGATGTAAAATTTTGCCAGAATAAATCTAATTAAAAATAAAATCTAATGATATTAATTCGAAATATTTTAAAGAATCTATTTAAAATAATCCATTTTAAGAATATATCTGACATTCTTAGATGCTTATTTTATTCATTAATAATTTACCATTTAATTAATATATTAATGACTAGTTAAAAATTGTAGTTTCAATATTTAGATCTTCTATTTCTACTTAATCATTTTCTTTAATATTAAACCATAATAAATGTAAATCCAAAAATGAACTGCTCGTAATAATGCAGTTCGATATTTTGATTGTCTACTCTGATTATGTTTATTCAATCTTAAAAAAAGCTTCGATATGAAATTGTTTTTTATAATTTTTTACAAAAAAGTTTTATATTAAGACATTTTTAGCATTTTCTATTATTGTTTAAAAAGTTGCTTAATCATAGTCTTAGTCCTGATCGTAATTTATATTAATTAATTCAACTGTTTACTCAAAGATACTTGTAAATTTAAGTAAATTTGAGCTACTATACTAAAGCTTCTCTATCTCAATAGATATACCTTCAATTCGTACTTTCTTAAAATTAACAAAAGAAATTAAATATTAAAATTGAAAAGTTGTTATACCATTGCCCTAAATTTCAAGTTCTACATCTCTAAACTTTATAATTATAAATACATCGCTGAAAAAATATTAGAGCTAAACTACTAAGAGATTTGCAATTTATTTATTACATTGCAACTTTATTGTTATAAACTAACAATTTTAATCAAAATTTGTTTAATTTATTTTTCATTAGCCATCTAATAAAATTCTTATGTTTCAAACTAAAATTGCTAAAAGAATTATTACTTATGAAAAACTTTGAGAAGAAAACAACTCTTCACTTAGAATATTTTCAAGCTTAAATTTTTATATTTACTCCTCATTTTACAATTTGTCAATTTGTTGTTGATATTCTGTGTTATTACAAAATAAATTTAGATTGATAATAATTTATTTGAAGCATGAACCATCTTCACAATCCACATATAAACCTAATTCTTCATCAAAAATTGTGTTGTCAAATCCCGCAATGCAATAATATGAGAAATAAGATAACTCTTAATTGTTAAATAGTGGGTTAATAGAAAGTATTTATTTATCATCTCTTTTTTAACACAATTTACAATTTTTTGGACAAGAAATACATTAGTTATCTACCAGGCTTCTATTTCTTCCTTTGAACCCCAAAGGACATTTAACACAGATATTTGTATAATTTTCTATAACACATTCTAAGCACCATTCAGGACAAATATTAATGCATCTGTCTTTATGAAGTTCATATCCATATTAACATTTGGTGCATATTATCTCATAATCTGAATCATTTTAACTTAAACCATATTCAGTAAATTTATGATCGACATACATTTAATCTATGGAAGCCTTATAGAAGGCACGAATCTCTATTTTCCAATTGTCTTTCGTAAATTTATTCTCCTAATAACAAGCAACACAATGTAAATCAGAAGGACATAATAGGCAATCACCAGTTTTTTTTTCAGCGTAGTAACCATTTTCACATACAAGACATGTATAATAAACCTTTTTAGGAACATAATAATTATATTCAAGATGAAATGTTAATTATTCAATTACACAATAAATGCAACGCTATTTAATTCTTGGACATTCATTAGTAAATGAATAAATTAGAAAATCTGGATTATAATCACCAAATAAGCAAACAAATTCTTAGCCATTATTTTCTGTTATTTATAACAAAGGTGTTTAGCATAAATCTGGATAATATTCCTTGCAGGTTAATTCAACTTCATGAAAATAATAGCCTTCTTTGCACTTAGCACATTTAGTGATTGTTGCTTAATAATAAGGTATAAAGCTATAATCTAATGAATTCACAGTTAAATCTGATTAAGAACTTTCGAATGCGTATACACAATTTTCTATTTAGTTTACCTTACAATCCTATCCATTTAATGATAAATAATATAATTGATTATCAATACAACTTAGACACTGCATAATTTTTGATTATTATGATTATTGGCATATTTTGCAAAAGTCGCCACATGGTATACATTTTCCATTTGAAAGTCCATAATTTGGTTAGCAAGATTTGCAGTGATTCTAATTTTAACAATATGGACAGGATTCTGGACACAATAAACAAGCTGTGCCTTAATCTGATATATAATATCCAGTTAAACATTAAATACATTTTATTTCACTTTAATTTAATTTAACACATGCATTATCTAATAAAATACAGCTCTGATTAGCATAATATCGATTTTCTTTACAATTAGCAAATGTATCAGTTTGTAAATGTTGAATATTTAATTAGTAACAAATTTATGAATTTATTTACTTGATGTCACAATAATCGGACACTCCTTCTAATAATATTAAGTTATAATTTTGATCAATGTAATAAAGATCATAATGTAGAGGAGATCTCATTTATTTAGAATAGGCATCTTCTTCTTTATTTAATTATTAAGTGATAAAATCTATAGTACAAATTGGTCGTATATACCATGCATTAGGATTCAATAAACAATCTGCACACAACAAATTATAAGAATTCCATTAAGGACTATTTAATTGTAAATTATTACCATCTGATGCACTATTAATTCACAGGTAGATAAAAGTATCCAAATAAACATAATATGTTTTAATTTTAGATTTTTACCTCATTAAAAAGTAAAGTCGGAAATATTTCTTATTGAGATTAACACTTTTAATCTCTTTCAAAATAATCTATTTGGCATACGCATTAATGTAAATCCAACATAACTCTTTCATCATTTTCTTTGCAGGTTAAGCAATTTGAAAACAATGGACCAAAACAAGTTTTGCAACTATAATGGCAAACTAAGATTATTTAACAATGATACTATAATTAAAGTTTAAATCATCTTTAAAATTGGATTTAAAATAAAAACTAGCTATTTATCCTTCCATTTTTTCATCAACAGTATAATCCCCTCCAAAAATTGCATAATATTTTTTATTTATAAATAAATTGCTAAATTAGTTGTTCCCAAGATAATAAGTATTAGTAATCAAATTATTATTGTCAATATGAGTTAACTTAAATTTAGATTTTGAACCATTTTCTTCTATTCCATGCTGAAATGATATGAAATGCCAATTTGATAAAATTTGAAAATATTCTAAGTTGCCTCTTAAGCTAATACGATCATTCTAAGCATTTTCATTTATTAATTAAGGATATGGCATCCAATAATGATGAGATATTAAATCATATCCACATCTTGCTTAATCTGATGGATCCAAATCTACTGTAATTTTCAGTATTTCATCCCCTACATCTATCTCATCTTTATAATTGTTAAAGATTGTTAGTCTAACTAATAAATACTTCTTCAATTAGAAAACATCTTAAGTAAAATATTTTACCCATCCATAAATACTAAATGTCTTTCCAAATTATTAGAATTCAATCTTCTGTTATTACTTTCCATCAAAATTGACTAAATTTGGAATCAACTCTATCGTTAATTCAAATTCTTTTATTCTTAATTCTTTAATTCTGTTCAAATATATTTAGTAACTATCACTTAAGTCATTATGAATGAATAACTTTGAAAGTCTTCCTCTAAAGATCCCTAATTGATATTTGTTATTAATCTAAAATATGATTAATATAATTACAATTCCTGATCCTCCAACGACTAATTAAATATTATTTATTTTATTTTTAAAAATAAATTAAAATTAATTTTAATTTTAAATTTAATTATCTTTTGTTTCGTATTAAATCATTAAATCGTTAATAGTTATCACATTCAATATCCAAACCCCTTCATAATCACTCGGATTAAATAATAAATCATTCATATTACCATCAAAATAAAGACTATGAATTACTTTGGTATTTGTAAGTAAATTTAAATAAATAAATGACAATACTTGATTATCATCTAAATTTTTAATAACAAAAAGTAATTGTGTTTTTTTTTACCCTCTATCTGGCTCTTATTCAATCCAAGGGTAGCTGGTTACTTGATAAGATGCAATATAGAAACTCCAAAATTCAAATTGAATTGGGCTTGATTCATAAGTGTAATTGATTATTTCCATAGGATTTGAGCTGTTGATCAGTAAGTCTTCATTAAACTAAGAGCAAGAAGCTAAACACATTTTGATCATTAGACAGAATAAGGTGTTTATATTTTTCATATCTTTTATTAAATATATATTTTATTAAGTGTTTATTGTAGTATATAAACATAGTATTAATATATGATATTCCGAATTTATCTGATATTAATAATGAATTATGATTAAAGAGTTCTGTAATTTCTGCAAAATAGTAAGAAAATTGATATAATGGACCTATTTAAATTGTGTTTATAATAATGTTACAGAAATTCAAGGATTTTAATTCTCTAATGAAAAGGAATACACTAAAGATGAATTATGAGATTCCTACATTTTTTTTCTTTTATTTTATTAGAGATATCAATATTAACTAAAGCGCTTCATCATGCTTTTTGATTAATTGTTTAAAAGATAATTATTTAATGTTTTATTAGCAATACTTTAACTATTAATAATAAAATATGATCATTTTTATATAGAGGCTTGATAATATAAAATTATGATAATTTAAGTCCAGAATAAAAAGTATTTTGATTATGGATATGGATAAATCTTGATTTTTGATTTTCTCGAATTCCATTAATTTTGAATAAATAAAATGACAAACTTATCTAACATTGGAAAACCACAATTTAATGAAGATGATATCTGAGTCAAATTTGAATGAGGAATTTTAATATAAATCCTTATAATCCATATAGAAATGAAAATAATTTGATATATATTTATTTAATAATGAATGAATAAACTATTCTATTGCAATTTATTTATTACATAGTAATGCTATTAGTCTATTAGCCTTTAGTAAAAAAGCATCTACTTTAATTGATAGAAATATATAATTTTAATGAAATTCAATAATTCTTTAGAAAAATTGATAAAGCTTCAAAATGATTATTGTAATTTTTAAATTTCATCATCATTGTCTACCTTCATAATATAGACCTTGTTAAATAATAAATTTAACCGTTTGAAATATTTACAGTATTATATTCTTTTGTAAGCTTCTAAAAAAGAATTCTTAAATTAATTGTCACATTCTGTATCCAGAACGATAAATACTCGAAATTCAGTAAGAAAAATTGAACCCATTTTTTATTTCAAAATATGGCTCAATTTAATATTTTTTATCGGATCACAACCTCTTGATGGTGGCATTATATATTTAGATCATAATATCATGTTATATTGTTTATACTTAGATAAAAAATATATTAAAAGCAAATTAAAATTCTATTTTTTCCAATTTAATTATCATAATAATATTAATTTAAGTAACATATTATATGCATGAAAATTTTTTTCTTTTTGCTTTGCTTAAGTACCAAAAAATTTTAAAAAATGTATTAAATAAACTATTTTAATTTCATCATTAATTTAGTATGATTGATTTCAAATTTTCTAGACTTTATAAATAATATTTTTTATTACATATTTTTAGTTAGGTATTTTGAATTTGAAAAATCAAATATGTAGATTTAGCTTTTATAGTTTTCGTAATGAACATTGCAATAATTAGAAGGAATTCATCTAAAATGATAATTAAAATTTATAAGTTTTTAGAATTGTTGGACTGAGTAATAGTGGATTCACAGTGGTATTTTTTTATATAAATACATTATCAAGTATAAATGTCTAATAGTATTAATATTTTTATTAAAATATAATATATTATTGAATATGAAATTTAATAAACTATTTTATTTGAATTTTTTTAATATATAAGAAATACTTATATTTTTAATTAATATAAAAATAGTATTATATCATAAATAAATAATTATTATTAAAATAAATCCCTTTATTTTGTAGAATAAATAACAACTCTAAAGAATACAAATTTAGTTATTTTTTATTCATACTTGTTATGACTCTTGTTTGCTTTATTTTAACAAACTTAGAAGATATTAATGCAAAAATTAAATGATATCACTAGATGTATGGATAACAAGAAAGTTGCTTTATTTTTAACAAGATCAAAATCTTAATAAAAAGCATTCAAACTTTGTCATAATTGTGCAGTTGATAAATAAAAGGATTTAATTTTGAAAGATGATGCAAAAAAACATTTTGAACAAAGTCTGCATTATTGTAATAAAGAGAATCTCTTAATTCTATTAAAATTTTTAATGATATAAAAGAACAATTTTGCAATTTTGGCAAAAGCAATAAACAAAACATTGATACTGAAATTCAAGTTATTGAATAATCCTCAACCTAATTTCAGAAAGTAAAGTGTTATCTGATATTTAATTTGATCAAATAGAACTTATTCACTAGGATAGAAGTTCAATCCTAAAAAATTATGTGAATTATAAAGTATCATCATAATCACTTATAAATTAAATAGGTAATTTATCCAAAACTATGTTTTTAACAAAGTTCGAGTAATTAATATAAAGAATAGAAGTTTGTGATAAGAGTGAGATTGTAAATCAATTTTTGATTTTGGGTTATTGACTAATTACTATTAAGAATAAAACCCTAATTGAATATGTGGAAAAAATTAACTATAAATAACTTTCGTTGATTTATCAGAATCAAAGTGCATCCCAAACAGAATTGTTTGCCTGAAATATGTTCCTAAATATTTTATTCAATAGAAAGATTTAGATTAAATCCGATAACTTTGGTAAAATTATAATGAATAATCAATTTTTAATATTTATCATAAGTAATTAATTAATTGAAGGAATCTAAAGAAGTAATTTTTAAACAAATTGAATAATTAATAGAATCAATTTACAAAATAGCTCAAAAAGGAAATGAACAACATGAACAACGTCATGAATTAATATAAAAAACTTGCTCCAAATTATGTAGAATCTTAATCCAGAGAATAAGCTTAATCATATAATTATAAAATATCAGTCTTAAAGTTAATAGTAGTAAGTAAATAATTATACAATAAACTTTAAAATCATTTAGCTATGATCTGATTTTCTAATTGAAAGAGAGCACTAAATGCAGAGCATTTGTATTTAATAAGGAATAATGAAAATTGATTGCTGGACAAAGCAGTGGAAATATTAAGGTTTTAGAATTTAATTAAGGAAATTTGAAAGAGACTAAATAACTTAAAGAGCATTAGAATTAAGTTAATTCTTTATTTTATATGTTAAAGAGTTAATAATTTATTTCTTGTAGTGATGATTTGATTAGAATTCGGAATATGGATAATAAGAAAAAATGGGAGTTTTATAATATTAGAAGGTCATACTGATAGAATTAATTGGTAAATTACAAATAACTAAGAAGATTGTGTCATGTCTGGTAGTACAGATAAGTGTATAACATTTTGGATTAAAGAGAATTAATAATGGAAGTGCAATTAGACATTATCAGATAATAAAAGTAAGATCAAATAGTTATCATTGAATTTTTCATACAATTAATAATTATCATGTGGAACTGATAAATTAATATTGCTCATCTAAAAAATAATAATAATAATATTAATGGAATACAATCTAAAAAATATCAGTTGAAAAGTATGGGTTTAGTTTCTGTGTTATTACAGATAGTTTATTTACATTCTAACCTAATTGTATGCATATTTATGAGGACATAAATCAAGCTACAAATTCACCAAAATAAAATAAAATATCAGCATCAAATCAGATAAAAATTGCTCTGAACTCTTCCCTTAAGCATATATTAAAGAAAAATTAATTCTACTTAATATTATGTGAATATAATTAAACATAAAGATTATGGTGAATTTCAAACAATATTATCATCAGAAAATATGTGTGATTGTTGTGGATTATTTGGCACCATTTTAGATGATGGGACTTATTTAATAACATATGAGAGTCATAGCAGTGAAATAAATATCTGAAAATATCAAGAAAAAAAAATTGATTGCAACAATATAAATTGTTATTTTTAACTATGATTATTTATTTTTCATTAATTCAAAGTTTTAAGTGCATCAAAATTAATTAAGATTCAACTATAAATTACCTTTTTTCTATCCAATTAATACAAAAAAATACAATAACCACGCAACAGCCATTTATTTAGATATTCTAAATTAATAGAAGATCAAATTCTATTTATAACTTATATCTTGAGAAAGTATTCTAAAATTAGTACTTAAATGATTATTCAATCAAAGAACAAATTTATTATTCATTTTATCATCATTCTATTTAGCCTATAACCAATGTTTAAATTATTTTA